ATGGCAGCCAGAAGCCAGCAATCCCCTGCAACATAAGGGCAAATAACTGTGAACTGAAATGCACATAGAGATTGAAATAGACACTTGTTATCAGCTGCGCATTTATTTACATTTTGAAAACATGAAAAATGTTAATATTTCAATTAAGTGTTTTTTGTGAACTAACATTCCTTTAATTCAGGAGCTACTATTTTTGTTGCACACTGTAATACTATTTTCAGATTAAAGTAAATATATAACTGCCTTAAAACTAATATACACCATTTATACAGATGAACTAACATTTGAGCCATAATTTTGCCTTGGATGAACAATGAAATTTGCACCAAAAAATTATAATGTAATACAAGGTCATTGCTCTTCAGCGTCATTCAGCTAAAAAAGAGGTAAAAGTTGGAATAAAAACAATTCTATATGACTTTAAATTATACTTTTAATAAACCTTAATTCTCAAAAATTACAAAACAGCAGCAGCTTTGTGCACATTTGGCTGAATCATGTATGGGTGATTTAGTAGATCCAGGTGTACTGTCATCTCCTCTACTAATTAAACTAAAATTGTTTATTTCTGGTATTAATGTAACCCAAAACAAAATTTTAAAAGTAAAATCCAACTACACTTTTTGTTCATTGATAAAGATCTGTTTGGATCTGTCAGGTTATTTTCAGAGTTAAGAAATGACGCAAAATTAAGACATGTTGCATTTTTTTAACAAAAAAATCTGCAAAAAGAACATCCCCAAAATCTCTTGATGGGGGGGTTTGAAAGAAGAAGCAATTTCTATATTTTTGAACTAACCAGACTGTTTTAAGCTTAAATCTGTGCACAGCTGAAAGAAATTAAATAAATATAATCAGGTCAAAACTACCATTTTTAAACTGATCTTCACCAAAAAAAAACAACTAAGAATCAGTCTTAGCAAGTTTAAGTACATCAGCATAGGATGTATGCAAATAAGAGAGACATTTTAATATTTATTTGTTATCAAATAATGAAAGCACATCTAACTTCACGTGCCTGTGAATAAAACTTACACCACTGAGCTTCAAGATATGAGACTAAATGTATAATTGTCAGAAGTGCTGAAAGTGCTGAAATGTCTCTGGTGAAATATACCTCATAGAGCATCACATGAAGGTTTCTGAAGCCTTGAGAGTTAAAGGGTTAAAGGGAAAAGAAAACTCATTGTGTGTTACCACACACTGGAAATGGATCAGCACTGGTTTCTTAAATGCAAATTTAATGGCAGCAGTTGGGGGAGGTATTATTACAGACGGATTGTTAACGCATTAAAAATGGAAGTACAAAACTCACCTAATGCTCCCTGACAAATATCCGTCCTTGTGGCGCCATCGTCAATGAACTTTGGGTTTGAACACAGCTCCTATATGACAAATAGAAAAATTTGAAAAAATCCATTATATTTGTGCAATAGACTTATTATTTTAAGTTGCTCCTTACCGTTGGCCTCTTCCAAACAATGCCTCTCGTCTTGGATGAGTACGGCCCCAGCTCGTTGTAGCCTAGTGACTTGCTCGTGGCACCAAAGCTGTCATCCTCAAACAGGCGTCCCCTGCTCAGACACTGCTGCCGCAAGGCCTCATAATCCTGATCGCAAAACTTCACTGCCTTCTGGTTGGTGCCGATGCCCTCCGCCCTCTGCTGCTGGTGGGCCAGTCGATCTGCTGTGGAGGTCATCTTCACCCTTTCTGAGCGCTCACTTGCAGGATTTCCTTATTTAATAACAGGGCTTGTTTGCCTAGTTAGATGCTCTTCTATGAAGGGACGCTTCCCAGAAGTGTTTTTGTGCTGGAGTCCTTTATAGCTGCCTATAGTGATGGAAAGATGGAGTCGGATAACAAACAGGGAGGAGCTGCTTGTGGACAGGTGAGACAGATGGTGCAGACAGCAGCAGGCGTAAGCAAATCCACGATGAGGTCGTTGTGACCACAACCGAAACAAAACAAGGACACACCTTGTTTTGTGTCCACTACCACCTTTTGTCATTTCATTTTCAGGACTAAATGTAGATATTAGACACTGGAAATGTTTGTAAAAGCATCTATGTGATTTGACAGAGTTAACACACTATAAAACTTAACACAAATGATACATAAAAGTACGTTTTCAGAATGTAGTTGGTTGTAGAAACAGATTGTGTGCTGTAAATACAGGTGGGAGTTGAGGAAAAGATCCCTCAACATATTGAAGCAACAGTTTAAATAGGCCAAATTTAAGATGTCGTGTTTCATAACCTGAGGCACGTACCGACACACCCAGTCAGGAGTTGTAGCGTTACATCCTCATTCTGTGCTTACATTCTCCAACCGAAAAACAGGGCACCAAAGCCCTAAACAAATGTTATTTTTAACTCAGTTTAATCAGGAATTAAACTGATGCTTTTGTGCTATGTCAGATTTGCGTTCTATACCATAACATACAAGGAAATTTGTATGTTATGACAAAATATGAAAATAATTTTGTAAAGTAATGCATATGTGGTATTATAATTAAAAATTCTTAATAATTATTCACTGATGTCCATAGACATCAGCAAAGATGACCATATTTCCTAGAAAATAGGAATGGCTGCTACCTCGATGATACCAGTTTTAGATATAAATTGTTTATCAGTGTTTTGAAAAAAGCTGGCACCCTGTTTGGGGATGCACACCACTCCCTTCCTGCTCTATGTTGGAACAGCTTCCAAACCCACTGTGATTCCAGACAGATAAGGTAGAAGAGAGGGCAATTTGTCTGGTATCAATAACAAGCAAATACGTGGTTAAATAACTAAAAGTTCCCAAAGACAGACAATAAATCAGTTAATAGAAAATCAATTATATCTCAAAATGAATTCACCTTATGAAATTGATCACTTTCCAGGTAGATCAAAGTTAACCTTTTGTCTCCCTTCAAAATCCTCCTATAGGTTTAAAACTCAAAGGCATCATTTAGCATCTGTGTGACCTGTTTTTGCTTTGAGCAAATAAGTCTGGGGACATTTATTCAGTCTTTGAAGTCATAAAAGAGGTGTGGGTGAGCTGCAACCACAAGAGGGACTGAAAGGGGCGAACCTAAAAGAAAGCTTGTTTCAGCTGTGGACAAATTCAAATCAAAAGGTGATTCTTTATAAATCAAAAAGCCCTCAGCAAGAAAAAGATGATCAAACTAAGGAGAAACAATGCAGAAGCTGAAGCAAAGATACAATAAATGAGCAAAGGAACCTGACAGAGAACCTGTTGAAGCAACAGAAACAAAGATGAACAACAGGTCTGATCTGAGGGCAGGTTAGCTGCCTATTCAAAGCAAACAGGAAAACAAAAGAAACCAATCACCTATAAAAAAGGACAGAAAAATGGCAAAAATAATAAACCTTAAAAAAGGCAGGCTTGATTATTTTACGAACAGCAGATTCATAAAATAAATGTCTGCTATTCTTTGCTGGCATGTTTCCTCAACAGTTTAAACAATGTCAGATGTAGAAGTTTTTTTTTTTATCTCATGACAAGATAGCCTGATGAACTTTAATTTTTAAAAAATTTGCTGCCATTTATCACACATTAAATCTCAAGTGATAAAAACCTGATTCAGTCTGCAGTAAAGAGCTGAATGCTGCTTTGTTTAAAGTAATACACTTAACTCAAGGTTAACAGTTTTTCCTGAAAGCTTGTATTCAACTTTGCTAGTATAATAGCTACAGCCCTCTAAAAACTTGCATCTGCAAAATGTTTAGAGGAGCTCAATACAAATCAGTGTCACACCTTCCAGATTTTATTTGTAGAACATTTAGAAAACCATGCATCACTTTCATTTCATTTTAAAAATTTGATGAGCTGCTACATAAAATCCCAACATAATGAAATTTGTAGATGTAATGTGTGAAAATATGGAAAACTTCAAGGGGTGAGATTGTTTTTTCAAGGCACTGCTTATGTAGGGTAGAACAGGGCTGGGAGGCTGTAACAGGGGCTGTTACAAAATGTCGGCATGTACTTAGAGGCCACGGACAAGGTATTGTCATTCAGCAGTAAAGTACCTGACATGGAGGTGATAGAAGATCTGTGACAAGATCTGAACATTAATTTCCAATTATATTCCCCGTAAAAATTTAACTCACCCTGTGTAATTTTGAAAAAGAGAAAGGGTTAATATCAGATTTTTATTTGAAATTTTTTAAAACTAACATGCTAAAATAATATCATCTTCATGCTTCCTCACAAGTATGTGCTCATTTATACCACAAAAATAAAATGAAGTTTGAGGCCCTAATGAAATGTGCAGTAATAAAAATTAGTTTCTAACTGTATCCATTAGAAACAGTTTAATTCTTAGTAAGGAGCAGGAAATGAGTTGGTAGTTTGATTCTGTTCTTTTTATTTAACTATAAAATATATATTTTGTCAGTTCATAACATTATGGATGTGCTTCTATGAGATGTTGTTAAGATATAAAAAATAAGTCTGAGTTTTAAAATAAAAATGTTCTGAAAAGTTCCTTTCAAAATGTTTTTCTAATTAATATACAATAAAGATAATCAATCAAAGTTGCATTTTGATGGTGCGTGTACCTCCTTATGTAGGGCATAAGCATATTTTTTCATGTTGAAAGAATGGATATGTTATTCTGACCAGGCAGTCTTATGTAGGTCTCCATAACACAGATAAATAGGCCTGATTAAGCAGAAAGTGTGACACACCCCACTCTCTGATCTTCAGTACAGTGGATTCACTATCAAAACCTGGTGCATTTATAGTTTTACAACAGTTTGTGAATAAGAAAATAATTTTGCCACCAAGCATTAGCTTTGTTAGTAGTTTAAAAATACACGATACGTAGTTTATTTTCAATAGCGTCTCATGTCTTTTTAAAATTCTCCTGATTTGTAATTTCGTTCAAGTCAGAGAGCATGTTTTTGGTCTTTGGCGCCCTCTAGTGGCCACGGTGTGGCACTGGCGGCTTGCAGTGCGCCCTCCTCTAGAGGTGGGCCGGTCTGATCTGCAGTGCGTGCAGACTGAGAGGGGGGTGAACCATTCAGACTGCCCCCCTGTCACTGATTCACAAATCAGCACGATAACCGCTTTCTGTTTCATATTGTGGGAGCCTGAAGCAGCCTTCCTAACCGGTGGTGAGTTGATCGCGTCGGTTTAGTGAACCACTTTATTTACTCAGTGTGTGATTAACGGTGCCCGATGGGTTTATTGTGGTGCGGAGAGCCGGATTTAATCTACTGCACCTTGTCGCTCTGGTAATAATAGACAAGGAAGTGACAGCTGCGCAGCGAGGCGAAAAGAATCAGCTCAGCTCCTGATTTTAGCTCTAAAATCAGAGCAGCTTTCATCTGTAATTGTGAGAATCTTTTGTGTAACATGCAGGCCGCTTACAGACAGGCCTGCATGTTCCTGCTGAACAGGTGCTGCAAAACAGTTCTGGTTCAAACAGCAGGCCTCGCTTACTATGACTTTTTACAGCAGCTGAATGAAACAATCCACTCAGGATTTCACAGAGTGTTGAACATATTGTGTATGCAGTATTTGTTTGACGCCTGCAGTCATCTGATGGAGAGGTGGTAATGTTGTTTTTGAATTGTTTAGGGTTAAAGTCCTGTGTATGATACTGTCAGCATTGTCACTGCTGGGATTTTCCTCCTTCCCTCATTATTGAAGAAAAAAAAACAGATCCATTCAGATCTATGGTGTGATTTTTACAGAGGGACATTGCTGTAGAGTCTCCACAGGCCTGAGGGGCCTCAGTTTGGGGACTGGCCTCCTTTAACATTGACATTGTTTTGTTTTTTTGTTTTTTTTAATCCCAGGCATGGCCTCTTTTGGCTCCTAACACATTCCTTCACTTCTATCATTTTTTCACTTCATGGACCTTGCTGAATTATTCATAACACCTGAACATTTTCACATTTGGTACAGTCATAAAACTTGATGTGTTGTACTTAGATTTTATGTAGCAGTGAATCATTATAAAGTGGAAGTCAAATAAAACACGGTGTCCAAAAAGTGTTACGCATATTTTAATGCAATCGCAAATGTTTTGGAGCCTCTACTTTTTTTTCTGTGTTAAGCTCCTTTTCTCCGTCAACTCTGAAAGAATCGATCCCCACAGCATGATGCTGGCAGCATCGTGTTTTATGACAGAGGTGTTGTATTCAGGCTGATGTGTAGCATTAACTTACTGCCAAAGACCCCAAAGGTCTAGTGTTTGTCTTATCTGACCTACATCTTCCACATGACTGCTATTTTCTGATCCTCTTTCATTTAAACATTATATACTTTATTTTTTTTGTTGGTTTATTACTCAAAATCTCAATAAAATTCACCCTTTGTCAGTAATTTGATGTGAATACCTGTGTAAAGAACCTCCCAACAGGTATTTTTTGCACAGACTCTGCTCATTAGGATTCATTTCCGGTAGAGCAGAGTTACGCTATTGTTCAAATTTTCCCTTAGCACAGATCCAGAAAGCAACGCAGCCGAATCTTTGTATTGATTTTGTAACTTGTGGGGGAAATGTGAGTGTAAAATAGTGAATATTTTTGGTCATTTGATTAAATTCTAGCTCTAAATAAATGCATAACCATTTCTTTCTGTTTCCTTCCATAGTTCCTTTCAGCCTGTCCATAAAGAAAAGGTATCATATATACATGTTTTTTTGATATTTTTATTTTCGGCTTTGGTGTGTTTAAATTGTATTTTTTAATCAGTGCATGCTTTTTGCTTGCGAACTATCCTCTACTGGCTTCTATTTTTATTGATTTCTAACTAATGTTTCTATGTCAGTTTACTTTCTATTGATATATGGCTACATCTTTGCCATGTTTCAAATTGAAATGAAAGGTACTGTTACCAAAAGGTCTGAATCCAATTACTGGAATCATTAGGTTTTTCTTAAAGCTAAATGCTCACAGATACAAACGTCTGTGCTTTTCTTGTAACTTTTTGTGTTAGAATAACACAAAGTAGTGCACATTCACAAAGTGAATAGCTTTCAGTAATTTCCACTTACAAAAGTGCAGTGTGTGTTTATTTTGAGTCTCTGTAGAATCGGTTCTCTGTAGACCCACCTTTTGTTGCAATGACAGCTGCAAGGGAAGGGAAGGTTTAGTTTCTAGCGGCTTTGCACTTCTGGAGACAGAAATGTTTCCCCGTTCATCTTTGCCAAATTTTTGTTGCTCAGCCAAATTCAACTTACAGCATCTGTGAATGTCAATTTTTAGACATGAATACTTAATTGGATTTAGGTCCAGACTTTGACCAGGCCTTTCAAACACACAAGTGTGCTTTGATCTAAACCTCTGTAGTTTCTGGCTGTAGATTTATCATTTTTCTGTTTAGAATTGTTTTTGAAATGTAATATGTAACAATGTATTGTCTATTATATGTTGCATGACTTTGTGTTCGTGTGTCTATGATGTAAAGCACTTTGAAATGCCTTGCTGAAATGTGCTATACAAATAAAATTTGATTGATTGATTGATAAAAGAGGTTCCTTTCCAGTACGGTATATGTTTACTGTGATTAAATTACACTCATGTGAAACTGTACCAAATAAAATCTGAATAAAATCCAGTGAACCTAAGCCAGTGAAACAAAAGGCTTAGTTTCACTGGATTTTATTCAGAGGTATCAGAGCACTTTCAAATTTGATAGAAAAAAAGAGACGGCATATGAATTTGTGCAGGAGTACTATTGTGAAATCTCCACCTTTGGAAGTTTTATTTGTGGGTGTGTGTGTGTGTGTATTAGTGTGTCCGTATGTGTGTGTGTGTGTGTGTGTGTGTGTGCGCGCGTGTGTGTGTGTGACTCAAAGCTATAGTCCAAAGGTTTTGAAACTTCAGTCCTTGATTGTCCTTTGGATGCAAAAGTTGCAGGACAGTGACTCAAACAAATGGTTAATGATCAGGCAAAACTTCCTGATATGCTAAAGAGGTATTTCAGCCTGTTGATTCATGAGTGTTGGAGCAGGGATGCATCCGAAAGCTGCAGGACTGTGACACTCGCTGACTGAAGTTGCAGACCCATGCTTTAATCACTAAGTAAATGTAGAGAAGAAAAAAATCTAAATGCTATAGCTTTGTTCAGAAACTTTTGCTGTAAGCAGATTTTTGTATTTTGTTTTTCTAACCAGACTCATACCACTGGATGAAGTGTTGTAACATTCAGACAAGAGCGTGTCACTGTTTTACTTGCTTCTATTTATAAATTGCACCCGCCTATGCGCTCCATATTTCTGTCCTGCACCCAGAATGTATCCGGTTGGTGGGATATCTGCAAGCATATACGCCAACAGGCTCCGATCAGAGGGCATGGGTTCCAATGAGCAGGCCGTGCACTTTGCCAGCCAGGACTACGAGGCTCTGAAGCAGGAGTGTGTGGAGGCAGGCTGCCTGTTTGAGGATCCCTGCTTCCCCGCTGAGCCCCCATCTCTGGGCTTCAAAGAGCTTGCACCCTATTCATCTAAAACCAGAGATGTGGAGTGGATGAGACCCACGGTAAGAAAGTATCAAAGAAAAGTTTATGCTTTCCTACTCTGTGGAATTGGCGTATGATAACAGTGAGTGAAAATAAACTATCACTTTTTACAACTGTCAAAAAGAAAATTAGCCAATAATATGCTCTATAATATAATCCAGGGGTGTCAAAATCCTTTTCATTTTGGGTCATATGAAGATCATAAATGTTTCCGATGGGCCATTTGTGGCTGAATGCATTAATAAAACTATACATTACACTGTTAAAACATTACAGCTTTCTCTATATTCAATGAGTACCTCTTAAAATTAAACAATATTGAACATCTTTACACACTCATGTAATTTGACACTGTACAAATAAAAACTGATTCGATTTGACTGGTGAAAAAATATTTAAGCACACCATTATTATCTTGAAGTTCTATTTATGAGGCTCTGTGTGTTGAGGGCCACATAAATAGTTATGACGGGCCGAATCAGGCCTGCAGTCCTTGTGTTTGACACATTATGTGTTAGACATAATCCATTCTAAAATGAGCTGTAGTTCTAAACATCTTTTTGTTCAGTATGTTTACTGCTTATTCACTGCTTCTTTTAATAAAACACAGGCTGGTGAATAAGTCAGACTATCTACTCTGGCTGCCAGCCTGCACTCTACTGCTTAAGAGGTTGCTTAAGTTGAAAATTGTGGTTTTAAAACTGTGATGAACGGGTCCATTATAGTTTACATATCATGTCTATCACTGTTTTTTATCACTAGAAATTGGCCAAAGTAGTTTTTCTGGGAAGTGAAGAAAGTAAGTTTTGTAGTCTTCTTTCAGCCAGCGGACTGGCAGTGTGCCACAACACATTCTGTTAAGCCAGAGATTTTTAAAAATAATTATAAAAATAACCAAGTGAGTTGAAAGAAACTACAATAATTGAAAAGTATATCTTAAAAAACAAAGTAATATAATAATTTAAAAAACACAACTTTTAATGTCTTCTTATTTCTGGTAAACAGTGCAGCCTGGGTAATCATTTCTAATTTTTCACATTCCTGACCAGAATTAGATCAGATAGATTCTTGTTTTGAATGCTTGTCATGTTATAATTCAGGACAGGAATTTGATTTTGACTGTTGCATGTAAGCAGACATATCATGTCTCACTTTACATGTTGCAAACCTGGACAGAATCAGACTTGTCGGGACAGGCGTTTGCAGAACTCTGCAGCTGTTGGCATCTCAGACCTCTCCCCTGTCTGACATTTGTTTACAGCTCCTCAATATTTAGAGTTAACCCTGATGGGAGGATGGCAGCCAGAAAGAAACTCTTTCTGTGAAAGAGTTTGATTGTCCTGACTCATTTCTGTTATCTTTGTAGGAACTGACAGGTGACCCCCAGTTCATTGTGGGCGGAGCCACCAGAACGGACATTTGTCAGGGTGCTCTTGGTGAGTTATGAATTTGTTGTGAAAATAAATTAAAGGAACAGATTCTGATGTGAGGTTTTGGCCTCTGATTTTCCCCTCCAGGCGACTGCTGGCTCTTGGCAGCCATTGCCTCTCTGACCCTGAATGAGAGGCTCCTTCATCGAGTTGTTCCACACGGCCAGTCCTTCCAAGATGACTATGCTGGAATCTTCCACTTCCAGGTTCTTTACTTACAATTTTTCACCCTTCCCTTTTCTTTTTTCTTATTCACGTGAACTCAATGGATGGATCTCTTTTTTAATGCACTGCTTTGCATTGCAGTTCTGGCAGTTCGGCGAGTGGGTAGATGTTGTAATTGACGATCGATTGCCTGTCAAAGATGGAGAGCTCATGTTTGTCCATTCAGCTGAGGGCAATGAATTTTGGAGTGCACTTCTTGAGAAAGCGTATGCCAAGTAGGTTTTAAAAATTGCTTGCATTAGTTTGTTCAGAAGGATATTCTGAAGAGTTGCTAATAAAAGCAATTAGTCTGAAGGGTTTTTCTATTTACCATCAGGCTAAATGGCTCCTATGAGGCTCTCTCTGGAGGAAGCACCACAGAGGGCTTTGAGGATTTCACAGGCGGAGTGTCTGAGATGTATGAGCTGCGCAAGGCACCTAAAGATCTCTACAGGATAATCAGTAAAGCCCTGGAGAGGGGCTCCCTGCTGGGCTGCTCTATTGACGTAAGTGCCATTTGCGCCTATTCATCTAGAACAGCAATTTAATTCTACATTATAAATTTCTGCTCACATACTCACAGATAACCAGTGCCTTCGACATGGAGGCTGTGACCTTCAAGAAGCTTGTGAAGGGCCACGCCTACTCTGTCACCGCATTGAAGGAGGTCTGTCTCTCTGCAGCTCAGTCAACCCAAAGCATTAAAGTTGTGGTTTGACTTTTCCTCACCAATTTGCTGTGTGACAGGTTGAATATGCTGGGAACATGGTGCGCCTTATCCGAATACGTAACCCCTGGGGCCAGGTGGAGTGGACTGGAGCCTGGAGTGACAAGTGAGTGTGTTCAAACTTACAGGTGCATCTTAAGGTGTGAATTTGTTTCTGTACTTAAATTCAAAAAGTTAAATATCATGTAAATTCATTAAGCACACAGGGCATATTTCAAGATGTGTGTTTTTCTTCTGCTGAACTTTCTATTCACATATTTTAGACTGCACCCTGTGAATACCCATCTTGATTAACAATTACCATTTGTGACTTATCATCCTTGTAGAGGACATCACTGATTGTCTCATGGACATCTGTTATTTTAGCATAATAGGCCATAAAATCACATTCTTCTACAGAGTTTTCTTAATTGTATTGCAATATCATATTTTTCTGAGAAACAAAATTTCAGGTTTTCATGAGCAGTAAATTATAATCATCTAAGTTTGACAGTTGTAAAACCTGAAATATGCCACTCTTTGGAATAAATATAATTATGAGTTTCAAATTTAGAATTAAACATCTGAAACCAGTTAAGTCAGGGGTGTTCAGATTTATTGAGATGTACCTTTAAATTTTGTGTTTCTGAACATTTAGCTTTGGAGGGTTGTTTCTTATGTCATGTCTGTCATTCATAGTTCCAGTGAATGGGATGAAATTGACCCATCTGAAAGGGAAGACCTGCATCTTAGCATGGAAGACGGAGAGTTTTGGTAAGATTTACATCTTCATATACAACAAGAAGTTAAAAGGAATAATATACAAAAGGAATAATATACACTGTGTCTGGTGCAGTCACCAGACACAGTGAGAGAAGACAGTTTGCTGAAGGACTGTTAAGTATAGTGGAGAATCTACAATGTTGTGAGCCCTAGATAACCTTGCTGGACTGCATGTTATTATGAGCTCTTTAAAATATCAGATCATTTCAGTAAAATCTCCAGGACTCAACAAGAAAATTGCAAATTGAATAATGGCTTAGCTCCAGAGTACCTAAATCCAGTGCTGGTAACCCAAAGCCCTGCAAGGGCCCTGCAAGGGCTTTGGGTTTTAGATACATCCCTGCTCCAACACACTTGAGTAGCCAAACATTCCTCTCTCTGTATGATACAAACTTGTGAAATGGGAAAAAATTTTTTGCTTCTCTAATGTCAAAAAGAAGTTTGCTTAGTTGCAACAAGACAAGGCCATTTTTATTTATTTATTTATTTATTTATTTTGGCATGATCATTTCTTAATGTGATTCAAACTAATCTAATCTAACTTTTATCGAAATTATTTGTACAGTGTAACAATGTTTCTCTTATTTCTTTACTTTTTTTTTCCATTCAGGATGTCCTTCAGTGATTTTTTGAGGCAGTTTTCCCGACTGGAAATCTGCAACTTGACTCCAGACGTCCTGAGTGAGGACAGCCTCAGTCACTGGAACACCATGAAGTTTTACGGCACATGGAGGAGAGGCAGCACCGCTGGGGGCTGCAGGAACCATCCCAGTGAGTCAACAGCAAAAATCCAAAAACATGTAGCAGAATAATAACATCAGGGTTTCTTCACAGTCATGAAGAGGCTGGAATAGTGTGGTTTCTGGTGTCATTTTCCTGATCCTGAAGGAAAAAGAAAATTTAGTATGACCAAATTTTCCCAGACTTTTTCTTCTGTCTTCAATTTTCTAAGGACAAATACTTACTGGTTCTTAATAAATGCAATAATTTCACACTAATATTTTTGAAATTTACATTTCCTATCTTTGATTTGCCCGACAACTTACTGACTTTTCATTTATTGACTAAATGCGTACAAATTACAATCAAAAAAGTCCCATTTTACTACAGTTGTAGTCTCTGAACAACTTTAAAAATGTGTTGATGTGGATTTATAAATCACTGAATGGGTATGAGACAAAATTCTTGTCAAGAATAACCCAGGATGAGCCTTTAAAGTCTTCAGATACTTGCTGACTGCTTTCCCACAACTGGAATCAAACAAGATGTGACAGCATTTAGTTTTGCTCCTAAACTCTGGAACAAACTCTGAAAACCTGACATATCCAGAGAAACTGTTGGTTCTTTTAAATCAGGACCAACAAAACATTTAGTTCAACATTTGATGAAAAGTCCAATTAGTGAAGTTCAGTTTTTCTAAGGCAATTAATCTGTTTCAAATTTGTATTTGGGAGATGTTCTTATTAATGCTGTTAAGTGTTTGTCATGTTGACCTCTTTTTAAGCACCGCTTTAGGGTTTTTTGTTCTGTTTTTAGTGTTTTCCTTTGATGTGAAATTAAATCACTTTTGATTGTCTTGTACTTTGTGCTAAAATACAAATAAATTTGCCTCGCCTTTTATTCAGGTTGAACAGAACCTGTAGTTCTTAGACTGCATCTAAAAGTCCTAGTAAATTAATAACAAACACTTTCTTTAATATAAAAAAATAGTTTGTAATTCTAGGGGAAAAATTATACTAAAGACACAAAATTAAAGCTTTTCTTTAAAGAGTCTGCTTAGTCCAAGAGTTGTAGAGTTTAAAATAGGGTCAATTTAAATAGTTCCAGATGCAATAAAAGTAGTTACTGTAAACCACAGGACAGTGTCTTCATTGTGCTGATTCAGTAACACTTAAAATTAAAAATAATAAGAGATTCTTACTGTTCAAAGCCCACACTTCCATAAGATTTTTTTAAATAAATATATAAAAGTGGTTATGAGTAGACACTCTATAATATGTGTAATTTTTCACAAGATTAGCTTGACATAAATGCTCCATTTCTGTAGACACATTTTGGATAAATCCTCAGTACAAGATCACGTTGCTGGAGGAGGATGATGACCCAGAGGATGATGAGGTGGCGTGCAGTTTCCTTGTAGCCCTCATGCAGAAGGACCGGCGCAGATTCCGACGCCAGGGCCAGGACATGCACACCATTGGCTTTGCTATTTATGAGGTGAGAACCATGATGGACTGGATGGATCCCCTCTGTTCTGCTCCTGTAGTTTATTAAAAATGTCTGCTGCCTCATGCCACCCATTAACAATCTTCCCTTCGGTTTCTTTTGCAGATTCCAGAGGAGGTAGGTACCGGATCCCTTATTCAGAACCTTCTTACTTGTTACTCATTTAGCGATTCTCAAAATATATCTTCACAGATGAAGAGTTTCTTTTAAAAGTCTGTGTCGGGATTATGTACATGAAACACCACAACAGAAACACATTTTGGATATGAGCACCTTAAACTGCAACCAAACTAGTCACTAAAGCAACTCACATCTTTTAAACATACCTGACAGTAATACGTGCATTGTTTTAAATTGTTTGACTTGGAAATATGAAAATCCATGTTAAGTTATTTGTCTCCTGCTATCCTCAGTACAGAGGCTGCCAGAATGTTCACTTGAAGAAAAATTTCTTCTTGAGTAATTCATCGTGCGCTCGATCTGAGACCTTCATCAACCTTCGTGAGGTGAGCACTCGGCTGCGGCTGCCGCCCGGGGAGTACCTCATCGTGCCCTCCACCTTCGAACCTGGCAAAGAGGCCGACTTTGTCCTCAGGGTTTTCACCGAAAAGCAATCAGAGACAGAGTGTGTCTTTTGTATCTATTTTTTTTTTTTTTCATTTTCATCATTAGCAGAATGTGGGAAGGGAAATCTCAGATTTATTTTTTTGTTGCAGGGAACTGGATGATGAAATATCTGCTGATTTTGGCGATGAGGTGTGCATCAAGGATGAATGGCTCAAATCTTTTCTTTTTGGAACTAATTGTTTGAAGTACCGTATATAGATCTGATTGTTATGCTTACTTTTTGTCTTGCAGGAGGAAATAACAGAAGATGGTATTGATGATTCGTTTAAGTCCATGTTTGCCCAACTAGCAGGAGAGGTAACCTGAAATTCAACAGAATGGTGTTGATCATTGTAGTATTTGCATTGTTCTCAGGTGTAGAACCTTATAAAGCAAAAAGCAGGATTTTAATGCAGTTAAAAACAAAACATTTTTTTCTTTCCTTGTGGTTTTACAGGACATGGAAATCTCTATTCGTGAGCTCAGGACAATTCTCAACAGAGTGGTCTCCCGACGTGAGTTTTCTGTTTAACCTCATAATAATTTGAATGTTCCTGTGGTGTCTTATCGGTTTGTGTATAGCTTGTGCACCAGTTTTCAGACTGTTTACAAACTCTAGTGTGTCTATGGTTTTTCTGTAAAAACCCCAATTTTGCGGTTTCAGACAAAGATCTAAAGACTGATGGCTTCAGCGTAGAATCATGCAGAACCATGGTCAACCTGATGGATGTATCCTTATGACCTATTGCACAAAAATAAACTAGTTAACTCCAGTTCTGCTGGTTGTATTTTTGGAAAACGCATGCATTTGTCAGCATAATAATTGCCTCGATGTATCATTTGCTGCTTTAACACATACTTTGCCAGAAAGATGGCAGTGCTCGCCTGGGACTGGTAGAATTTCAGATCCTGTGGAACAAAATCCGAAAGTGGCTGGTAAAAATGAGAGAAATGTTGGTGTACTCTTGATCCCTCTGTTTTTATTCACATTTTGCCTCTTTATTTTCCAGGTCACTTTCAGAGAGTTTGATCTTGACAAGTCAGGAGCCATGAGCTCATATGAGATGCGACTCGCTGTGGAAGCAGCAGGTCTAATGTCCACAGCTTTCTTGTTGACATTAATACTTTCAAGAAACATAATGATTTTATATTTTAAACCTGTACTATTTCTCTACGCAGGCTTTAAACTGAATAATCGGTTGCACCAGATTCTTGTGGCGCGGTATGCAGAGAATGAACTGATTGATTTTGATAACTTCATCTGCTGCTTGGTCAAGCTTGAAGCCATGTTCAGTGAGTAATTCTGCACTAAATATATCCAAATTTGAAACATCTCAGAGTTTTGCTCAATTGATTAATCTCAATATTAAAAACCCTTCAGACTAATTACTTACTTGTGTGGTTAAAACTAAGTTTGTGTTGCAAAGCAACTTAACCTTTCCAAAACCTTTCAATTTAACAGGATCTTTCCAGCAGCTAGACAAGGAGGGCTCAGGAGTTGCTGAGATTAACCTCACAGAGGTGAGTGATGTAAAAAAAAATTATTTAAAACTTTAGTTGCATCTAACTTTTGTTTCTTATTCTTTTTTTCAGTGGCTTTATCTGACCATGTGTGGATGAGGAGCCCTGCAGTTTCAGGAGAAGCTGCAAAAATATAGTGCCTGTTGCTCTGAGGACCCCTCAGGCTGTAAAACACCCCACCGCAGTGCAAACACAACCTAACATAGGAGCTTTATAAGAAAGTGCAGATGCACTAAAGGCACATGTGTCCTAGAAATATTTCTGAAAATATGCAATACCACAGCAAAAAAAAAAAAAAAAATGGTCATGTAAATCAATTATCCCCAGTACTGAAAATAGCATATGCCTTTGCATGATACACCAGCTGGAATCTGCATCATAATTTGACATTTTAATTTACTAAGTTTATTTTAATATTATTACTGTCAAGTTATGTCCTAATTTTGTCATTTTATGCTTACTAAAAGCTGTTACTGTATTTGTGGGTTTTTTTTCCTGTCAATGATTTTTATTTATCAAAAATAATCACCTCAGAATTTCACCTATGGCTCCTTGCTCCCACCTGCAGGTGGCAGTAGAGTCCTAGTTAATGCCAACTTTTCACTTTTATGTTGAGATAGTTCAGTATTTAAGTTGAAGAAACTAGTTGTTGTTTTGCACTAAAATTTTAGCTGAAGGAATCCATCAGTGATGTCGCTCACATTAATCACATTTATTGTATGTGACATTAAACTGACATAACTTTTATGTAAGGGTTGCCATAACAGTGATTTTGTGCCATTTTGTCATGTTTTGTGAATGTATGTTGTGCCTTAAATAAATATTTACCCCAAAACGGTATTAAAATCTAAACTGCAGAGCAGCAGATGATCCTCTGATGTTGGAAAAGGTCATATTTGCTGTAAACATGAGGTCTCAGTGAAATCTCAAATATGTAGAATAACACTATCATTTGGCACCAAAATACTATGCAGAAGACTGCAAATTGACCATTTTTCATTTTATTGAAAACTCAAGAGCTAAATGTTTATATATATTCGACATGATGAAATTAGACAAACATGTTTGCAATTGCCAGAATTTTAGAGTAATCGCCTTCCATTTTACGGAGGCTTGTTGGTATAGGGACCTTAATCCTTGTTCCAGTAGGGTTGCCATTGTCCTCAATCAGAACAACATTGTTCGAATCAAAGCGTGGAGTCATGCGGTCTCCGGGCATTTTGTGTCCAACGATGAGCGCTTTCTTTTTCTGCCCTTTAATGGCTAGCAACACTTTGTCGCCGACTTTCCCAATGCCGTTCTTAGTGTAGACATGGATCACTCTCGGTGGGCGGTGATATGGCGTGTTTCCGAGAGAGCTGTTGTCTACCACGCGCACTCTCGACATTTTCTGAATTGCAGCCGCAGCAATTGAGACACTGGAAAGATCAAAATTAAGTCAGTAACTGTAAACTAAGCAACCTTTAAAAAGTACTTCATATTTCTTATTGTAATAGGTCTCACTCATTTTCAGTTATGATTTGAAAATGGAAAAAAAGCAAGCAGCAAAATATTGCTGCACAGTACGTTCCTTATGCAGCTTAAACTTTTGCAAGCTAACATTACATCAACATACTTGGGATTTTAAGTAATAGACACCAAGCAGTGCATAATGATGAACCTGAAAAAAAATACATCTTCTCCAAAATTATTTAGAAATAAAATTAATCTGAAAAGATTGGCATAAAAACAATCTCAGCATAAATACATCTGTTCTGTAAAAGCCTTGCAGTTATTTTAGAGAACAAATAGCTTCATAAAGCCCAAAACACACAGCTTTTATAGAGTGAGAAGAAGTTTAAAGCAGAGTTATGATCTATAACATTTACCAAGCTTTGAAAATCTCTGTGAACACTGTTGAGAACATTATCAGAAAATGGAAAGAGTAACTAAAAGCTTGGTAATGAGAGTAGTAGCCACAAAGGCCACAGGAACTATTTGCTTTCTCTTCACAACCTTTCTCTGATGAAAGTGTCAGATAAAAAGTTGCTGTGAGAAAGCCTGAAAATGTGTCTTTCACCAAAACAAATCAAATCAAAAAGGACACCAATCAATGCTTTGCCACACAGTGGTCGCTGCATGCTCAGCATTTAGTATCAACATGTAAAAAAGTTCAAGATGTTCCATTAACATTGCAAGGAACTGTAAATTTCACCTAAAGAGTACTTTTCGAAAAAGAATACCAAGACCAAAGATCCTGAAATATGCTTACAACATGCTAACTGCACCTTTCAAAAACCTCGTACATAAAACATTTTTTCCCTAAAAAGATATTCTTACCTAAAATTTCTTTGGAGGATTGTTGACGACGTCTGAACGAGCAGCACAGGAAGTTGTTGTAAAAGCCGGGGGAAAGTCATGATTACAGCTAATCTTCTGTGGCCTGTGGAAAAAATGCAAACGGTTAGCAGCTAATACGCTAATGTTAGCGGTATCACGTGAGAAGGTAATAAGACTTAAATATGCCAAATGTTTCTCGGTTTGATAATAACTGTGATAAAAACAATGGAATTAAATTGACACATACATCAGATCGGGTGTAAGAGCGTACATTTAGCAAAATAAGGTAACCCTTGTTTTATCCATCCTTGTTTCATCCAATGTCAAGCGTACGTCATCAGGAAGCGACTAATAAATGTAGCTAGCGAGTTAACAAAATGCTAAAAAGTACAAAAAATAGCGCTCACCCTAATATGAACTTGGAGTAGTTTCCTAATCATAAATGTTGCCAGATTGTGCGCGGAAAAAGGCCAGAAGAAGATAGGAAAAAATAGCCAGAAGTGTGTCTGTTGCTGTTTGTATATCACAGACATGCGCAACAGTGTGTGTAGAAATTCAATAAACTAGATGTTACTCATCCAGCCACACGGAGAAATGAAGAGGTTTAAGACGCATGCGCAATCTACATCTCACATGTCTTAGGGGCTATCTCTAAACTTGGTGTTAGACTGGTTCTAGTTAGCGACTTTTGTCTCACCGGCATACAGACTGACTCAGCCGCGGTGGCGGAGCAATGTTTATGTGTACTAACAGCTAGAAATATAGTTTCACTTTTTAATTTTGTTTAGCTTGCTTCAGCTTTTGTCGCTGAACTTATTGTCGTTGGACTTATATTACCCAAGAGTTGCCCGATAGTCTTAACCTGTTCTCGAAGAGCTAAGTCGCTAGCTTCTACTTGGAAACAGTGGGCAGTTCTTCTCACTGCTACGCATTATTAAAAAGTAAGTTGTTTTTGTTATATAAATCAGTGACCACTTTAATTTTTAGGTTGTGTCCTCTGATAAAGACAATTTGTTCAGCTCTGTCTGTTAAGTAACTTATTGGGTGCTGTCAGAACAAGTTAAGCCATCTCTTTACCATTAGCGTCAGGCTAACATATTTGAACAAATTATTCCTTTCTATCTGCTCAGATTGTGTTTTACGGTGTAAACACACACATCCTTGTATGAATACATGAATATGACTACAAATTAGATACTCGTGTTATTATTAAGGATATTTCAGTAATACATCCGGATTGCATGCCTAACGCAATCGGATATTTGTTGCTAATTAAATTTTAATAGTGATTTAAAGGCTAACTCGCGGTAACGGTCGAAGGATTTTGATAAAAGTTAAGCGTTTAGAGATTGCCATGCATGAACTCAACAACCTAAACAAGATTTGTGGTCTATCTCAACAGCAGTAGGGAAAAAAGGGCGACGTTTTGACATGCCTTCGGATACTATTGTCGTTTTCCAGCTATCTTGCAAGTGGTCTGTTTGCCTCTGATGAATTTACTGACCCGGGTTTCATCATGAACGGATGACTAGTTGAAGATTGACTGAGATAATTAATCTCCGAGTTATCCTCTACATACGGAGAGCCTATAAAGAGACACATATGTGCTGTCTGAATATATGAGTAATGGCGCTCTATATAAACAGTATCGATATTTGTTTAAAATGTTCCAGAAGCATCAGTCTTTCATAATGGATTACCTGTCGAACTGGATTGAGTCGTGCATTTGTCCCCCGGTAGGGAAAGCACCAAAGATAATATTAAATAAATAAATAGAATTTGAGTAGAAGTGTAAAATAGAAAAATGTATCCTAAATTTCACAAGTAAATTCTGTTTTGATGATCTTTTCCCTTTTTTTTTTTTTTTTTTTTTTTTTTTTACCAGTTGTGCTTTAAAATGCAAAAGACTTCCAATGCACACTTTCTAACAGAGTGTGCATTTATTTTAAAATTGGTTGATTCACTGCTTACAGAGCGACATATTTCAACTGTTTTCTTTCTCTGTACTTTGAGCATGCAAGCTAATGAAAATCCACAATTCAGCTTCTCAGAAAATTAGAATTTACAAGGGCAGTGAAAAAAAAATATTTTTTTCTGAAATAGGTAATGAACATTCATTCTGGCTAATTTTTTACATTGTTACAACTGATTTTACTTTTTTTTTAACTCTGTTGGCGATTAGGTTAAATAATTGTGCTTTTAGTACTAATTAAAATAATTTGGATTGCTTATTCAATAAATTAATTATTTCATTGTTTGTTCAAGGAGCATCAGTTTCAAAATTTGGCCATAGCAGGTAATTTTTTTTCCCAAGATCATGAAGTTTCAGTCACAATGTTAGCCGATTGAGCATGTACTTGTTCTTTAATGTTTGAGCAGCTATTTCTGATTTAGCCCTTTTCTGTTCATTTCTTAGTCTCTAATTTTTGTTGAACATAAGATACACCAACTATAAAAGTAAAAAAAAAGGACAAGCTTTCAGCTTATTTGATAGATATTTTTGTAGTGAATATAAAATGAAAGCATTAGAATATTTCAAATATGATTCATTGTGGTATGTCATGTACTGATAATTTTTTTGTTATTTTTGCTAAACTCAGAATAAAGTGAATCAATGAACACTCCGTCTTAAGCAATTACTAAATGGCACAAAACACTTTTTCTATTTCACCTGCTGATGGCTTTATTATACTAAATCATGGGAAATCTACTGGCTAATTTAATTGGTTTGTCACTTTATTGAGCTTTAATTTGCTTGCAGCATGACATGTAGTTAAATCTACCAATAATGTTAATATTAAGTATTAATTCATTAATACCTACAATAAGAAGTCTTAATTAAATCTACCACCAATGTTTAAAGTTTTCCTTAACTTTATTCAACTTTTTCCTTGTTTGTAGTTAATCTCTCTTGGGTATAATCTTGCATAATGTTTTGATATTGTTATGTAACATCTTAAAACAGAGGGTTTGTTGCTTGAATCTCAGGAAGTTGACAGTGATTTACCAACCAGGCTAATATTAGCATCATAGTCTTGGAGATTTTAATTAGAGTTTATCATTCTATCCTATAATGTTTGCAGTTATAACTAAACCATGTCAACTGCACAGAGTACATTACTTTTATGGTGGACATGTTTGGTTTACACAAGCTAGATGGCTTCCTAACAGAGTGTGCATTTATTTTATTCACAATTTCACATCCTAAAGTTTAGTACCAAAGCAGATGAAAAAAGCTGAAAAATAGTAGATAAAAAATGGCCAAACATTTGTTGGCCACATGTATCTTCTTTGTTCATAAATATTTGCAATGTCATGACATTAATTTCGCTTCAGAGATGCAAAGATGTGTGCTTTAAAGAAATTACACATATTTTATCACTAGAAGAGTATTTTAATTGGCATTTCGTGTGCTACAATATAAATTGACATGCTGGTTGAAGAAAAAACCTGTCGTTTAAATTTCTCTCCCAAGTGTTTTTTTTTTTTTTTTTTTTTTTTGGGTATTCATCCTCATTCCTCTTGGCTTATAGTCCTATAAATACATTTCCACTAGAAAGTTAATGTGATGGTGCGTGGATTGTTGGCGGTTTCAAAGCATGAAACAAGGCTTGGTCAAATAGTTTGCGTATGACATTATCAAACAGAGACTCGCTCAGTAATGGAAAACACTATAGATAAAAATCTCTTGGTGACTTTCCTAGAAGTCAGAAAAACACCATAAAGTAATGTAAGAAGTTGGTTAAGATAAACTCACATCGACATATTCACATTGGACCATTTGCTTGCATAATGTTAAGCATTTCTGTCAAATGTTCTGCTTTTGTGGTTTTGGGTCAGATGAGCTTGGTACACATTAGTTACCTAAAGATGCAGATATAAAAAAGTTCTTGAAGGAAATGAAACTGCAAGTCCAGCCTCTATGACAGGACATAACCTCCCAAGCTCGTGTTGTGACCCATCATGTGCTACTCGGCACGTCTTTTTAACTCCAATGCCTGTTTCTGCTCTACTTATCGTTAAATGTCTGTGTCAGACCTTTATATGAACAGAGATGTTTAACTAGAACATGCAACTGCTGAATTTATGTTTAATTTGTACATGCATGTTATCTTCAATGAACCATTTCTCTAAAATAAACTTGCTTGTGTGCTTGCAATGGCTGTTTATTTTAACATTGAAGCAAAATGAAATCTCTGCAAAATGAAATTTCTTTCTAATTTGTTTTTGAAAACATCTTTTTTTTTATTTAAAAAAAAAATCATTTTCAAGTGCTTCACCATGTTGCAGGTTTTTAATCTGCAAAGCACCCAGCGGGGGCATGTTGTGTGCTGCCTGAGTTGAAACCGGTCCATTTGAACCCTGTAGTCTCTATCAGTTTATTGTTCGACTCTGGCTGTGACTCTCCAGTGATATCACAGCATTCCAGGGAGAAGATAAATGAGTTAGTGTTAGGGCAGATGAGCAGCATTGTGGATTCGGTTGATAGTAGTGGGCAGAAAGGCACAAGTCGAGCTGTGCGACTGTGAAACGGCTAGAAAACAATTACTTCCTGAAGCCTTCGAACAATATCTTTGAAGGTTTTTCAATTCAAAGCCTTTGACTTTAAACCATTAAACCGGTCAAGTATTTTCCATAAGATTCTGAAATGGAAATATACCATTTTAGTAATTAAAATGAAAATTTGCTCCTAACTTTAAATTGCCAATTGTGCTGAATTTCTGAACATGGAGGTTAATGTTAGAAAGTCTCAAGTAAACCTAGATCCATTACAGTGTTTTGAAGTGCATTGTGCATTATTTATGCTGTGTGCCTACTCAGGGGACATGCTACTTCTGTTTTACTGCTAGACTGAAACTGAAGACTTCTAAAACAAAAATGCTAATCATTTAGACTCTAACTTTGCTGTCGGATGCATTTCAGACATAATCTTCTTATACTCTCGCTGGCTAGTCTGTCCAGGATATCATTATGAACCTATTTACATTGTAATACATTTTTAAAATTTATATTTTATTAGGGTTTTTAAAAAGTATTTTATATTTGACACACGTCTACCTATAAGACTAGTGCTGGAAATTAGTTACCTAGTTATGGTCTCTTTTATTTACATGTTAATGTTCTTAAAAATGTTTTGTCCAATTTAAAATTAGCTACTCGGACTGTGTTGGTGTCCAAATACTCTGCTGAAACTAGTCCTTTATTGACAAGGGATGTGTCATTGAAAGGAAAGAACCTGTCAGAAATGGGACACAAGGCCAACCCATAGCAGGCTTGTTCCAACAGGTTTCTTCTGCTTCCAAATCTGAACAAATTACAGGGACTGGAAACACACTGTTTATTTTTTGTGGGGAGAACCCACATCATTTTAGTAATTTAAGAACTAGGCTGTGAATATCATCTTTTGTTTTTCTTCCCAGTTGTACATTGTTGTATGTCAAGCACAATTCAGGAACAAAAATGTATTTCTGTAAAATAATTTTGGAAGTTTTGCTTATATGGTGCTTGTGGTCAAACAACAAGCATAACAATAGCTAAACATGTGACTGATGACAGCTAAGCATGGATTCACATGCGATGGTCACAGTATGTCAGTGTTGGGTAAAAACCGGAACGCATCTGGAGAAAAATTTGGTCACTTCTGGTCTTTCTCAGATCTCATTAAAAGCACTTCAAACCAAAGCAGTGTTGTTAAAATTTCTTTGCAGTTGAAAAACGGTAACTTTTTAAATTAATGCACCTTAATACTGATGACTTAAAGATCTGAATAGGAAATTGTTTCTAATGTATGATCTAATATATTCTGATTTTCCTTTTCCATTTCTAACTAATCTTGATGCAAAAACGGGAAGAATATATCTTTATTGCAACATTAAGTCAGTATGTAAAGTTGTAAAAATGTGTTTCTCCTTCGCAAGGTGTCACCATGCTGCAGTAATTGAATAAGAGATTGATGAAGATCACAATGAGCTCCACGTTGGGGCCTCAGTGCAACAATGGGAACTGCTCGACCAACAGCTCCAAAGAATTCTGCTACTCGGGCCGAATTCGCAGCACTGTGCTCCAAGGATTACCGTTTGGGGGTGTCCCTACTGTCCTTGCCCTTGACTTTATGTGCTTTTTGGTGAGTATTTATGTCATTCATTTGAGGAACCCAAAAACATTTGTGTAGCGTTCAGAAGCCTAGCAATGACTTACATGTACTTTAACCTTTCCTTATTCCTTCCAGGAAAGTGTTTTGAAATGTTGAGCTTTGTGAAGCTGTTGCGTAACTTTCATGTTGTTGGTTTCTGTCGTGTAAATGAAGGCGGTGAAGGTGCTAACAAGCACTGTTTGTTGTGTCCCTGTAGCTGCTGCTGTTCGTGTTTTCTGTGTTGAGGAAGCGAGCATGGGACTATGGGCGCCTCGCCCTGGTGACTGACGCCGATAGGTAATGAAACGCGTGCCAAGGTTCCTGGAATAACTTGTTCTAAACAATGGGAAATGTAGAATTATGCTCACTACCCGTTGGAGTATTCATATCACCTGGATAAAAGCAGATGCATTTTCTGGTGGGGGTTTCAAGTTTTTTAAAAGGAAATGAAATACTGGTGGTAGTTTTTATTTTTTATTTTTATTAATTTATCTGCATTGTAGTTCCTTTTGGTTGAAGCTATTGTAATATCCATGTTTTTTTTGTTTTGCTGATCTAATCCATGCAAAAATATTTACTGCTGCTGCATGGTACTATTATGGGTTACTGTAATGATAACATAAGCATTTTACCTCAGTAGAGGTTTGTTAAAGAAACCTGGATTACATCACAAACAGAATTCAACTTCTTTAACACTTCCTGAACATTTTATGTTTTGAATAGAATTTATACTGTGGAGTTTTCACATTAAAAAAAGCTGATGCTCCCCTGATTTTGTTGCATACAGAAATGAAGGCAACATTACATGTTGTTGCTTGAACTGAACTGTAATAAATTACTTGGCTAATATCAACATGAAATTCATTTGGAAACACACCTGAAGCAGCTCCATAATATTTTCAGTATTACAGAGGAGGGCAGCAGTTTTTTAGTTTTTTTTTTACTTTATGTCCCAGTGTTTTCAAAATTAGAAAATTAATTGTGAATTAAGTTCACATTTAATCTGGTTAAATATGAACTTTAACCAGGTTTTTTGGACTTTTTAGAGAAGTAACTCACACTGTGCTTAATAGAAGGGATGGTAGTGATTTTGTTGGAATTTATGCTTTATTTAACTTCTGACAGACATTCAGCATCTGCTGAAAAGCTCAACTTTAGTCATGTCAGTCCAAAGTGCGTAGTTCCAGGAAGACTCCATAGAGTTCAGTAAACGCTGCATGTCTACATTTGTGATGGTATGATATAAAAGGTTTTTTGTTGTCATTCCCAAACTACTTACCATAGAAACAGTGGTTGATTTGCAGAAAACCCCAAAATAATAAAGTTTCTGAAAACTGATCAACTTAAAAGTGTTCCTTTTGAAAAACGATTATTGAATGTACCAATAGTTCTCCTATTTGAGACCTCTTATTTAAATCTCTAAAGAAGGGATTTTTCTAGATTAAATCTACATAATTGCTGGAATTTCTTCAAGTTTCAGCACTGTTGCAGTGTTGTTTATTTCCCAACAAACTGAACATGGCACAATGGATTTTCCCTTCGGATCTTCCCCATGGTAGCAATTCCCTCCACCCCCTCTCTCTTTCTGAATCATCATCGCTGGTCCTTCAAGAAGCCTATAACTCCTGCAGTGCTTTAAATATTTGGCAGCCAAGCCGCTCATCAACTGATTTGTTTCAAAGTAAACAAACTATAGCTGTGAAAATTAGAAATGAAACTGATAGATGTCAAAGACGACTTTGATTTTTAGTCTTTGCATGTATTTCTTTAAATTCAGCAATAATGTGTTGTTTTTTTGAGGTCTTTTGCACAATTTCAACCCAGGATTGAGAATTAAAGTGATTTATTGATTCTACATGTCAAACAATAATTGTGGTGGTTGTGACTGATGCAATAGGTATCAAATCAAATGCTTATGAGTAAATGCAAGCTGAAAACAAGCCAAGGTGTGGCTGATGTGAATAAGCTAATAAAAGATTTAACTTATTCTTTCTTCATGGGGAAAGATAGATTTTTTTTGTTGTTGGCTCTTCGTCCTTTTAAAAAATCAAAAAACTATTTAAAACTACTTTTTGCATTTACTCAGATTATCTTTGATATTTAATTTTGTTTAATTTGATTTTTTGTCACTCTTGTTTCAAAGTAGCATAAATTTATATGGACATCAGTATTTTTTATTTTATTTTTTTATGTGAAGGTTTTCTTCAACAACAAGCTGAACCTGTACTTGGCTGGTTTGGCCGCCCTTCTGTTTTTCCAACAGAAACGGGCATAATAAGGGGGAGTCAGAAAAGGGCGTCAGCAGTTTGTATTTTAGTGCCAGCAAGTGAGCTCTGCCACACATTTTTAGATCTTCAAAGCTCATAAATACAGGTTTAAATGCAGAGCAGTTTTTATTGTTAACATTTAGGAATTTAACCCATATTTCATTTTAGACTAAGAAATGAAAATAGTTGGGTAATTTCCAGGTTATGAATCGCCCAAAGCTCTGAGGTGTTCCACTACCTCACAATGGGGGGGGAGACAGAGTCAGATGGACCTTGGACAGAGTCCTTGACACAGTGCTCCATTACCCACATTCCCCAGCTGTGATTGTGTTGCGTCACAGCCACACTGTTTTTCCAGCTGGGTATGAGCAGAGAATGGGCTTGTAGCATGAAGGGAGGATGTGAAGAGGGGACAGCATGGGAGGCTTGTATAACCGACAGGATATGGAGATGTAGACTCACACAGCCTCCAAATACATGGTGGAAACATTCAAAACTGTGGTAGACATTTGCGTTATCAAATAACACGATTAACTTTGTAAGATAAAATAATTTGTACCAGGTTGAGCAGAGCCTTCACTGATATATGTGTGGTGCAACATGGCTATTGGATTTTTCTCTCAATTGATCACCCCCCTTTCTTTTTTGTTCCCAGTGGTTTTATGTGAGCTTAATGCTTCTTGCTTTGTTTTGTATGTTTTTTTTTATCAGAAAAAAAGAGATGGATCAACGGTATAGCCGTCTGGAAGATCGGGAATAGTATGTTCATCTTGCCGCATCACAGAGCTGTTTAGTGCCTTTTCCTCTCTGTTGTTTTCATCTCTTTTTCTGACCTAACTCGCCACTCTTATCCCTTCTGCTCAGGCTGCAGTGAGGTTTTTTTGTTCTGATGATATCATTATTTTTCTTCCTCTTTGATCCATTTCTCAGTACCAGCAGCTCTTTCTCCATGTCATTCTTGTGCTATTGGTATCGGGTGTCCCTGTTCTGTCACTGTCCTAATCAGATCTGTATGTGCTAATCTGTGTATTGACCTCCTTTTATGAAGCTTGAAGTTCTTCTGTGTTAGCGTGCCGCATGAGCCACACAGACTGGACATTGGCGGGGAGAGGTAATACTTCCCTGATGTGCAGCTATAGATAGATGGGCCCGGTCCTCTATGTGGTGGTTGTTCAGTGTCCAGGCTAGCAGAGCTCAAATGAGTTTTTTCTCCTCACAGGAATGTGGGAGAGGAGGCCTTGGGCTCTCTCCTCATTCCTTTTCCTTAGAATTGTTAGAGCCTTCAATGATCTCATACTTGAACATAGGATTGATCTACTTCCAACAGAGTCATGGTGTTCTTCAACCTTTCCATCTGGATTTATATTGTACTGTTTATTTTACCTCCCAGAGGGAGTGCTATCAAATTTAGAAATATTAAATAAGATCATATTGATTTATATTAAAGGGTGCTGATGGCTCTGGAGGAATAACTCAACAAACCTATTAGAGAAGCTTCTAATATGTTTGCATGTCAATTTGATTCAATTCTACACTCTATAAATGTATTGAAAAAAACTAGAAAAAATGAGGTTGTAAAAAAGCTGTATTTTTTTTCCTGACCTTAGTGCTATAAGAACTAAGTGACAATTTATATGAGTTGATGTGTTGTCATAGCGCAGGTGTGAGAGATCAGTGTCTCCATTTACTGTATGTTAATTTATGACGAATTACAATGCGTTCAGTAACAAGTAACATCACATTTGTCTGATCATGCAAGCTTGAAATGATAAAATTTGCTATTTTTTAGAAGACAACCAACATTACCAATTGAAGTTGAAAGCAACATAGTTCAAACACAAAATAAGTATATTCACATATAGGTATTTTAACTGCACCGTAAATGGCTTATTTTGAGTCTTCCTTACTCAGTTAAATCATTCACACTGAAGAGTGTTGACAGGTTGCCCTCCAAACACTTAATACGGTGCATTTACTGTTCAGTAACAATAGGATTTTTACAATTTTATTGTCAGGTTGGAGCTGATTAAATCTGAAGATGACCTAATTCTTGTCATAGCTGAATTCCTAGTGTGTCACTAAAGTTTATCTCTCGTTATGTCCTTCTCTGACTATTATCATTAAACCGTCACTCTACAGTGCTCGTAAGTCTTTATAATTAACAACAATAACAAAGCATGTTAGCATGAAATGTGACTACCGAAGTTCCTCTCATGGTTCCCTCTGGTAAAATCTCCTTTCTTGGTTTCAGGGGAAATGTTTCTGATCAGTCGTATCTTTTCAATGCTGTACTTTACCTCTCCATTCTATGACATCAAGCACTGAAACATAGTTGGTGTGACATATGTCACCTTTGTTCGTTTCTATGCAGCAGCATGCAAATCTTGTGTTTCTGCTTGCAGCGTAAATTCCCCTCTGCCAGAACCAAATGAACGCTATGCACGCCTCACGTCCGTATCAAGCTCAATGGACATGGACCCAAGAGATATAGTAAGAAACCTTACTAGTTACTACAGGATGAAATATGGGTGCATCTTAATGAAAAATAGAATATTTCCATAAAATAAAACTCACGTTTCTGTGTAATATAATCATTATTACACAGAATGATTATGTTTCAAATAGTCATTTCTGGTTATTTTTGCTAAGCCAACAGTGAGAACAGCAGCATTAAGACAAAGTACCAATACCTTCAATGATCATGATATGATTGTGTTGTGCCTAAACCCCACAATGACTATATTAAGTATTGTCAAAAGGAAGGTAAGAGGCTTCAAAACCAGCCATGCAAACAAGTCGAAGGCTCCTAGTGAAATGACTTGGGCTTCCTTAACAGCTCAGCAGAACCAGCCTGATCATTTCATCCCACACTGCATTGAGCCGATATTCATTGAAAAGGAGCTCTGTGTACATCCACTGTGTAGCGCATGGGCCAGCATTTCTGAGCTAAAAAATCATTTTAATTGGTCTTTTATGGTATTTAATTTTTCAGAGAAACAATTTGTTTGAGTTTTCAAAAAGCTGCAAGCCATAGTAACCAAAGTTGCTTAACATTAACCCTTCTGGGAGTCATGAATTTATTAGTGTGTGTGTATTTTTATTTTTTTTTTTACATTAAATTAAACAACACACTTTTCAGTGATATTCTGTTTTATTGAGTTTTACCTGAACTGATCTTTCAAGCAGAAGATAATGTTTTTTCTTGTAAAAACTGCTTCAACTGTCCTGTTTCAGGGCTTTTGCTCCTGGCTAACAGCCGTCTTCCGCATCAAGTGAGTCCGCTTCTTCATTCCTTTTTACAGTAAAGCCACTGCAACCTCTGACAGTAAACATAGTTTTCAGGTCTGAATTACTCTTATGCAGCTGCTGCTGTTTGTCTTTTCTCTCTAAAGGGAAGAGGAAATAAGGGACAAGTGTGGTGAAGATGCTGTTCACTACTTGTCTTTCCAGAGGCACATCATTGGCCTGCTTGTAGTCGTGGGTGTGCTCTCTGTGGGCATAATCTTGCCTGTTAACTTCTCGGGGAACCTTTTAGGTGAGTTAATTGAAGTTTACTCATACAAAAACTTTTTTTTTCAGTATGGCAGAGTCCTACAACTCCTCTTTTTTGTTTAAATTTTTTTGATTTTGTTGGTTTTGTATAAGAGGCTACATGTATTTCCCACAGTCCTGTACATAATTAAATATGTGACACCAGAATGACATTTTGCAGCTATTAACTTTAAGACTGTAAGCATTCCACATCCTATTTTTTTCTCTTGTGATTTTTCTTGTGACAGCAGTTATGTGCTGCTGCTTTTCCTCCTACTTCATGTTTTTAGTTCCACATTGCTATCAATTATAGATTTCTACTGTCGTTCGTTAATTTAAGAGGGCATAAAATGACTTAACTGATGATGAATCGGCTTTTAATCCTATTTCAGCTGCTAGTGAGCCATGCCTGTGAGGAAAATACAAATAGTAAATGCTGAAAGTTTAAGGAGGAATACATGATGTTTAACTTGCACTTGATCTTCTTTCTTTCTTTCTTTCCTCCAACAGATGACACTGCCTATAGTTTTCCACGAACCACTATAGGAAATCTAGATACAGAGTGAGTCTTTCATAAACCGTTCCTTCTTTGTGTGTGTGCGTGCGTGTGTGTGTATGTATATATATCAATCTATATATATATGGATTTATTTTAACTCTTTATTTTGCTAATGTTTGATTTCTTTTTTCTTTGTTTCTACAGGAACAAACTACTATGGCTACACACTAGCTTTGCATTTCTCTACCTGCTGCTGACAGTGTACAGCATGAGGCGGCACACGTCAAAGATGCGCTACAAAGAGGACGATTTGGTATGGATTCTTAATTTTAGAGCGTCATTACATGACATCAAGCAGTTACATGTTGTTTGCAATTGCTTTTATTTTTTTTTCCTCTATCGGGAAGGTGAAACGCACTTTATTTGTCAATGGCATCTCACAATATGCAGAAGAGAGGGAGATAAAGCAACACTTTGAGTAAGTTGGGATTTCTTTTGTGTGTGTGTGTATGTTTGCTTTCTAATTTTGTCTCACCAGAAGTTTAAACTTTACTGTACTTTGTTTGGACTTTGTGTCAATCAATTTGATCAAAATGTTTTTTTTGTGGATTTTTTTGCATATCCCTCGCGTCATATCCCAGTAAATACATTGAGGTTTGTGGTTGCAACATAAAAAAAATGGATGAATTATGACTTAAGAGCCATAATTCATATTAAGCCCTGCTCGTGTTCAAGTAAAGTTACCATATCAATGTGGAAGCAACACAGCAGTTGTTGGGTTAAGATGTATGATAGCCATGCCTTCCCCTGTTAAACAGCTGTGTTGTCCTCGTCCCAATGTCTGGGAGTGGACAATACCAGGCCTATATGTGTAATTGTCCCTAATCGAAATCAGATGAGTAGAATTAGGCAAGTCATGTGTCAAGTTGGTCTGAGGAGGTTGTTGTTCCTGTCCTACAAAACTGATCATGTAAATTCAAATACCTTTAGATGAATAAAGATATCTGGTAAATGAATTAACAGAATTTTTTTTTTTGTTTCTTCCTCATTGCCTGTTCTGTTAGGCTTGCATACGAAAACTGCACTGTCCTTGACGCTCGTATCTGTTACGATGTATCGAAGCTGATGTATCTCAGCTCTGAAAGGTACTGGATGAAGGATGTGTTTGTTTGCCTTGAAATGATTTTTTTTTAAATTGCATTGGAGAATTCTCTCATTCATTTCCTGACATAAATAGACCCTCTTCTGTCTGACATGGCTATTTTTTCTACTTATGTATTCAGGAAGAAGGTAGAGCGTAGCAAGAAATTCTTTCTTGACCTACAAGATAAAGAGCATGAGAAAACCATGATTAACCCCAAGCCTTGTGGACACCTTTGCTGTTGCATCATTAAAGGCTGCGAACAGGTGAGAAACTTGCATTTTTTGTAATATACTGGTTTGTTCCAGTGAAACTTCTCATATGTATGCAAATAGGTCAGTTATCAGACTTTATTGCTTCGCACTGATCAAACATAAATATTTAACATAAGCATTGGCTTTGAGCAAAAAAAGTGGGTATGCACAATATGCAATTCATGGGTGTGCTGCATTATAGAGGGTGCCCAAACCATTCTTAAACAACTGTGTAAGAATTGTTTCTAGTCTGGGTTTTCTGTATTTAACAGCTTTGTGCATGTGTAAATGATGTGATTGATATAGTAGGGAATAGAGCGAAGGATAAAGACATTTTAGAGATGAAAAAAGTTTTTCAAAGTGGTTAAAAGATAGTAGGTAAGTTATGTCAATCTATCAAGACAAGGCTTGTGAATGTTCAGGTTAGTTTGAGTTACCGGTAAAATGACAGGTTATGGTTGTCCTGCAACTGTGTGCTGAATTTATAATGTAAGAAATTACAGTAGGAAAAATATCTTTTTGTTGTAAAGACGGTAATCATTTGTTTAACTAGATGGTGAATTATAAAACATTGTAGAACGTGGCAGTGATATACTTGAGTTTAAATGTCTTAACATTAAACTCTCAATATAACACTGCAGTGCTATGGTGATGCATCCAGCATCCACCTGGATGGACCACAAATTATATAATTTTACATTAAAATATAATGTTTTATGTGTTCTATTTTTCAAAGAACATACTTAACACAAAATTCATTTCATTCAGCTGTGAGGATGGAGAGAAAGAAGAGAGAAAGAAGAGAAAGAATCAGGACAGACAGGGAAAGGAACAGGTTGGTTTGATATTAGGCAAAAGTGTAGGAACAGCCAATGAATCCCATGTGATACACTTAAAAATAACTATTTTTAAAAGATTTATTAGCAAGGTCTGTAATTTGCTTAAAGCTATGCTTGTTTGACCATCTGACTTGGTACAGAAGGATGCAAGTTTGACCCAGTTAGTGGTGATGTCTATTGAAAACAAAGCTGCATTCAGTTTCATTTGCTGCCAGTTTTGACAAAGGTGAGTGCAAAGGGATGACGTGTAACATTTTAGTTAGATGTTCAGTGTGCACCTCTGGGCTTTAAACTTGATTCTATGCCGAGGTAAGTAGTAGTTACTAGTAACATTTACTCAATTACATTTTCTTGAGTACCGTATGTGTGATCAGACACCTTATGAGTCAGCGTTTGAGGGAAGAAGCACCCACCAACGAAACATCTCACTTTCTGTCAGCTGGTCTGCAATGACACATGGAAGTTATTTGACTCTGGTTTTTTATGTTGCACAGTTTGATTTTGAGAGGTGGCCACGCCCACGTGCTTTTGATCCACCAAAGCCCACTAGTAGCTGCCTAGCAATGTCTTCAGACTATACTGAGTGTTTGTTCTGAGTTATTTTGAAGTAAGTTACTAAAAGCTGACAGATGAGTTCTCTCACATGCTACTTCAGTACAATAGGCAAAATGGCTGCCCTCCTGTGCCATTTGGACCAGGGCTCCAAGATGTCTTTTTTGTGTGATCTAAGGAGTAACACGTGTGTGCTGATTTATATAATATCCAATCAGATCACATGTAAAAAAAAATTTTTTTAAATAAATATTTTTAAGGTTTTGTGGAGTAATTAGATCATTTTCGCTGAATACTTGAGTAAAAATCTGTTCAATCATTACTGTCACTGCCAAGTCAGTAGGCACAAAATTTCTGTATGAAAAACAAATTTGTATGGGTTTTACATAACTCTCTAGAAGTTGCTTTGAGGAACTGATTTTTAAAAATTATTATTGTATGTAATCCATTACCATCATATTTAACAGTTATAAGCACTTCCCGATGTATAAAAAATGTTTTTGATTATAAAATGTTCTTTTCTGAATTGAATGACTAAAACTATCATGTATTTTAATCTATTGTGATGGACTTATGTTTTCTTCCTAAAGGAAGAAGCTGTGAGTTATTATACCAAGCTTGAGGCGCAATTAAGGGATGAATACCGGAAAGAGAGAGAGAAAGTTAACAAGAAGCCTTTAGGAATGGCCTTCGTCACTTTTCAACATGAGAGCACAACTAGCACGTAAGTTAATTTAGATAAGTGAAGACATGCTTTTCAATTCTGAATTTCTGAAATTTGTTTGTCGTTTTTGCTGCAATGTGTTTTTTGTTTTTTTTTACTTTGGTTTGTTTTCAATCTTTGGATCTTTGTCTGTTAGAATTTTAAAGGACTTTAATGCTTGCAAGTGCCAAGGCTGCTCCTGCCGTCGTGAACCCAAGAGTTCGCAGTTCAGCTCCAGGCTGCACACCTCCAACTGGACCGTCACTTATGCCCCTGATCCACAAAACGTGTACTGGTGAGAAGAAACACTTCGTCACAGAAGGAAAACAATAGCTGTGTTTTGGCTGATGCGATTAGTTCACATACCAAGTATTAATCTAAATGCCGCATTAGAACTTTTTGAGGGAAAACTCTTCATAATGTTTTGTTATTTAAACTAGCGTATTAGTTTTCTGGCCAGCTGCGTCCATCTCTGCAGGTTATCACACCGTGTCTGTCTCACCGCTGTGTAACCCACTTTCCCACAGGGAGCATCTGTCAGTGGGAGGGTTCAAATGGTGGGCCCGCTGCTTCATCATCAACTGCGTCCTCTTCCTTCTCTTGTTCTTTCTGACCACCCCAGCCATCATCATCACCACCATGGACAAGTTTAACGTCACCAAACCAGTGGAGTACTTAAATGTAAGTATCCAAAGCTGATATGTGGGGGTCTCTTATTTTGAGAAAGTAATTTAATTTGATGTCTTCCTTCCCCAAGTCTGGAAAAATACATTTAATAAATTAGTTTTATACACTGTAGCTGATTTTAGTTTGTCCACTTGGCAGAAAGGGTGAAATGCTGAATCCAAATCCTGTCACAGCTCTGCCTTGTTTCAGAGGTTTAGATAAAAAAAAAAAAAAGAATAAGAAAATCCAACCATCTCAACTTTTTTTGTTCTAAAAAAGTACACAATTTGTAAACGGAAATATTATAGAAACACTGTAAAAATGTTCAAGCACTTTCAGGCAAGGGAGTGTCTCAAGACAATTTTACTCGCATGCCTCAGATTTGTATCTATTTAACTGAGGGTATTGTAGTGACCTCTAACATTTGAACGTTTTACTCTGTACTGTAAAACATGGCAGATAAGATTTTATACATACAAAAAATTACAAATGTAGTAATAATCTCATATTATGTCACACAACCCCTCTCATGAGAATGTGAATAATGTTTTTAATGATTAATAACTATAGAAAAAAGATGAATACCTTCAATTATTTACTGTATCTATGTCAATGTTTGATCTGAATGTTTTGAGTCACTTTTAAAAAGTTTCCACTATCTAAAATAAAAATTAAGCAGTTTTTCAGCAGTAAGAAACTTACCTTAGTTTATTTTCAGATGTCATTTACCATATATTTAATCACAAATACAGAAAAAAGATCCTTTTTACACAACATTTGGCCTCCAGGTTATCTTAGAGTTTTAAACTGGATCCATGTTTTTTTTTTTTTTGTTTGTTTGATTTGTTTTTTTTATATTTGGTCTGGCTTAAACCCAACAGGTAAATGTCAATCAAACAGATTTAAATACTAATGCCTCACTCATGTCTTTCTGATCCCAGAACCCCATCGTAACCCAGTTCTTCCCCACCCTCCTGCTGTGGTCTTTCTCTGCTTTGCTTCCCACCATTGTCTACTACTCCGCTTTCTTCGAAGCCCACTGGACCCGGTATGTTTATTATTCACTACTTTCAGTTCTTCTGTTTTCTTATGTATTTGAATTTTAGGAGGATCATGTTTTAATGTGTGTGAATGGTTTCTGTTGTTTTACAGGTCAGGAGAGAACAGAACCACAATGCACAAATGCTACACTTTCTTGATCTTTATGGTCCTTTTGCTGCCCTCCCTTGGACTCAGCAGGTGTTACATGTTTTATTTTTTGCTTTGTAGCAAATTATTACGTAATATAAGGAAATAATTTTGTGAACCTTTTTTTTAATATATATTTGAGCTAATGTCTTTCATTCATTTTTGCAGTTTGGATGTTTTCTTCCGCTGGCTTTTTGACAAAAGTTTCTTGGATGAAGCTACAGTGAGGTTTGAGTAAGTATGGTGGGCTTGGATTTTTTTTTTTTTGTGCTGATTTTGATTTTCCTTGGATGTAAAAACTTGCATATAAGACTTCATCATACCCAGGCTTAGTGAGATGCAGAAAATCAGCGGGATTGTTGTGATGCCAACTTTACAACAAAGGGTTAAGATAAATTCGCTACAGAGGAGTAAAGTTCTGCTAAAATAACTCAGATGTTTTAATTTCACATATTTTCTAAAAACTATTTAACTCAGTAAGTTTGGAGAAAATATAAATAAAATTCTGCATGACTAAAGGCAGAAGTGGTAAAACTATTTGAAGGGATATGCATTCGACTGACATGATGTTCATGATGTGCCATTTTGTAAATAATGACACGTTTAATGCAAAGTTGAAAATTTGTATGGCCTTTTAATGCAAGTACAAGTTCAACTTTACTTTAAAAGTGTCATTATTTACCAAATTAAACAAAGTTAACACTTTTAATGTCTACAATGACTACATACTTGACAATAAGACAACTAAAGCTCGTACAGCATTAAGAGCATCACTGGTCAATCAGTCAGGATACTGATTGATGATTTTGGCCTGAAGTTCCCTTTCTGGTGTATAAATGCCGATCGGCCATTTTGGGTGTTGAAATTTTGACTTTTCTGAGGCTTTTAAAGTCAGAATTCCAGCATCAGGAGTTGTTTTTGTTTTATTTCTAACTTGAAAAAGTGTTTGAGCCGAACGTCAATAATCCTTCAATATTTGTAGGCTTTGCATAATTTTCTTTCAAAAATGTACATTCTTTTTCTCTTGGGATTTTTATAGGTGTGTGTTCCTCCCTGACAATGGAGCCTTCTTTGTGAACTATGTCATTGCTTCTGCATTCATTGGTAATGCTAACGACCTGTTGAGGATCCCCGGTTTACTGATGTACATGATCCGCCTGTCCTTGGCCCGCTCCGCAGCCGAGAGGAGGAACGTCAAAAAGGTCAGTCTCAGCATGCAAATCTAAACAAGACTCACTGAAATAAGTTTTTACATAATTTGTTTTTTTTTTTTTTTACAAAAAGTTATATGCATGGGAAAAAAGTAAGAAAAATTATAATTTTTTTGTTTGTGGGGGGTTTTAGCACCAAGCTTATGAGTTCCAGTTTGGGGCAGCTTATGCCTGGATGATGTGTGTCTTCACTGTGGTTATGACCTACAGCATCACCTGCCCGATCATCGTCCCGTTTGGTGAGTCATACTGTTTAAACTCTGTGCACTGCTTGCTCTGTCTTGTTTTCACATCGACGGAGCACACTGATCAAGTGGCTGGCAGAGGCCAGGCCACATGCAGGGCATCTGTTCTATGTCCAGAGGCTTATCTACAGGACTAATTGGATTAGTTGTGCTGATTTCCTTGTCTTTCTTCCTATGTAGGGCTGATGTACATGCTGCTGAAACACCTAGCAGATAGGTACAACATGTACTATGCCTATCTGCCAACAAAACTGGATAAGAAGATTCACTATGGAGCTGTTAACCAGGTGGTGGCAGCTCCTATCCTCTGCCTCTTTTGGCTTCTGTTCTTTTCCACGGTGCGCTCCGGTAAGAGGACAGCTCCCTCTACTGGTTACATAATTGTGGGCAGATATTTTATGGAGCCCTATCTCACACTTTTTCAAACCTATAAATGAGTGAAAATCCATTAAATGTAGGTTGTCTCTCTTCTATTCAGGGTTTACTGCTTCAACATCCATGTTCACTTTTGTGGTTCTGATCATCACAATCATCATTTGCCTTTCTCACGTCTGCTTTGGGCATTTTAAATACTTAAGTGCTCACAACTACAAGGTTATTTTATGCTTTCATACTTTTTATGATTATGCATGCACCTGCTACTTTTGGTAAGTGTCTCTTTTCTGCCTCAGACTGACTCAGAAGTGGATGGAATGGAGAACGGACGTTCAGCAAGCCCTTCATCTAGTGGCAAGACAACGGTAGAAACTCATTCTTGTTCCTTAATCTCAAACAAATGGGTTTTCAAACAAGGTGAAGTTGTAGGTTGAAACTACAACCTACAATTAGCGATGTAAATTATTTCAATACTTTGGCAATAAAACCTAAGACGGTTAAATAAAGAAGACAATGACAAATTACATAACAAATTGAAACAAATGTAATTTATGAAATACATCAGATTGTATCATGTAGCAAGTTTTCTCATAGACTGTTGAATGCTGGGATCAAGTTTGCAGTTGGTCTCAAAGTGGCAAATAAAACATACAATTCTTCTGTTTGTTTGCTTTTGAGAGGTGTTTAAATATTCAGTAATTAACACTTTTGTGTTGTGTTTTCCCACAGCAAACATACATATGTCAAGTACTTCAAGATCCCTCGTCGGAGGAGGCCGGATCAGGCAACGGAGAGGACGACGGACAGGGGTCCTCGCAAGACGAGGAAATGATCCAGGCTGGAAACAACCTGACCGGCGACTTCCAGTCCGGGGAAGCCAGCCTCATTGAGAACGAGGTGCGGCAGTGAGGCAGTCTGGGACACGAAGACTAATGTCAAACGAAACTTGATGAGTGCACTAAATGTGTGACGTTAACATGGAAGTGAACCAGCAGTTCACCAAAGCATCTCAGCCTCCATCAAGGGACCTTCTCCTGACTAACATAAGCACACCATCTACTAAGGATTCAGTGGTTGTTTCTCAAGGATGTCTTCTTCATTAGGTCTCCTAAAAGAACATCGAGTGAGGCAAGAGTGGAAAAGACGAGGTTCTACCCAAACACTGCATATCAACCAATGGCAGAAGATGCTGATGCACAAATGAAGAGTTTTTGCCTTTTTTTGTGAAGGGAGAAAAGTTCTCTGTATTTCCTTAACTTTATTGTACTTGAATGTTAGAAACAGGGAGCTCAGGTTTCTCTGAGGTACTGCATTATCACATGCAAATTCAAAGGATGGAGCAACTGTTTTGTTTTTTTGTTGTTTTTTTCTCATAATGCTTCATCTGTGTGTCTGTCAGCTTTAGATGCTTCCCATGAATTAGCAGCGTAGTAATGTCGGCCTAACTGGAGCTTTTGCGACAGATTTAAAACGGCTCTTCCTATTCCATAGGATCCTTTAAAGATAAAAAAAATGCTACTAACACTCCTGGAGGCTTTGACACTATATCTATGAAACTCTGGATTTGTGAAGTAGCCTTTTTTTGACCTGGTATTTATTGTAAGCATGATATTTTTAAATTCTGTCCAGCTTGATGCTACTTTAAACTGTGGACTACAGTATTTAATTCATCCTAGCACACTACACTGGCACAATGGCTCTGCCTCTGAGCCTTTGTAGGGACTGCTGCTCCTGATGTTGCCCTCCCAACTATGCCAGAATAGGGCGGGGTTTCTTGCACAGCTGCCGCAGCAGAAACTGGAGGCTGAGAATCTGTTGCTGAGAGGAGGCCTTTTCAGATGACACTATGACTAGTTCTTTATGCATAGTTTTTGTTTAAATCTTCTCGTTAATGTTTACAGCTTGAAGTAGAGGTTAGAGAAGAGGCATCAAATTTAGATGGCTGCTTAAAGTTTTATGATTTGGTTAAATTCATTTCTCACCCTATCCGTCTTCACAAGCTTTTTATTTAGACACTTTGTGACGTGCAGTAGCAGTCAGATGTTTATCCAACACATCATCGGAGTGAAGCAGGCGATGGGGCTTAACAACAATCAAATTCCGCAAACGTGTTTAAACAAAGCTAACTGGGTGCACTAGTTTGTGGGTTTGGACAAATTTCAATACATGTCCATAAATAAGATGTAGAGAAACCTCGGTTTTTGTTGTCATGAACAAATTTCTGACAGATTTTTTTGTCTCAGTATTTGCCCACTCTTCACATCAGAAATGGCTGACTTCATATAAGCTGGCTGTCTTTCTTTCATGAGGTCTTTGCATTGTTACAGAAGCTTAATTTCTTGCTGTATCAATTCCATGAATGTTTGGGAACATTGCACTGATGAGACTCCTGAATATGCATCGAGCTGCTAATTTGAGGTGAAGTTGAAGAGTTTGGAGGTAGCCTCCTTAATATTCCACAAAGTCAGCCTCTTAAATTGGCAGGGAAACAATCTCTTAGCACGATGCATGACAGTTGGTACATTGTCATCGTGATCAGATTTCAGTTCAGTTTGGAGCAGGAGCCTTTTATCTTGATACCTTCCAGTTTTATATTCCTGAGCCTGGTTGGTTCCTGAATATTGTTAACAAGTTCAGGTGGTTGAAACTTGGACTTCATCAGCTTCATCAATGATTCTTTGCACTCGTCAAAACTGATCTTGTAATGGATAAAGTTAAAATCATTAAGCTTCTGGAGTGGTACTGACTGAATTCTTATTTTTGAAACTTCCTTGGAGTTATTTGTCATTTGATCAATTCCCTCTTGAATAAAATAGACTCATGCATAAAAAAAACTCAAATTAACAGCATGCCAATGATGATTGTGAACAACTGACTCATACTTTATGTTGGAAACGTTGAGTTCCTTTAGTATTTGAGTTCTGTTACAAGTTCTCATTGCTCTATACCGAAAGCAGAGGTCAGCAGTTTTTCCAATAACATGTCAGGACTTGGCATGTTATCCCTCACGTTATAGATACTCCAATGAAGAAGTTTTACATTTTTGTACCACTTTAAAAAAAATGTAACTATAAAAGAAGAAATCACCTGCCCTACAAGGACGACTCCATACTTATCGTCCAGATTAATTTAACATATTCATAATCTGCTTCTCTGAAGTATCTTCTCATTGACTCTAACCAAATGCTAACATGTCATAACAAATCATTTAAAATCTAGTGCCCATGCAGTTTCTCAGGATCTTTTGAATTTTGACTTTTAATTTTATTTTTTTTAAACAGACTATGACTTGCCCCATTAATCTTCAAGGAAACCATTGGTAAATAATGCAACAACAAAAAAACAACCACTAATTAATCACTGTTGGATATAATGCACTAATCTTTTTCTCACTGATATGACTAACAAAGAGTAGCACGTGGTATCTGCCAAAATGGCATCCATTTGGTTTGATGGCACCATTCGTTGAATCATCACTGTTCGAGTAAGACTGTTGACCTGACACTACTGTATTTATCTGCTGCTTCTCTTGTCATGATAAAGTGACTTGCTTTATACCTCTTCTATACATGTGAGATAACTGCAAATCTCTGAATGTGTCCAGTCAGAATAACAAACACTGTCACACTGTGAGGAAGATGTTTTTTTTTTAGCACCAAATGTAGTCTTTGTTTGATAAATAAAATGTTACTAATGACTCTCTGAAAGAACTGTTTCCCTGCTAATCAGGAATTGAACATTTTATACTGTAGCTACTCATCTATGTCTAGTTGTTTGTCTTTGCATTTCATTGGATTCTTAAAGCTGATCATTTGTTTCATTTGTACTCATTTAGTTCTGTTTAAATTACTGGAATAACTGGAAAGAAATATTTTGTTTTCATCAACAGATCATCATAATAATGTCTCCACTATATATTTAGAAAAAAACTGGCAAAATGTGTGTGCACATTAAATATGTTTAAATATCTGTTTTGTAGATTAATGTTACATGTTAAAGTAATGGCAGATTTCAGCCTTTAACTCTGTCATTGTCTCCATTGCCCCATGCAGATATTTGTCGTATGCATTGGAGATGTCTCATCAATAAATCTGCATCTAATCAACTGTGGTTGTTAGTCTCAGTTCATCTCTCACTTGGTGTAATGTATAGGAACGGAGGTTTATGGTGACTGAATTTCACAAAATTTTCCGTCTCCAAGTCCAGGCTTTGAGAACTGCTATACTGCCACTTCTAATGTGTCTCATCCAAATGAATTTCCTATTTATTTGTAAAACATGCTGTGGAGGTAATTAAGCAATTTCAAGTTTTATTTTTAACCCAAATAAATTTCAGTAACACTTTTTGATATCTGGACTTTAGACCAGTATAAGTAAACAATATTTAAGATACATTTTATGTGTCATGAAACCTTCACCCAGTTTTTGAAAGCTGAGAAAATGCATAGCAAACTGAATGAAGTTTAACTTTGAAAGCAGTCTGGCTTGCCAAGCTGGCACAGTTCAGATGCTGGCCTGACATTTAATTGCCAAAATTGGCAATTAAAAATGCTTTCTAACTTTGTAATTTAGTACATTTTTCTGTTGCTTTCCTTTGAATTTTTGTTTTCTACAGCAAAAGCTGTTGTATCTCTTTCTGTTATTGGTAAACAAACAGCTTTAAAAATAAGAAAACAATGTTGTCTTAAATGGTTACTGATGTCAGCTTTTAGTCATCCTGGTTTTATTGAAGCGAGGGCACACTGTCCCTGGCTGTGACCCTACCTTTTCACAGCCATTGATATCTAGAAAAGTTTTGAAGACATTTGCCTGAATTACAACATTTAATTTGTCACTGGAGTGAATGAGTTATTTTTGAATTGCATTGAATGTTAATACAATTATTTTCTTTTCTAAATTGATACCCTTTTTGTGTAATTTTATTATATCTTAAGGAGCTTCCTTTTTTTTTCTATCAGAAAAACATTCCTTTATTATTATTTTTTATTTTTTAACTTAATCTGCTAGGGTCATGATAAATTCATATTTTTGGTGCGACAGCGACAAAGATTTACCGGAAGTAAGCTTTTATTTTGAAAGCGTCTAAGCGAAGATACCGTAATACCGCGTACCATCGCGCATAGTGAAACCGAATGAGGTGCGGTTAGACCTCAGCCCTTTAGAGGTGGGAGATGAGAAACCACGGGCTTTTGGTCTTTGGTTCTATGGGACGGTCCATGGAGGCTGGCTGTGGCGGGGAAGGAGGTTCTCCTGGAGGAGGGACAGAGAGACGGAGGTGCGACGTGGAAACCCGCAGCGCCGTTTCTATCTCCTGAAGTAAACAAATGAAGTTACTGTGAAACAATGAGCGCAGACTTTCAGTTTTCAGAACAATCTGATCTGCTGACATGAAATGAGACTCGACTAACGGAGTTAGAACTTGTAGGAAAAATCCGTCGCCATGGAGGAGGGACTGACTATTACTTGTATTTCTGTAGCGATGTTTGTGGGCACCTTCTTACTAGGATTCATCCCACTGTTATTCCGACTCTCTGAGGTAAGTATGTATGTCTTTAACTTACGTTAAACAAGGTCAGCAGGCAGATTTATCACGGCTGGTTTAAATAAGTCCTCTAATATAGTTCAGTTCATAGCGATGATGCTCTTCCAGGGCCGGTCAGAGATCGAGTGGAGCCCTAAACAGGAAGTGACTAAGGAACCCATCAGCCACCAAGGCAACACATTGCTAAATTGTTTCCACGTTGAGTATTTAGGGCTATTTTGTTCTTGCACCGATGTTCAGGGTTTAGTTTCGTAATGCGACCAAATTTATTTCGTATTTGCAGATTCACCATTTGCAGATATTTTGTGGAATGTGACTCCAAATTAGTTGTAGAAAATCCCACCTATTTGCAGATTCTTCAGCAGAGCATGTCTCAAACATCCCAAAAAATATGCAGCTTGGAATGCATAAATACTTGACACATTATTGGCTGACACATGGAAAGCGTCATTCATTTTCCATGGTGCTGATTGGCTGCACTCCTAAAGCTGAAATAAAAAGCTGTAGTTATTAGCTTTTTTTTTTTTTTTTTAGATTGGGCTGTTATTAATGTTTTAGATGGGTCCCAAATATTTGTGGATATTTGCTAACTCAAACCGCCTCACATGACCTGATGTCTCAATATACTGCATTCGATTTTGTTTTGGAAAACAACGGAGTGTGTTTGAATTTTGACTTTTACTCCGTACAGAAAAGCCTGCAGTTTGTGTCCATCCTGGGGGCGGGTCTGCTGTGCGGCACAGCGCTGGCCATCACCATCCCAGAGGGTGTGGGCTTACTGGAGGATTCGTGGAGAGGTGAGCTCACTGTTTGAAATTTAGAGAGGCTGAATTGCACCACTCTACCTTCTCTGCCCCTTGTTGCCTTGACAACAGAAGTGGTGTGATTCAGTCCATCTGCTCCATCAAATTTGCATGAGTGTATCATCGTAAACCATTTAAATCATAGCTGAAAGCAGGCTCACCTGTCTGAACATGTTCTCTCCTGCTTTGTTGTCCCTTCCTCTCGTTTTCATCTTCTCTTTGCAGAGTCCTCCTCTGATGCTCCATCTGGCCCGAATGCTAGTGAAAAAGCTCTGCCTTACACAAAGGGAAGCGCCCCACCTCGCTTTTATATCAGCGTGGCTTTGACGTTCGGGTTTACCTTCATGTTTGTTGTCGATCAGATTGGAGGATACATTTCCACGCATGGCAAGTTTAGATAACTTTCACTTTAAGCTTCATTTTATATCAAGTTTTCCATTCGTATGCTGATCATTTAAACACGTTTTGTTTCAGGTCAAGCAGCACATTTGTTGAATAACAAACACATCACAGCCACTCTGGGGCTGGTTATCCATGCTGCAGGTTTGTTAATCAAATATTCTCTGGACATTAACTTGCATAAATAAGTATTCATATTTCTTTAAGTTTTTTTTTTTTTTTGATTTTGCAAAATAAAAACTTCAATGTATTTTATTGGGAAGTTGTGTGACAGATAGAGCAAAACAATATAGGGCATATTTGTGAGATGGATGAAAAAAGAAAACTCTGCACCCCTAAATAAATTTAGTATAACCAGATACCTCCAGTCCATTTGTGTGTAATTTAGTCACTGTATAAATCCAGCTACTCTATGAAGGTATAATGTATTTTTAAGAGAACATGAATAAACCGACAGCATATTGAAGGCCAAGAAACACGTGACAGCAATAACACAATTCAATCCGTCATTTGAAAACAGAATATGAAACCATTTAGAGCCTATCAAGACATAACTGAAAGTCATCCACACCACTCTGTATAGCACCATCACTTAAAATCTGAGTGAAACAAATTGCAGCTTGTGGTTTTGAACCACTTTATCTGCTGGTTTGTGTTTGCTAATACTGCAAAAGGATATCCGGGACAAAAGCATGAAAAATTTCCAACAAAACCCAGTTATTCTTTCCTTCATGTGACTTATCATGGGATTCCTGCACTCTGTGAGGTCTAAGTCTTATTTAGCATGGCTCAAAGGCTTTGATTTCAAATTGCTTAAACAAACATTTGCTGAGCTATCACTTAAACCCACATTGGTGCACATTATGAAATCACATTAACCACTTTCTTAAATATTGCCTGTGATTTATAATAACAATAATAACTCTTCTTGCATCCAGCTGATGGATTTGCTCTGGGCGCTGCCGTCGCCACAGGTCAAGCCACCGTACAAGTGATTGTTTTTTTCGCGGTCATTCTACACAAGGTGAGAGAAATTGTCAGCTGGATGAGGATGTAGACATATTTAACAAGATGTGACAGAACTGATGGAATCTATGTTTTGTTTGTTTGTTTGTTTGTTTGTTTGTTTTTTTGTTTGTTTGTTTTTTTCTTGGCTCACAGGCTCCTGCTGCTTTTGGTTTGGTTTCCTTCCTGATGCATGCAGGCCTTGAGAAGAAAGACATCCAGGGACATTTACTGGCCTTCTCAGCAGCAGCGCCCATAGTCGCTATCAGCACTTACTTCACACTGCAGGCGGTGAGAGAGCACACATCCTTCACAATGGTAGCCCAGTCAGTCTGGTTCTGACCCGTTACATGCTTGTGCGTGTCGGTGTGTTTGTCGACAGACTGGAAGCTCCTCTCATAACCAGCTGAGTGCAACAGGAGTGGGAATGCTGTTCTCAGCAGGGACTTTCCTTTATGTTGCAACGGTGCACGTACTCCCTGAGATCAGCAGTAGCAGCGCAGCAGAACCCCTCTCTGGCCTGCAGGAGGAAAGAGGAACAGAAACCCACAAGGCGAGATATCTGGGGCTCCTGGAGAGCCTCACCCTCATCCTTGGTGTGGGGCTCCCAGTCATATTGGCCCTCAGCTTGCACGATGACTGACGGAGAGTTTACTGCGAAGGATGCAGAATAACATTTCCAAAACAAAATCTTATCAAGTATTTTTTGGTCTAGTTTCGAGTGCAAATATTTTTTACTCTCGAAATATGACAAAACTAATGTACAAGTAACTTTAGGGCAAGATACGGAAAGTGGTTTTAAGTCAGTAATTTCTTAATATCAATGGAAAAGTACTGCCCGTCAAACAAAACATTAAAATGTCTAGTTCTATCTGGTACTTTCCATCAGTGTGAAGGAATTATTGACTTAAAATAAGTTCATTTATTGTGCTTAAAAGTTATTTAAGTTACTCTGTCTTATTTCAAATTTACTAAGATATTTCCAGTAGAAACTAGAGCAAAAATACTTGGTAAGATGTAGTATTTTTGCAGTGAAGACAGAATGAATGAAAACCGTCCACGTATCTCAGCGTTAGGTTGTTCCTCCTGGGCGTGATTCTGATCATATTAACCTAACCCTTGAGCACTGCCATTGTTCTTGGATCAACAAAGCTTTTCAGGTTTTGAAAGGACTTGGATATTTTATATGCCGCTATCCTTCAGCTGAGTTTCCAGTACAAGTAAACAAAAAGAGGGACATTTGTTATTTGTTACGAAGCTGTATAATTTTTTTTAAAAACGAAACCGTGGCCAGGAGATAGAATTACAAGAAGAACAAGATAATAATTTGATACTGTTATGTGCACAGTATGCGACCTCGTTTGCACAGTTTGTACTAGTTTTGTGTGTATTATTAAGAGTTTTACAGGAAAAAGTGCAAGTTGGGCGAAACATTCCTCCTCATGATTCCTCAGAAACAAACTCATTGTTTGTTTTTGTTTTTTTAGTTGAAATGCCAAATGTGACACCTGAACTACATAAAATATTTTTAGAGCCATATTATTTCATAACTTATTGTTTTCATCAATGGATGTTTGATTTATTTTTAAGAATGTATTTTAAAAGTTTGGCTCTAGAAAGCTGTCTCTACTTAAAATGTGCAATAATCGTTCAAATAAACTACGACACCATAAATTTAACACTGAAAAGTTTATAAAAACCTAATCTTTTATTGGAGTACACCTGTTCAGCAAAATCACTGGTGATGAAATTCTGTTGTTACTCCATTGTTTAACCTCATTTTACCAATAAGATGGAAAAATGAAGTTTTACCGTCTTATTGGTAAAATGAGGTTTTATTGGGTTCTTTGTCTCCAATAACATTTTACAAGGTCTGATCTTACAGAGAAGGGTTTTTCCTCTGTGCACAATTTCTCTTAATTTGAATTTCTCTGTTGTAGATATCTTAAAAAATATAAGCTATTTTGTTTTAGAGTTGTGTTTCTTTTGTAGCTTTAAACAAACTTTGTTTAGCTGAAGAAAAGAAAAAAATGTATACTAAGATTATAAAGGTTGCTGACTCTTGATCCAGATCATCCAGAGTTCTTAGTTCTGCTCTCTTCTCTTCAGCTAAGATGGTCATAAAGACAGTTTGATTTTATCTAAAATGTTCAGATATTCAAATGAGTTTCTATTTTCCATTCTTCAGAAGATTCCCTGGGTCTTTGGAAGAAAAAATGCTCACAGGATGACATATCCTCCACTGTAAGCTTTCATACTTTTCTACATGTTTTTATGTAGTGTTTATTACTTGAAAGCTTTGCCTTTGTCTCATATGGCCAAAGCACGTGTTTTCATGTAAAGTCCAAGTGCCTCTAGCTTCACTCCTTTGTTATTGTGATGGTAGGATAGAAAATATGTTTTTCTGGCATGCAGACCGGAGAAGATGTTGTTATAGAGCAGGGATCTGGAACCTGCAGCTCAGGAGCCCACTGTGGGTCCTAAACCCTCCACAGTAGCTCTTAATAGCCGATCAAAACAACAGACGGAACAAAACAATGTTTTTAAATATGAAGTGATAAAAAGGTTAATTTTAGGTAGGTTTTTATATATTTTGATGCAGTGCTTTACTAATTTACCTAAGCCAATTTGGTTCTTTTTCTATGGATTTGGTCAGCTTATACAATGTGTGGTGAAGACACATCATTCAAAACTGTAATGCAAAAATTTTAGAAATTTCAATTAAAAATAAACTGTCAATTAAAAACAATTAGTTTCAATTGTTAGGGTTACCAATAATTGCCTCCTTGTAATTTCATTAAACACAATAATTAACTCTCTCTTAACATGAGTTTTTTCTCCACTGGATACATATTCTCAATTCAAGTTTTTTTTATGTCATGTGTTGCCTTTTTACTGAAGATGCAAGCAAATATGGCTGCATCGGAATTAAAATGTGTTAAGAAAAATTTGAAATAAAAATACATTCAAAAAAATAAATGTAAAATTTACTCACATTCTGTTATTCTTTAAAATGTATTGAACATATCCCTATACTACCCCCAAAGTAATACAACATTGTTATAAACCTTTACAACAATGATGGTTTGGTTTGCTAATGTGACTACAAATAGTTTCCATTTACTTGAAGGAACATGATTACCATGTAGCTCAGCTGAATTTCTCCTGTTTTAACCTCAAATGAAAGCCTGCAGTGAGACACTGTAGCATTAAGACATGTCAGGTTATTCAGTAAAGCACTCATAACGAGTGAAACATTAACTTTCATTTCTTTATATTTGCACTGTGAGCATTGCTTAATGGCCTTCCTGTCAGTGTTCATGCACTCTGTATCTGTAAAAGAAAAAGAAAAAAAACATTTTAACTTTCTAATGGTGGAAGAACTCAACTCTGCTCCCTAACAGCTACTGTGACACATCTGTTGACTGAGTGAGTGGAAAGGGTTTGCGTAAGACTGGAGTCATGCTCGCCTTGGCCTTTTCAAAACAGAGTCAATAAAACGACCTTCACATAGTTCCTGAAGATAAATATGAAAACAAGCAGGAACTTCTACTGTGATTACATAATGAATAGAGATTTCCCCTTGCAAGTTATTTCCTGTACTTCCTCAGAAAGTGTCCCTGGGTTCCTGGGCCCCTGTGGTCCAAAATGAGTTTATAGATAGAGTTTATGGTGTTGTGAAACAAGACACACTTTTCTGAATGTTTTATAACTCTGTATTATTCTACCCTCTAGTGGCCCTGAATTACATTGTTTTAATCCAAACTAGTAGAAATACCCTCAAGCTGGTGAATTATGAACTTTGCAGGACTTGTAAAAAAGTTTGCCGTGCCACTTGACCCTTTTCTGTTGTCACTAGTTACAGACACAAACTTCAGTGTATTTTGATTCCACTTATTAGCACAAAGTAGCATGTAATTTTGAGGTGAAAAACAGTTCAGTTTGTTTTGTTTTTACAAATAAAAGCAGCATCTGTTTTTGTATATCTGTCTCTACCAGCTGTACACATCTGAAAACTAGAAAAAAAACAATGTTTGTTGAAAAGAGTTCAAGCTGTAAGTTGAGTGTTAAAGTTGGGTTTAGGTCTGGACTTTGACTGGGCCATTGTAACATATTCAGTACTTTGATCTGAACCTTTCCAGTGCAGCTCTGACTTTTATGTTTACTGTAGTTCTGCTGGAAGTTGAACCTTCTCTCTAGTTTCAAGGGCAGAAATGACTCTTCAAAATCGTCAAGGTTTTAGACCTCTAGTCTAATACGAAAGGATATTTTCTTTTTTTTTCTCAGGACGAAGGATTTTAAATCCAGAAGAATTTGAAATATTTGCTTTGTCACAAAAAGCTAGTATATTTTCAGAAACTATCTCACCTTATAAGAGATACGATAAGATAAGAACCTAAAATCCTTCATGGAAAAAGTTTTGATTTGTAAAATCCTGGAGAAATGTCCTTGTTCCCTGATCTCAAGTTTGATGTTCTGTCGTGTCTGCAGTTCAAACAAAGTGTTCTATACTGAGAATAAATTCAGTAAAGATGAAGTGTTTATAATTTTAAGGCACTTAGAGGTGTTGCAGAGTAAAGGGCTTGGCAACATGTACATCCCACAATTTAGATGTTTTTCTTTAAAAAATGTTTTGGAAGCAATTCCTTCCCACTTTACAATGATGCAGCACTTAGACATTTTCCTGCTACAGTAAATCTACATGCAAACTTAAATGTGCTGTAAGGAAAAGAAAAAAAGCTGAGCTGCTTTAGAATTTGATTCTGCTCATGGAGGCGGCCAGCTGAGCCTCCAGGGCCATCTGGTGGAAGGTCCGGCTGTGTGTCTGCTGCCTGACCCTGTCCCTCAAATGAAAGGAGGCCTGCACCAGCCTGTGTGCCTCCTCCAGAATCTGCTCCCTCAGTTTTTGCAGCCTCTCCCTCTTCTGCTCTTTCATGCAGACATAGCTCTCTCTGCGCCTCCTGCTGGCCTCCTCTTCTCTCTGGATCTTCTCACTCAGCTGCTTGTGGCAGACCTGTCTGTCTCTGCTCTGTTCTCGTCTCTGCTGAGTGCGGCTCCTGCGCAGCACCGAGGCGTTCTGGGCGGCTCTCTCCATGCGATGCTCGCTCTGCTGGACCAGGATCTGCTTGTGTGTGAGCTCCTGGGCAGTTTGGAGCTTGGCCCTCAGCTGTGCTCTTTGGATCTGGACGTCCTGCCGGGCAGCTCGCTCCCGCAGCCGCCTGTGCTGTGCCTCCACAGATCGGGCTCGTTTCTCGGAGGAACGCTGCAGCTTTTTCTCCAGCAAGTTCCTCTTCTGCGCTTCATCTTCCTCCATCTTCTGCTCCGCTTGCCTCTTCAGCAGGATGTGACGCAGCATCTCTCTGTGATTCTCCTCCTGCAGCCGTTTCCGCTCCCTCTTCTCCTGCAGCTCTCTGGTTCTCCAGGCCTTCTCCTCCTTCTCTTCTGCCACCTGCTTCTCCTTTTCAAGCTCCCTTTTCTGCAGCTCCATCTTCTCCCTAAGCAATCTTTCCTGGTATTTTTTACGCTCCTCTGTCTCCTTCAGAACAGCCTCCAGCTTCTCTCTACGTTGTACCTCAACCACTTCCTTCAGCTTTCTCCATCGGTTCTCCTGGAGCAGCATCTCCTGCTGGAGTTGTGCTGCTTTCTCCTGCTCCACCTGCAGCCTCAGCCTCCTGCGGGCCTCCAGCTCCTTGTGCCAGTGTTTCATACTCTGCTTAAGCCTCCTCCTTCGTTCTTTTTCTGCTTGGGCCTGCCTGGCCTCCTCCTTCCTGCGAGCCTCCTGCCTTTCCTGTTCCTCCTGCTGACAGAGCTTCAGGCGCTCCTGCTCCTCCTGATGTTTGACCAGCATCAGAGCTGCTATCTTGCGATCCCTTTCTGACACGGTGATGCATGTCTTCCTCTTGATTTCTGAGGTGATCTTCTGCAGTTTCCTCTCAGCAGACGGGGAGTATCTCAGATCTCCCAGATTGAAGCAGCTGATTGTGCTCCTCTCTGCGTCTGTCTTTGCAGAAACAGAGGAACCGGATTTTTCTTTGAAGCAAAGGTCTGCATAGACAACTGGCTCTCCTAAGTGATTCTTCACCTTCTGTTCAACTTCAGAGCTCGAGGCTGGATTACTTCTTGGGCACCTGCTCCTTTCGGTTTGAATAATCCTTTTCTGCTTTCCAGGCAGAGGGAAAAGCTTTGATCGTTCCTTCTCGTAGGATTCATGCAGAGTCTTCATGGCCTCATAAGGCGCAGCCTGCTGCCCTGCAATCAGCTCGTTCAGAGATCTAATTAGCAGCTGAACCGGTTTAATACCTGGCTGAGTCGTGGACTCCAGCAAGTGGGGACTTGTTATGACGCAGCTGCTCTTACCAGCTCCAGGCGGCTCAGAGCGGTTCGCATCCAGAAGGAGAGCAGGTGAACTAGACCTCCATTGAACGAGTTCCTCCATTGAAAAAGTTTAACCCTGTTGAAAGACTCTTCTGCTCAGGAAGGCGGCTGAGCTGTGCGTCTGTCCAGCATATGGAGCTGGTGATCCCCAGGTGATCAGGGGATTATCTGATCACCTGATGTCTCACTGTGTGGGATGGATTTATTCTTTTGATAACACCCAGGAGGAGCTACAGTGTTGATTAAATGTCCTAGGACATTTAGAGTTCTAACATAGATTATCAACTTTCTGGCACAACAAAGTGGGAATTAATCTCAGACAATATCCCAGGAAATGTTTTTAAATTATGTAACTCGACAAATCTGCATATGAACACTTTACCAGTTATACGTAAAGTCAGAAACTAATGTCAGATAATTAGTTTCCATTATATGGCAAAAAAAAAAAAAAAAAACTCAGAAGAAAAACTGATTGCAGTCTGACAAGGGAAATGTTTGGTCACCATGACAACGGTTCAGCAAAATTTAAACAAACACCTGTCTGACCCATCTGGTCCTCCTTTAGCACCACATAGTGACTGTAACCACGACAATTGAGCTGGATAGGCAACAATTGTTTCAATTTAAAAAAAAAGTTAAACAGAAAAACAATGCAAACAATCAGACTTTTTCCCCTAGAGTGACCGGATGGAAGCCGCTTGAAAATGTGAGTGTGGCCTTTAAACAGGTTGCCCAGGATGAATGGGCCAGCATTTTATCTATTTGGAGAACTTTACTGAAGAATTCTCAAAACATTTTACCTTAGTCATCAAACTTAAATGGCAATCTGCCAAATACTAGAGAAATCTTTAGTGCACCATTCCTTCCTGCAACAAAACACCCACATAATAGGTTTCTGCTGCCTGCAATACATAACTTTCACAATGTTAAACACAACAATGCACCAGACTTGGAGGTCCAGTGTTAGGGTACCCCGGCCTGCACTGCTCTAGTTTATCTTTTTAGTCTAACAAAATCGGAGTTTTCCTTTTGCTTTTATTCTGAAAAGTTGTGCATGACGCTTCACGTCAACTTCCTGTGTTTGTACGCCAGAACTCTGTATGCAGTCTGAGTAGTTTGTTTTTAAAATAGTTGCGATTGTATACTTTTAACAGATTTTTAGAATTTTTGCTCGTGTTTATGTTTTTGTACTTCATTCAGTTTGCATTGCCGTAGTGAAACAAAACCGCTAAAATCAAGTTAACGGCTAATGTTAGCCGAAAGCATCAGCAGTTAACCGATAGCTATCGTTAGCTTTCATTTAGCACGAATCGAGAGCGTTTTATTCGCCGCTGGCCTTGTGTGTTTATTAATTATCAAAGGTAAATGACTTTGTCTTAACTTCTTTCTTAAATAGTGTACGCTCTGCTATGTTTATAGTTAAACTCTGAACGTCTACGTCCCTATCGTTACTATCATAGCCTGTCTCCAAACATGCTGAAGGTAATTTCTGATAACTTTTCCCCATCGTTTTGCTCTCGTCTTCGTGTGGTTGCCCTTTCGTAGAGCCCGTTCTACAGCAGACTAGAGATGAGAAAGGCCAGAGCGGTCGGTGATGATGACGCTGTCCGGCAGAACGGCTCGTCCAGCCGGAGGAGAACCGATCAACACCCGGGTGATGGAGAGGATCACGACTCGAGCTCCGGTGGTGTGCAAGACGATGATGATGACAACGATCTGGGCCTCAGGAGAGAAATCCGAAGCAAATACAGGGACCTCATCAACTCGGTTCAACGTGAGGTGTTACTGAGAGGCAGTCTTAACAATTTAACAAAGCTTTAATGCGCTCACAGACTTTTCTTTGTGTTACAGAAAACAGAGAAGACATGCTGAGTCCTTCCAACAACAAGCTCACAGAAGTGTTAGAAGAGGCTAATAAACTTTTCAAAGATGGTATGTGAGAAATAACGAGGTATTTCTGATTAGCAGCTGCAACTTTGTGGCAATGTAATTTCTGCATCAAAGAGTTGAATGCCAAAAGGAAAAAGTACTGAAATATTTTTAATGTAACCGGCATAATGTGAATATTAAAAATTAAGACAGTAGTCGTGTTTTCAAATGCTGAAATTCTGGAGTAATTTATGCAGTTTAAATATAAATCTGTAAAAAGTGGTTCTTCAAAAGAACAAAATATAATTTTTTTTGCAGTGTTTTTAATATTTTATATATTACCATGAAACTGGTCGCTCAAATTAAAGTTCTGCTTTCTGTAGTGGATAGAGTAAATATGTTGTAATTGACTTGTAATGATTCTTAACCCCTGTATTTGTAAACTAACATTATCAACATCAGAAATGAAACATTTATTTGTGTTCCCCATACCTAGAGGGAGCTTTGAAAGTTTGACTTTAATATTCTATGTTTAGATTTATACCAGATGTTGTTGTTGTTTTTTTTTTGCTGTATGCAAAAGGATAGCAAATAGAGCTATCCTTTTGGATTAATTGATCTGATGTGTCTTTGCTCTCTGACAGTTCGGCAGGCAAGAGAGGCGGCGCTCGATGCTCAGCTTCTCGTTGTGGCCACAGACTTGGGAAAAGAGAAAGCCAGCCAGCTGTTTTCTGAGGGGAGTGCTTTTGATCCCAGTGCTTTCGCTGAACATCTGGTGAGTGTGTTTACATAACAGTGTACTGGGTTGTGGGAGAATTGCAGATTAAACTGAATAGCTATCAATATCAAGTGCAAAGGGCTGCTTGAATGCAATATTTATTTTTTGCCATTTGATTAAGTACTCACTTCTCTGATGCCTATAAGTCATATTTACTTAAGTATCACAACATTTTGCTATAGAACTCAAACTCAAGTTGTTTCTACTGATGAATTTTGAGCTTCTTGGCAGAGACTGTGAATACTTACGTTAATATGACATCTTGCTTTTCTACTTTTAATAAATTTGCAAAAATTTCTAAACTTTTTCCACATTGTCATTATAAGTTATGTGTTTGTAGAATGCTGAGGAAAACTTTTAATTTAATACGATGTAGAATAAGTCTGTAATAAGGCAAAATGTGGAAAAATGGAAGCACTGCACACTTTCTGAACGAACTGAAAACTTTGGTGACCAAGACGCTAACGATGACAGAAAGTGGGACCGCAACGTAACTGTGGAAGACAAATGAAATAAGAGTGAGGAACCTATGAATTAACAGCTTCTGAAATCATCTCAGTGTTTTGTCTTTGGAGTAAATTTTTTATTGTTCATTGAATTGAACTGATGTCATACAACTCCAACAGTTGTCCTTCATGGGTCTTAACCGTCTGGAGGAAGAGGACGATGAGCAGCTGAACGGTTGTGCCGGCGACGGCTACCTCCCCAAAGACGCCTGGCATCGGCTGGCCAAGAAAGCCGAGTGCTGTTTCAAGACGGCGCCTTCTTTCCACTACATGTAAGTCCCAGAGAGACTAATGCACTCACACAGATTCAAAAACCCTTGGGTTTGGCTTATAGTTCTTACATTAGGAAATCAAGAGTGAATACAAAAACTCCATGAAGTCTGTGAACATGAAGTACGTCAAACTCCTGAATTTACCTCTGATTTTAATAATCCTCATATTAGTCATTGTAGATCAGAGCTTTCACTAAAATGTATTCATTTCATATCTGGTCTCTGAGATGATTCCGTTAGATGGGAGCGATTTCCTGAAGGTATTACTTGAAACAGTAATAGTACTCCTAATATTTTCATTTTCTGTGTAGATTAAAAGAGCAGAAAATCAGGTTTGGAAGAACATTAGTGTGTCTTTCAATGGTTCATTCCCTATTTTTTTTTGTCTTAAAAGATGACAATAAAAATGTCTTGAATTAATATTGCACTCAGGTAACTTGTGAATTAAAGTTTTCTATGAGATTGTATTAGATGTTTTATTTACAATGCATGTGTGAATCTTCCTGCAAGACAACAAAGTTTAGCTGTAAATGATTCTCAGTGATTGTACTAAAAAGATCATTGTGCACATGTGAAGTGATATCAGCTTCACATGTAGATGGTTTCAGTCCCAGAATGAAGAGAAAAAAATGGGCAAATGATTTTTAAAAATACAAAGCAAATGGCTAGCAAAAAATAAACAAACTCAGCTTCAAGTGATCACTTCCACAAAATAGAAGCAGAAAATGAAGTATTTAGCTAATTCTCATTTATGATTACAAATTTCCAACTTTGTTAAAAAAGATACATTACATTTTTAACCAAAGGTGCCACAAACCTGAGTTAAATACATTCAGATGTTTCTGCATAAATTTATTAGAACAGGATTTTTTTTTAGGAAAGATATTTCACGACTGTCTTCAGTCACATCTACTAACATGAGAATGAGTTAACGCTTTAAAAAAGGATCAAACACTTGATTGTCTAAAATGTCTGATCTGAATTTTTTTTTTCTTATTTGTAATGATTCTCTTTAATTTGTAAACATTGTTACTTAGAATAGAATCTCAAAACACTGACTTCATATGAATTTTCTCAACAGGATGGGATCCTTCTACACGGAGCCACCGCCTCCAAAGCAGAGAATAGAGCGGCAAAGGAAAGCACCAAGCAAAGAAACCAAGAGGATAATGCCCACGCAGGTAGCTCCAAGCTGCACCATCATGGCTGCAGTTTGATATAAACAACTGAGCTGATACCGGCAAACAGTTTGAATTATGAGGATTGTTTCTCTGCAATTAAATTTCCTTTCATATATACGTTTACCAGTTTGCTAATGAGCCTTATAAGTCATTTAATCAGATTGTTCTACTTTAGAATATCTTATGTTTTACTCTGGCTCCAAATATTTACTTTTAAATACTATTTACTTGTAAATACTAACAAAATCATGTTGCATTTTAGCTAAAAAAAATGGAAGAATCTCATCAAGAAGCTACAGAGAAAGAGGTTGAAAGAATCCTGGGATATCTGAAGAGTTATTACCAAGATGACCGTAAGTTGGAAATCATCTTTACTGATGTTTGCTATGAGAATGTACAGAGTGGAAGAGACCCTCTGCAGTCGCATCACTAATTCCCAGCTCCAAGTTTTCCTTTTCTTTTCTATGAAGAAACATATTTTTTGGGTGAAGTGATAAGTTGTCAAGCTAATATCTTCCAAAGCATTCCTTTTTCTTTTCATTTTTTGACACAATTTAAAACCAAATTTCAGGAGAAAAGTATTGAGCAGGAGATTTTCATGACCATTAGTAAATTCAAACATTACTTACAGTTAAGCAGCTGTGTGAAGAGTAAATAGCTCTGGGGACCAGATCTGTTGTACAAACTTAAACTAGTGAGATCATCTACTGTGACATGTGAGGTTTTCTATTAAAATATTACAACAACATTTGTAAACTTTATTTACATGACAAGTTTTAGGTCTTTAAATGTGTCGTCAACCTCTTCTGTGACTTTCTATGTTTTTTTTTAAATATAGAAAACATAGAATGTGATCATGAAAAACAACTTCTAATAAATAAGAGATTGGGTTGTAAATAATGATTGTTTCCAGCTGCCACTTTTATAATCTCTGGGTTATGTTTGGCCAGTCATTGAAGAATTCAACAAAAATACTCAGCAATAACACCTCCTGTGTGTGACAGGTTGGGACATCTTTTCATCAACCTATGTGATATCTCGGTGTTGGATCTTTGGGTATCGGATCACCTCTGACAGTGGTCTGGTTCAATCAGATTTCCGTTCAGCTCAAGTCTGTTCACACTTGTATTCAGAGCTGTTCTATAATTTAATACTTCATGTTTGTACCCTGTCTGAAACACTTCAGTGTCTTGAATTATTTTCATCATTACTGTGTGTTTGCTTCAATACAGCATCACCAATATCATATTATGAATTTGTCATCGACCCCAACTCGTTTTCACGGACAGTGGAGAACATTTTCCACACGTCTTTTCTCATAAGGGTGAGAAATGTACCGTTTCTTTTAGCTGAGCTTTGTCGTCCTCTAGTGACTCAGAGTAGGTATAACATTTCTGTTTTTTTTTCAGGATGGTTTGGCAAGGCTTAAGTTGGATAGTGACAAGTTGCCTTGTATAGGTGAGTGCCTTGTTATTCATTGCCGAATAACAAGAAAAATCTCATGGTATCAAATCTTTTTTTTTTACCCTGTTATGTTTTTAATCTTTCAGAACCAGTAGAAGAAGGAGAGGTGGAGGCTGCAGGTTCATTCAGCCGCAAACAGTGCATTGTTTCCATCAGCCCAAAAATATGGAGAGTGAGCAGCTTTACACTATACTATAAAATGTTCAGCTACAGTTTCTGGAAAAGCTAATTTTGTTTTGTCATAGGAACGAGATGTAATGTATTTTATTATGCTGTGACAGATCAACACCAAGTACTAATAATTATGAGGTAGAAAAAAATTCCACAAATAATTTTAAGCCCTCTGTACTTTCAGACCCCAAAAAATAAATTCGAGTGTCACCAATTGCCTTCAGAAGGTTTATTATCAACAAATGAAATTCAGTTTAAAACCAGGTGTTCTGTGAATATGAAGGTCGATGAGCAAACAGCATCATGAAGACCAAGAAACACAGCAGGCAGAGCAGGAAGAAAGTTGCAACGGCAGATCTACCTAGATGTGGCTGATCAAGAGAATATTAAGCAGGATGGCAGGCAAGTCGCCAGCTCTTAATCTGGAGGAGCCGCCAGTATCCACAGCTCAGGTGGAAGAATCTGTCAGTCCTTCACTCCAATAAATCTGCTGTTTTTGGAAGGGATAGCAAAGCCATTATTGATAAAAAGCTGTTAACAAATCCTGAAGTCAGTCTGTGATGATGCCTGTAGGGAAATGGCAAACATGTGGAAGAAGATACTTTGGTCAGATGAGGAGAAAGTGATATTTGGCAGGCTACATAAAACTAACACTACATATCACCCTGAACACACCATCCTCATAGTGATCTATGAGGATCACAAAAAAAATGATAGCTGCAGGTTTTGACTGGTCTAACTGGATGACTGAATACATGCGTGCCACTCATAGATTTTTTTATGCGCTGTGACATAATGTTGAAATAGTTTATGGATGTGGATACTTCTGTACGGTAGTTTAATTATTCCTAATGTAGCTTTTGTTGTTTTTGTCCTTGTTTCAGGAGCTAATAGATGTTTTTGAAATCAAAGAGACAATAATTCAGCCTCCAGAGACGCAGAGCGAGTGACGACGGCGCTTCCTCCTGCCTCGCTAGTTTTAAATAGCAGCTTCTTTTTACGCCCGTTTGATCCCATACACCTTTTTTTGAGTTTCATGGGACCAGATAATCTTTTTACTGTTTTTTTTTGTCTGTATGGTTTTGTGTGCATTTTTTTTATTCATGTAAGAAAATAAATCTCTTCAGGATTTCACAGATGTTTTTTTGTGACACGTCAGACATTAAACATGATTTACATTATGAGTTTAATTGCTTTGATAATATAATGAGACAGTCTGAAACAGTCCTTCTTGTAACTATTAAGCCATTTAATTAAAGAGAATAACAGATTAGTTTAATCTTTAATGTTATTAAATGAAAGATTCAGTGTGACATTAGTTTTGAATACATCTGAAAGACCTTTCATTTTTAAAGCTTTTTTCTTGTATTTTCAACTTATCCACATTATTCTAACCATATTAAGCCTCTATGCAGTACTCGCACTTTGTTTACACTGTTGTGCTTCATAAGAAAATATGTAAGCAGTGTCCCTGTTGCATGCTTTTGTTAATTAAAAATAGTTTTTGTCAGACAAAGTCATTATTTGCCAAAGCCCTTGTCTTGAGCCATCAGATTTTATTTGATTTCAAACAGTGGATACATCCTGACTCCAGCAGCAGCAGGAGCATCCTTTCATTGTCTTCGATCTTTTAAAGAGACAGGCACTTTTCACACTCCCTCCCATCCCTTCCTCTCGCTCCCCTCACAGATTTTTTTCCCCTCCGAAGTAGAGCCTTCGTTCGCTCTACCGAGCTGTGATTTAAAGCTCAGCTGGATCTCAGGCTGCAGAGAGCGTCTCCTGTTTTGTTTCTTTTTTTACCCCTGCTTCTGGCATGTTCACTTGATTGGAGGGAGCGTTATGTAACAGTGATTGGAGAATATATGTCACGGGAAGACCACGGGCATCACAGGCAGTGATGCAGACTCTCATACAGACCGACATGGAGGCGTGTACGAGCAAGCTTCTGCAGTGATGCTCTGGTGATGCTGAGGCTGACTGATAACGATGCAGTTCTGCAGGAAGGTGCTCTGCCAGCCGTGTAGCGCCAGGGTCACTTCACCAGAGGAGGACATGGAATACAGGATGGGGAGCTGCATCGCAATCTCACACAAGCAGGTAAACGTAGAGGGGAGGCGCCTTGTTGAATGGAGGCGTTTCATTCAAGAAGAGGCAAAGTGTGTTCTTGTGCTTGAGAATGGATGAAAGCGGCTGGAAAAATGAGCTGCAGTGGATAAAAGTGAAAGGATGATGTGAGTTGCAGAGGAAAATTGGAGGCAGAGTGGGACATTATTTGTCAACTCAGTTGAGCAAGCAACCCCCAGTAGCAGAAGGCACCTAGAAGACAAACAAATGACAAGTATGGAGGCTGTTTGTGGGAAACAGCTGGTCAGATTCATGCTATTTATAGAGATGATGTGTAGTCTGCTCAAAGTGGCCTTTAAAGATGGCAGATAATAGAGGAACCAGATCTGCTTTCAACCCTCTGCTGTCACAGAGTGGAGATGAGGTTTTTGTCTGATGGCGCTGCTCTCTGAGTTCATCTCAGAAGGTTTTGTACTTGAGCACATGTGTCCTTACAACTCAGTGTAAATGTGAAGTGTAGCTACAGGTGGCATGAACGCTGAAATTCCTGCAACTTGTTTTCTGCCTTCCTGTCATGTTCTCAACTCTTGAATCCTTGCGTAAATGTCAGTTGGGAGTTTATGTTGCAGAACAAAAGAAAAAGTTGTGGATAATTGTGAAATAAAAGGTAAAATAAAAGATCCATCTTCACTGTTTGTCTCCAGTCGTCACTGGGCAAGAAGCAGGATACTTCCTGACCAGGTTGGCATTTTATTACAGGGGAAACAATCATGCACTCATATCTATAAGGGGCTTGGAGAGACTAACCAAACATGCATGTCTTTGGAGTGTGGAAGAAAGCAAAACAAATCACTTGAACAAAAAAAAAAAAGAAGTTTGAATGATTTTTTCTTCATCCAAACTTCACAGTGGTTGTATTATTGAAAAGTTGAAGGGGTATAAATGAGAGTGAAGAGGCCTTACACCTGCATCCTGCTGCTAATGTTCCTGTTTGTTTGCAGTCTATCCACCTATTACCTCCCTCAGCAGACATGGCTACTCCATCTCCAGTTTGGTCTCCTCCCACCGCTCCCTCCCCTCCCCATAAACTTGTCCCCACGTCTGCTCCTGCCCTGTGTCCAGGGCTAAAATAGCAGCAGAGAAACCGGGGTTCCTCGGGAGGCAGGACAGAAACATTAGTTTGACAGTAAACACACACCGGAGGGTCAAATCTGAGGTTTGGAAACTGTCCCATTGTTTGCAATGGTGAGTAGTTTGTAAGCTTCTTCTGGGCAATTTTTATTTTGTAATAGCATTTCTAAAGGAAAATGGAACGAAAAGGTGATAAATGATGCAAATTTTTGTTCCTACTTCACTTTTATTATATGCATGGATTTTATTGCTATTCCTACAGCTATTTATAAAAGACGAAGCATTAATTAAATCTACTTGTTTACACAACTGACTAAAATATACTTTTAGAAATATTACAGCATAAAATTATGTTTTTGTAGAAAAATAAATAGAAATCTCACTTTGTTATTGTTAGAGGAGGTCAGAAACAGGGCAGGAAATGGTAAACTCACACACATGCTCCTCCTTCCGAACCTTTCAGGACTCATGTTATATGACAGTGATGAGGTGAGAAGTGACCTGGCAGCAGTTGAATCATATGATTTCCCCTGTGTGCTGCCAAAACGCCTTGAAATGCCGCCGCCAGCTAAAGTGCACGCACATTGGTGTAAAGAGGGGGGCTGAAATTACACCCCATTCACACAAATAGCAGGCAGAGCAGATGAGCTGCTACTGTTGAACAGGTGAGAATTAGAATGTGAGGATGCAGACTAAAGAATAATTGTTGGAGAAAACCGATTTGTGGAGAGAGGTCACAGATCCAGCTGGAGAGCATACATGACAACCTGTGCATTAGACTGGAATAAAGCAGTAAATATGAGACAATTCTATTTATAAAGTCTTGCACATTCAGGTCAGTGCTTTCTGACTGAACACTGAGCTGGCATTCAGTCCCTGCAGCCATACAAGAAATGCAAATAAAAAGGAAATGTTAGAGAGTAAATTTACCACAGCTAAAAATGCTGCTATGTCATATCAGTCGGTGTCTGGTGACAAAGTCTGACTTACGAGGATCTAAATTGTGCATTATACTGGCCATCTTGGAATAGAGTTGCATCTCCACCCAGACAACTCTAGCAACACTGCTGAGAGTCAATCTGTTATTTACCCTGTAGGGATTACTTTATCTAGCAGTCACTGTGTCAGTGTGCTGCAGGCGATATATGCTTGGAGCTGTGCATATATTTTGGTTGCAAGTTGTTTTGTAAATACTTTGTAGACATCAACTATCTTTGGAATACACTAATCTAACTTTATCTAAATTGTCAAATTAATTCTCAATATTTTGGCTGGCTGCAGTATATTCAATGCCAGTTTTTAGGCATTGTTCACAAATGTTCAGTAACGTTGATCTGGGAGCCGCTTAAGAAGCTTAATGTTGGTCTGATTGGTTCTTTACAAAACCAGTTTTGATGCTTCTGGGATCTTTATTCCCAGAAGCATCCGGCACTTTGTTTGGTGATTTCATCTTAAAGATAGTCCTCCCTCCTGATTATCCCATCCACTTTGTACAACACTTCACAACCACTGTTAGCAAAACAGGCTCTTGGCATGATGCTGCCAATAGGTTGATACAGAGCTCTTAAGTTTCACAGTCCAAACCTTGACTCCTCCAAAAATACATTTTTTGTCATTGTGGTCAAATTGTTCAGTCTTTTTCTTTTTTAACTATAAACTCCAGAAGATATTTGGCTGTTCAATGAGGGAAACTGCTAATTTTTGTCAAGTTTGAAGATGCAGATTGTAGAGTAGGTGATTCTTTCCTCGTTGATAATCTCTCAGGCCATGGTGATGTGAAACTGGCGACACTGTGGACAGAAGAAATGGTAATCAAATGTCTTCCAGCTTATGACTGGCTGCAGTATATTCATGTAGATTTATGCCAGGACTTTGTCAAAATCTTTAAGTTCTGATCGTTGCTGCAGATGCTCTGATTTTAGGAATGTTTTTTTATTTTTACTACTCCAAAAGCAATATTTCTGAAGGTAAAGGTAATTTTATTTATATAGCCCATTTTCAGCAACAAGACAATACAAAGTGCAATGAAAAGGAAATACAAACAAAATAACAACCCAAAAGAAAGAGCAAACATCTCATCTATTGATTATGATGCTATTTTCCTACTTTTTTAAATCCCACCACTTGAACTTTGGCCCTGCAGGCAGGTCTTGGCATCAATCTGCACTCAAATTCTCCATTCCTTCTCACCCTGTGCCTGTTCAAGCTCATACCTAAGGGCCCTTAATCCTGCAAGAACATAAATCTCTAAATGTTGAGTGGCCCACAGATCCCCAGTTTTATTCTGTCTCTGTACTGAGCACTAGGACGGTCGCACGCTGATGGTCTCTCTGCTCACAGTGTCTTTCAGCCAGCTGATGTGAGAGGCCGTTGGTCTGGGCAGTTGTGGCCCTGCATCTGGCTGAGCCATGGGGAACGAGAGCAGCACTACTGAGGCATTGGTAAGGGCAAGATTGCTACTTGCTCCCCTGCTGTGCTGCTTTACATTTATCAAAATATTTTGAGCACAGACAAGTAAAAAAAGCTAACTTAATTTCTGTGATCTCTAACTTTTGGATGTCTGTAACAGCTGCTTTTCTAAAAAAAAATAGTATTAAAATCATGCTTTATTTCTGAACAGGCTGAAAAAATGTCCTAAAGTTTGATTAATTATGTCACTGAAATGTGCCTACTTGCATTCTAGTGCTACAGTTTTGTACTTAGAAAGAAGATCCACTGCAAAACAGTAATTTGCACATGACTGGAAGACTTTCGGTGGAGAATTTTGGGTTAATGTAACAGGATTAAAATAACCATGTGTCTCATGAACACCTTATAATTAAGGTCCAGAACCCACACAGAGTAGACAAGATTTGGTTTAAACTCCTGTTTTTTCTGATGAAGTGAAGTTGATAACTGATTATTGAGTAATAGCATTTGTTTCATAATTCGTTTATGTCATATACTTAAATAAGGGTCTTAAAAATTCTGACATTTAATTTACTGAAACTTAAAGAAACCCTGGGAAAATGTAAACCAGCAATTCTCCAACTTTCTAACAACAACCAAGTGCCTTGGAAATAAAACAAATGTTAAACCATGAAAGAAACTTCATTACTCCAGCTTCTCTTGGTTGCACATTTGAGCTGCTTTCCCCCCTTTTGGTGAACCGTCTTGTTCCCCGTTACAGCCAGAAGAGGGCGCTCCAGAAAGTTTGGTTCCACCCAGAGAGAACCAAACTGAAATCCTGCAGGTACACAATATCTTTGGATGCTTGGCATTTTGAAAGCATTTAGCATCAGTTCATAGAGGTAAAATGCTTAGAGTGCTTGTTGCTGTGAACACCGCTAATTATGCTACAGTGCTTTGACGGTTTGGTCCACAGAGAGAAAACTGACTGTGTTGTGTAAACTCTGGATTTGTGCATGTCCTTGGAAACAGGTGATTTGACGTAACAGATGTTCTGTTATCAATTACTTAGATGTTTTTTTAAAATTATTATTGTATATGATGTCTAATTCAAACAGCCACATTTGATTATGTCCCTTACTTTATGTAACCTGTAGAGACCTTAATGAAATACAAGCAAATAACAGTCCTCCAAACCCAACATGGTCAATAAACCAACAAGACTACATGCAAGATCTCAGTTTACTCAGCTGTCCACAGCAAAGCTGTTTGTGGTGATAATACTTATTATCAGCTTCACAGAAAGATTGAAGGTGAAGTATTAAATTTCATACTGGTGTGTGATTGTCAGCAGGAATTTTACTTTCCAGCTTGTGATTATATTTTTATTTCTAAAAAAAAAAAAGAAGACGCTTTCCCCAGTCATGAAACACTTCATTCTGTTCACTTAAAACTGCAGTATGTAACTTTTATAAAAAATATATTTTTGAAACATATTCTCTATATTGTAACAATACAATATGAGACAAATAGTCTGTAAAAAATGAAGCTCCTCCCATTATTTGTCCCGTACAATACTGTCACAAATGATTAGTTTTAACAGACATGTAAAAAAAAAAGAAAAGAAAATTCTAAAAATTACATTTAACTTTAACATTTAAAGTTTGCCTTCTCTTTGTTTCATAAAATATCAAGTCTTGCTAGTTTAAAACTTGAAACTTTAACAGCAGCCCATTTGGGCTAGATGGTTTTTCTCATGTTCAAATTTTAACAGTAGAGGTTTTTGTTGTACTTACCCTTTAAATATTTGCCAAAACCTTTTCTGTATACAATTAAGAGTAGCCCAAGACCATCAATGGTACTTGTGCCACAGTTTTGAGAGTTACTTTCCTTTTTTTGTTTCTTACTGCTTCTTAAGATACTCATGGTATGATAATTTTAATGAAAGATAACAGTTTTCTGGTAGAACCTAGGACAAATTTTTAGGTCAAAGTTGCTTTATAATCTAAAAAATGTAGCTAATCATCTTGTTGGCTCTCATTTTAATATGTTGCTACTTTGATAAATGTCATAGGTAGCACTTATAAGTGTTTGTTTTTTACAGTCAAAAATATTTTGAAAGAGCTGACTGCATTTCAATTAAGTGTAGAAAACATTCAATGATTGTCTTTGAGCTGCTGACTGGCAGTGCACAGCAACAAATTTGGAAGTCAACATTATGTTATTCTAATTGTAGTAGCCCTTTTAATGACATTACTTAGGTATATCTTAATAGTGAAAACCTACCTGTTATTATCTTACAATGCTTGTTACTGAGGATATCAATTAGAAATCACACTGGCTTCTAAACTAGAAACTGAGCTGAATTCACTATATGTAGCCATCACCACTTGTTCCTGGTTCATTCTCTCAAATATCTTTTCTTTGTTTCACTTTTGAGAACTTTCTTACAAATCAAACATTAATATGCTTGAATAACTTGTCTTTTTGGTTGTTTACATCTACCACGGATTGACTCTGGAGTTCATTCTGGTCCCCTTTAAAGGTTTCACTGCATGCCCAGCCTTTGGCCTGATTCTTAACGTTCACCTGCAAAGGCACGGGAGATATGGTATGATGAGAATGAAAGAAGGAAGCCTGGGGCAGGATCAGTTATGGAAAGATGGGAGAAAGGAAGCGGGATTGGAGTTGGGAGGAGGGAACAAAAAGAATAGAGAGAAAGCAGGGGGGAAGAGTTTACAGTAGGTGGGGGAGGAGAACATGTAGCACTTCCCTGTGACCAGCCCAATGCAGCCAGTTACTGTCTCAGCAGCGAGGAGCTCTGTGTTTGTCAATGCGGGATAGTGTAGTGTTTCCACTCTTCACATACACGCTGCAAGAAACAGAGGCGGCTTATGGAAATTTAGCAGGGGAGCGGCAGCAGCTGAGCAGCAGGAGGAGGAACTTAGCTGAGTCAGTGCAGGAGAGAAGAGGGGACGTCAGCAGCATGTGTTGCAGCATGTTTCAGTGCCGCTGTCTTCCTCCCATCAAAACACACAGTCCTGCAGAGGCTGCCCACAGTGTGAGCATGACACAGGGATAGCAGAGGAGCTGCACTGTGGAGTCACCTTCAGCACAGCGAGGCGCACTGCTGGGTAAGTGCAGCACTCTCTTTCATAACAGGAGGAAACTCCTCTCTTTCTCCTCTTAACAGGAGTCATGTGGGGGTCATTAAAGTTTTTTAACCACATGACATGTTGGATTAACGTGACGTACCGCATGGCGAAGATTTCCAGGCGACTTCAGCCTGGTTTCTGTTTTGTTCTTGTGGGTTAATTAGTGTCAGCAACCCCCCTGTGTTTTGTTGAAGCCAACAGAAATAAGGACTGCGGTTTTCCACCTCTCTGACCCCTCTGGTGACCTTTAAAGGACCAGTAAGCTGGTGAATCATTGTTGGCTGTAAACTTTTTGAAGAGTGAGTGTGTGTGGGGGGGCATTCTTTTCATACAGGCTTATCATTGAATTACTGCAGGTGCAGAAGAATGTCTTTTATTAATCTGGTTATGCAACAACGATACAGAAAATAGAACCAGCAGTGAGATCACAGGCATTCAAAGTGACAGTCCTGCCGGTTCACTTTTTTATTCAATTCCTTTTATTCTCTTTTGTGTTTTGTCTTCTTTTTAAAGAACCTCTGCAGAGACTAAACTAAAACATGTGAAAACAGATTGACATGGCAGTTTTCTTGACTTTTTTTTTTTGTGCAAATATTTCCATGAGTGCATGAGAAATCTTGAATATTTGCTCTTGTTCTGAATGTGTTGAGCGTAGTAAGATCTCTGTTACATTGTCAAAGGTGAGGCTTCTGAATCTCCCACAACTGTAAGTGTTAATCTGATTTCAGCATCTGTGTTCAGTTAGTAAACCACTGGAGTGTGCAGACAGCCGTTTGTAATGCAGCCAAACTTTTCTGTATGTTTCACATACTTTCCTACAGCTGTTTATACCCAACGTGTTCATACCAGTTGAACTTTTCACATTTTTTTTCTCATTACTCGTATTTCTATCAGACATTTGCCCATTACTTTATATTTCTAGTGGATACTTGTACGATGGAAGCGAAATTGTACATGAATTACAATCTAAATTTATATTCACTTCCTTTTTTAAAAACACCTCAAAATGAAATCCAGTGCAGCCAATTTCCTTTATAAGTCTCAACATAGCAGAGCTCATATTTGTAATGTAATTCCTATGGTGAAACATGGTACAGGTTGCATCATGCTGTGGGAATTTGTTTTTTTAGTGGAGACAGGGAAGCTGGTCAAAGTTGAATGGAGGATGGATAGAGCTAAATCCATGCTTATTCCAGAAATCAAACTTGCTAAAGGCTCCAGAAGTATTGTATCTTCTAGTTGGATGGCTCTAGGCATATAGCCACAATTGTTTGATTAATGTACATTTATGTTAGTATGGCCTAGTCAAAGTCAAGACCTAATTCTTATTTAGAATGCAGGGTTTCCCCCAGAAAACTTGCTGAGCCTGGTGGTCGGACCACCGAGGTAGTCCACTGTGTTTTTGTACTAAAGATGTTGAAGTAGACAGGAAAAGTAAAAATATTACTGGGTAATTATATGTTACGGGAGACATCGCCAGTGAAACAATATTTAAATCCACAACTAGTCTTAAAAACAACAAATCCAAAAACACAATTGAAATGAATATTAATTATTTGCACATTTGTTTGATCCAAATTATGTCAGCAGCTCCATAAGACCCCCAGGGCTTCAGGAGCCCAATAAATGCTACTATTTTAACACAGACCAGAGCTATATAAATGTAACATTTGTTGAGTGAGATGATCAATGCTGCTAAATTTTACTCAGTAGTTTCAGCATACATAAATGAAAATATTTAAAATTGTTTATATGTTTATATGTAAGACTTTAAGGAGCTGGCAAGTTTACTTACGCCCCTGGAGGACTTACTGGGGGAAACCCTGGAATCTGTTTACCATGACACTAATGTTAATGTTTGTCCTACCAGCCTGGCTGAGATTAAAATACTTTTCAAACATGAGAAGGTGAACATGTAAGAAATATAAAAACAATAAAATAAAATGCATTTTTCTTTCCACTGCACAGTTATGCGCTGCTTTGTGTTTGTTAATCATATGAAACTCCACTAAAACACATTGATTTTAAAGGTTTTAGCATCACAAAATGTGGAAAAGTTCCAGGCTTTTGCCAGGCAGCATGGATTAAAGAAATAACACTAAAACTTAAGAAACAGGTCATGCACTGATGTGTTATTTCAGTTCTGCACATTTCTGTATGTGCCTACACAAGCACACTTCATTATGCTCCTGCACCTGCATGCCACAGTCTAAAGAAAAACAAAGCAAGATCCATGAAATGAAAGAAAACTTTCCAGGCGCCATTAACTGAGCAGCTCAAACAGAAATTCCACTGAATTGTGACCGTTGAGTGTTTGGACGCTATGAGGGCGACGTTGCTGCAATATGACGATACTGCCAAGTGTTGTGTGTGTGTGTTTATGTGTGTCTGTAATCGGACTGTTTCACAGTCAGACTGACAGAAATCCTGACACAATTCAAGATTTTTTCTAAGTTTGACTGGTGGAGTTTTAAATTCCTGAAACAAAAGGACAAACTATTTTCCGTGTAATGGTTATAGCTGGTGTCTGTTGAGTTTTATGCCATCTGGAAAGACTGGTTCTGTCATCTGTGAATAGACTTGTCTGCTTGATAAATTATTTTTGAAGTCTTACAAAGTCCTTATGATGTTTTAGAAGGACCGCTGCAGGCTGTAGTTATCACCTACTTTATTTTATGCATTTAATGGTTGTAATATCAAAGCCCAAGAGCAGCAAAACATGAATGAAGCTGCAGATATAAAATATAGACGGTGAGGTTGGAGTTTTGGCTTTAAAGCTGGAGATGGTGTTGGGAGTCATGATGGATATGAATACCATCTATCTTATTTTCATTGTTTTTGTGTGCATAGGCAAAGATAAAATTTCATGCAAATAAGACTGAACACAGCAGATAAGAATCAGACGTTGAGATCTGTTAACATTCTGCTAGCTTGTTATCAGACAAGCTGACAGCAACACACAAGGTAAGAATCGGTTGACAACTGATATTAGGCTGGTATATATCAACATCAACATAAGAAAAGCAGATCTAATATATGTTTAGTGATTGAACAGACTCCAGAAAACCTGCTGTCACTTTGATGTACCAGGTGTTTGCTTAATAGTTTAACACATGGGTGGAGTTATTTGATCACATGTTGTGTCTAAACATTAATCTCTGGGTGTTTCCTCATCACAAAATATTCCTCATGCTCATGCTTGTTTAACTACATGCTGCAGTGAGTTGCGCATGTGCTGCAGGTTGCAGCGCACCAACATGATGTCTCCGCTGTCTCACAGACTGAAGCAGAGAGTCTGAGTGGACGGGACAACCAGGCGCTGCTGACCGAAGCCTCCACCTACCAACCAGTGCTCCCAGAGGTCCCAGTCATCACTGGAGTGGAGGAGGGCAGAGGATCTGCAGACCAGGAGGACCAGGAGGACCAGGAGGAGCTTGAGTTTCCTCATGATCTGCTGCCCAGTTTGGATTTCAGCAGCGAGTTCAACATCTGGGAGTCTTCACTGGGGTATGTAGAAACATGTCCTTGCCTACTGCTGTTTTACACATCAGAGGAAATTACATATGTTTTTATCTCTCAGGCTAATAAATAAATCACACTAAACTTTAACTTACAAACAAAAACTTTCTTTTTGTTCAAAAACAAATAAACACATTCTCCCTTTGATTGGTTTTGCTTGTGGGAAGCATGTAGCTTTGCTTCTACATAAGAAAGTTATTGTGTGCAGCATTTAATGAATATTATATTTATTAAGGGAAAAAAGCTATTCAAGCCACCCTGTTCCTAAATAAAACACAATAACTTGTAGTAATACCTCTGCTGGGTACAAATGACAATTAAACATTTGTGATAACGAGCAGTGAGTCTTTTACGTCACTGTGGAGGAACAAATGTCTTAATTTAACCTTACTGGAAAGTTCTCAAGAAGGAGGTTGTGCCACAACATTTCAGTCAGATCTAAGTCCAGACTTTGACTAGGCCATACAGTCTGAATACAGTATTCACACTGTATTTTGTGTGAATACAGTAATAACCTTACAGTGAGAAAGCTGGGGTTTCAAACGAGCATCAAAGACTTGAAAAGTGACATCAAGGATTTCTTTTTGGCATTGGAACCTCTATAAGATGAGAAACATACAAACGACAATAAGGTTTAAACAAAGGTGAACAGATTCTTGTCTGACCTTCTAGAAACATTTACTCCATTTATGAAAACAGACCAGAGGCTGGATTTTACTTTTCTTAAAAATATACAAATTTGTCCTCTTGCTTGTGAAGCAATCATATTTAACAACCAGGTGAAGTTTGAACCAATCCTCACAAGAGGCTCCAGTCCCTTGCTGAGGTGACAAAATATTCTGCAAATAACCCTGTGATTATATTAATTACTATAAAAAAGTTGATCTAATAAAATATGTTCAGTTCATAAAGAAGTATTTCATTAAAATATTTACACAACTGAGGCCAAGTTGGGCCAAGTAATTGGCAAAATGTTATTGTTGGAAAATAAAATAACTTTATCTAATGATGCACTGTCTACAAACAATATCATATGTGCAAGTTATCCAGAGGTGAACGTTAACTCAGTTTTGATCTATGCGTGTCTCCATGTTTGCTTTGTGGACCTGTCAGCAGAGCCCATTCTAGTTCCGATGGGAGAAAATGTGAGCAGGTGAACCCCCTGCTGGTGGGCCTTCAGCATCACATCGATGTCAGTGGACCACTGCAGGTTTTAGACAGAAGGTAGCACATGATTTGGCATGCATCTCTGCCGTGGGACTGTGGTCAGCTGTAAATGAGATCATAGCAATATAAATCAGGGCGCTTGGGCTTAATCTAATGTTTCTAACTCATGCTTGATTGCGATGATGTCGCTGCTGTGATGCTGCCGGTTGAGGCAGGTTTTATTTGAATTTGTGGTGATTAATTTCCTCATAATAAAGTGGCTTTCCATAATCTGCATCAAGGCTTTCATGTTTTCTGAAAATCTCACATCCCGCTGCAGTATAGATAATGTTTGACTTGATAATTTAACAGCTAAAACTCCAAAAAGAGTAAGACAGACAGTGATCCAGCTTTTTTTTTTTTTTGCCTACTCATTGCAGATTTATTAGCTGAAGATGCATTGCTGTTTGAGACATTTGGTTTGTTCCATTTTTCAGGCAGCAGCAGGAATCATTTTGATGCCTTCCAGCTGGAAACACTGGAGTTTATTTACTGCTCTGCCCTTTAATGCAAAGTGCCAAGAGAATTAGATACAGGTTTGAATGGCAGGTTGGTTAGTGAGCAGCATGCTGGAAGAGATTTTGTGTTTACAAGAATGCAAGGAGTGCAATCACAGCTGGCGGATGAAGGGAATAATAATGATTTTCCTCCGCCTAAACTTTACTGCAGACTAAACACAAACAACTGATTTGGTTTCTGTGGATTGGCTTTGTTTTCAAAGCTGTTTTATTGTCAGTTGGTTTTGGTATAGAGTTGAAAAAAATGAAATGATAAACATGATGAGACCCAAACAGAATAAGAAGAATTAGGGCAAATAAGTATGACACAACCTGGTTTTTCCTGTACTTCTAATTAAAGGCTAAGCAGGGACTCTGGTATTTCATCTGTCTGGTTGAAAAGTCTCCTAAAACGAGAAACATATAGTTTTGAAGTTTTGACAAGAAGCAACTTATTAACAGTTTTCTAGCAGTTTTCTTTCAAGTTTCATACACTACTTCTGATGTAAAGTTCTGCCTGGAATTAAGTCTTAAGTCTTAAACGGTTTCGTTTTGTTCTCATATGACACCTTTTTTTCTTCCACATGTTTGCTGTGTCTTATTTGGCTTGTGGCAGACTGTAAACATTTTTCATAGCAGTCTCATTAGTGGAGTGCACAACAAATAACAATCTTTCTCACCTGAGCTGTGGATATCTGCGGCTCCCTTATAGCTATCATGGGCCTCTTGGCTACTTCTCTGCTTATTTCTGGTTTAGTTATTGTACTGTCTTCTTTTTTAGATGGCTTATCAAAAAGTGACATGGGCAAAACTCAGGACACTGCATATAGTCCAACAATAATTTCAAATAAGGCTAATAAATAATACCTTCATTTGAATGTACCCACCCTTGCTCATTCAAGTGTTTTTGTAACTTTCTTCAAAGCCATTTTAACTAGTGATATGAGCTTCTTTCTAAAGTATTGATACACCTTTTCACATTTTGTACTCTTACCATTACAAATCCCAATTTATTTAACAGGTTTTTAAGTGTAGATCAACTATTCTCACACATGTTGAAACTTTGCCTAATGTATCACAGCGTGTTTAAGTAACAGCCATAATGAAGTGAAGACACATCTTAACATGTTGTTGAAAATAGAATTTCCTTACAAGCCTGTTATATTTTTTTGCTTTCGCTGACTTCCTGTTTAACACCTCACCCATAATATAGCGTTCACACCGAAAAGTGTTATGATTCTGACGCATATGCTGATCTTAGAAAGATTACATCTTTTTTTGTTTTTGTTAGTGACTGTCTAGTCCATATAGATCTCTGATGACAAAATTTCACTGCAACTTTCTGCCACAAGCATGTCTGCATGAATCCAGGGTGAACATGAACAAAAATGTGACAGTTTCAGTGTGAATTCCTGAATGTGTTTGAATTAACAGTTTGATGAAGCTATTAATGTTGCACATCTTTAACCCGTTTAATCCCACGGATAGCAATTGTTGCCAGACATTTTTTCTAACTTCTGGAAGCAGTAAAAAAATTGCTTTGACTTTTACCAGCTAATTGTAGTTTTTAAAATCAAATGATATATTGTCTACTCTAAGCAATATCAATTTCATGTATCTAGTGTGTAAGGTCACTCTAGTGTGAATGTGTGTCACAAATAAGTACAAGAAAAAGTCAGTGAAATACTTTAATAAAAATATTTCAAGAAAATATTTTGTGCATATGTTCTTTCAAGTGTCTTCTACTGATATATAAAGAAACTTGTATCAATTCAGTCATCTTTTAATCATAAGAAAAGTGAATGTAAATGTGGCAACAATTGTTGCCGCTAGCATAATACATAGACAGCACTGTGCTATGTGTCCATAGTTTTGCTGTTTATTCTATAGGTCTTTCTGTTCCCACACAGCTTAAACTATAAGATGTTTTAGATTTTCTAGGCCTGAAGGAACCTGTCTCCTACATCACTTTCATTCCCACAGTTGAAACCCCCCTCCCTACTCCCTAAAAGCCAATCCTTTCCACAAAGTGTGGTCTTTTGCACTGAATGACCAATACAAGATGACGCCACGCCTGAAACTAGTTCAAGACAAGGCAAAGATCTTGTGCTTGGTGTGATAGGGGCAACGTCCTCTGAGATGCAGATTTGTTCATACTAACATTTTCACCTGATCTTGCCTAACTGATGAAATGATCAAGTGAGGTCAAAGGTCACTTGACACATTGAGACAATGACATCTGCAGGATGTGGCATTGAATTTTTATGTTTCTAAAATATTTCTGAACACTACTGTAATCATTCTTTGTTATAATAAATTATGCATATCATAATTTTTCTAATTTTTTTAGTGCTTATAAATAGGCCATATTTGTGTCATTTAGACTATGCAGTTTCCCACCGGCAACAGTTGTTGCCGAGTATAAAATCTACATTTTCACTAACATAACCAATATAAAATGAAATAATTCATAAATATTATGTGATAGGGAGGTCCAAGGATTAAAATGCTAGCACTTATTTTGCAGAAAAAAGTTTGGATTTAAACTGGTTAAATAGGAAGACACTAAGGCTCAGTGAGAACTGATTTAATTAAGTTAATTAGAAGTAGTTTGTGCTCTGGTCTATTTATAAAAGGATGTGCATGTTCTTTAACTCCCACAATATTAGGAACAGCTGATATTAGGAAGGGCCATCCCAAGCATCTTGAAGTGCAACTGGGTGTTGTGTTTGCTGAGCATGGCTTTCTGCTCTGCCAATAGCAATGCTCGACGGCATCGTGGAATGAGCAGCTGTCTGTCTGTCTCATCCTAACCGTGTCACCTTGCCCTCATCTCAGGCCAGATGGCACCCAGCCAGTAATCCCAGATGTCCATTCTTCACCTCAGCCGGGACCCCTGACACCGTCCCCAACAAACTTCTTGGACCAGGAACTCCAAATGGCCTTCCAAGAATGCGAAGAACAAATGGCGTCGCTGGGCCTGCTCTCTTCTAAAGAGTCTGAAATGACTCAGAATGTAGTAGGGAAGGCAACCAATGAGGGGACGGTTAATGAGTCCAGCAAATTGTTCTCGCCACTTCCAGTTGCAGTGCAGCCAGGACATAGCAACGGGGCCCGTGGAAACGAGAGTACACATGGAAAGAGTGAGACAGCACACAGTCAGATGGATACAGTTGTGTTTAGTTTTAGGGATTACATTCTAGGAAAGGAGAATAACTCTAGGAAATCAGTGATGGAAAATAAAGTAGAAGCAAATCAGAGTGTGGAGAAATGTTCAGAGCTTGAGTCAAAAATGGAGGTGAATGAACAAGAGGAGAAATCAAATACAAATAAGGAATCTCCAAAAAAAAAGAGAGACTTAAAGACTTTAAATGTACATGTTGGTCTTGGTGTCACTACTGAGATAAACAACTCAAATGATTTTGATCCAGAGATTAAAGAAGAAAACCCAAGAGGAACAGCAGAGGCTGCAAACTTATGGAAAGAAAACACAAATGATGAGTTTGATATCAATGTTTGTACAGATGAGTCAAATGGTTTAGATGTAACAGCATCAGGCTCAAAAGAAGAAACAGACAAGAAACAGGCAAGACTAAAATCTGAGAAACAAGTTGGACAGAACAAAGAAGCAAAGAAAAAGAAACACAAGAAAAATAAGAAGATAGAAAAGAGTGCCGAGAGTGACCAGGAAGCAAAGACAGAGCTTTGGCAGCCCGAAACTGAAAAACGGGCTCTGTCACTATCATATGTTGGCACTCACACAGATTTAGCAGAAAATGCTACATCTCTGTCGGAGCTAGACTGTGAGCTTCTGACTTGTGGGGAAGAGACTGATTACAAGCAACAGCTGAGTCCTGTGGGAATGCGAAAGTCTTCCCCTCAAAGCAGTCTGGATCATCTTACTGCCTCAGCCTGTTCACCTGACTCCATGCAGCCTCTTTCACAGGGGAGCCATCAGTCAGAGAATAATAACAATATGTATTTGAGCATTAATGATCAGAGCTCAGAGTGTGAGCAACATGTAACTGATGGAGAAAATGGCATCCACAGTACAACAGCAACACATCTCCAAACTGCAGCTGACAGACAAGGTGAAAAGGGATTGAATGCACAGAGACAGGAGGCTATAGTTACTACAGAAACAAAAGTAACTATAGCCCCCACAGCAGAGGATCAGAGCGTACTCTCCAAGAGCAGAACTTGTGTGGGAGACGTTTGTGTGGAGAGCAGCCTTGGAAATGCTGTAATAGTGGTTAATACGTTGCCACTGACAACACCCACACTGTCAGAAGTGATAGAAAGCGAGGGAGAGGGAGAAAGTGTGAGCCGTGATCTACAGGAGACGGTTTTTACTGTAGCAGTTGCAGAGAGTGAGGAAGGAGCAGGAGAAGGCAAACTGGATGAAAGAGCAGACTGTCCTGCCTCTGCGGATGTAAAAAGAGACAAACTCCAGGAGAGCCTTGTCTCATTAATTTGCTCACAAGGAAATTGCACGCTTCCATTTGTGGCCAAAGAGGGGGAGACTGAATGTGAAGAAAGCTGCAGCAACAAAATGCCACACAACTTGGCTGAGGCTGAAATTAAGGGACCGAGACAGGCGTGCATTCAGAGCACAGACACAGAGATCTCACCAGCTGAAGAGACGGATGCTGAAAAGGAGCTGCTATTCTCCGAAGGCTGTATGAATACCTTTGGTCCTGATTTCCACGATCACAGTGGTGCACATTTAGAAAGATCGGAAAAGGGAGGGGAAGGAAGAGAAGGGGAGGTAGGAGAAAAAGGAGGGCTCGCTGGAGAGCACAGTTTACCGAGCCAGCTGAAAGGCTCTGCTGGAGGGGTGTCATCAGTCAAGACGGGAGCGAGTCCGCCCAGTGATGTTGCCGAGTCACAGTTGAAGTCACTGTGCCGGTGTGAGCCGATCGCTATCATTCCTGAAGGCTCTGAAGAGGACTGTTTCTATCACAAGCAGCATGACGTGACAGTTTTACCTCTTCCCTCTTATTCTGAGCAGCAGCAGAACTCCAGCTATACAGACGCTGAGATAAAGACTGAACCAATACAAGAGCTGGTTTCAGAGGAAGCACTGTCTTTGGAACAACCTTGTCAGATATCAATCATCACGGAAAGGAACTGCAACCACGTCTTCCAGCCTTTTACCTCACCTCAGGCTTTGAATACATCACAGCGAAGTGAACAACAAGCAAGATCGGATCAACAGGCTGGACCTTGTAGCATTGAAGAGAAAACAGCTGAAAGTACAGCCAATACCCACAGTGAGAGTGATAGTCTCAACATGACTGGAAGAGGTGTCCATCTGTGCACCAGCGGTGGAGGTAACAGAGTTCACTTTGCTGATGATGTTAATTTTAAGCTCAGCTCCTCGGAGACTCTTACCAACATGTCAGTTCTAGGTTTGGACTGTGCTTCTTTGCCTCCGTTGACTGTTCATGAGACGTTGCACCATCCTGTGACAGAGGCCAGTTATACTTTCCCCAATCACCTCAACTTTGAAATGCCAGAAAACTCCACAAGTACAGGTTTGATGAAGACTGAAGAAGAAATTCATGGTTCAAACGAGGTTCAAGAAAAACGAACGGCCATTTTGGGTGAAAGCAACACTAACACAATTGCCTTAGATCATGATCACCATGAAAAAAATGCTGTACACTTACAGGGAATGGCTGAAGCCGAGGGATGCTCAAAACAACTTTTCTGCGCCACTGGGGAGATGCGTAATGAAGAACATGACATTAACGGTGAGACTCGAAATTCAGGTGAGACTAAATGCCTGCAGGAAGATTTATCTTCAAAACTCAATGCTACTGTGACCCACGAAGAAAAGGAAGTGAACCAGGGTAATGCATCTGAAGCTGAACCCTCAATATGCTATGAATCAAAACCTCTAGAGCCCACCTCTCAGCCTTCCTTTTTAGATGAAACCCCTCAAACTGGACCAGTCTTTACTGATGTCATGGAGTCGACTGAGGTACTAATGGGTGGTTTTACTAGTTTGACAAAGGAAGAGACTAGCTTTGTCAGCAACTCACCCATTGCATTACAGCCTCCTGGACCAATGATGAGTCACTTGGAGTTTATTACCGACTGTGATGTCTCTTTTCCAGAAAACATAGGTAGCTGCAGTATTGACCAGGACTGCACCAGTGTCTCCAGGGAGATGGCAATCAATCAAGGTGGTGAAATGAGTCAGATGTCTTTAGTAGAGAATCTGAATCACAGTCGTGCCAGTTTGAGAACAGCTGAAACCTGTCAGGAGCTGAAGGATAGAGATTGTGTTGATGATGAACTCCTGATATCTCACACCAAGAATTTGAATAATTCTTATTCACAAGTGGAAAATTTGACTGTTGCAGACCAGTCTTCAGCTGCGGATGATGTACTGTCAAAGGAAGAATCTGGTAATATAATGTCAACATGTTTCAATAAGCCAGATTCTACTATTATTGAAACGTCTAACAGAGATGACCTAGCATGTGTCAACTACCCTACTAATGAGACATATGTTAACACTGAAAATGATAGTATGAAGAAAAAAAAGAAACTAAAAGAAGACATAACCATGGATAATCAAGAGGAAGCAACAGACAACAAAATGCAGCAGACAGGAAAGACAGACCCCACATTGCAGCAGCAGTATAATGGACCAGATAAAGAGGCTGTTTTTATGGGAGCAGCAGTTCTGCAGCCACAACGTAAACACAATATGGAGACTGAATCACCACCAACAGAAACAGCAAACAAAGAAGAAAGGAATAAGAGCTTTCCGTCTAAATGTGGAAGTAAAACTTCCTCAACTTCCATCAGAACATCTGAAAGATTTTTGCCTCCTGAGTTGGAGTCCAACACTGAAACTCAGACTGTTTATGATCAGAGTTTGAGCCAAATTGTGACAGCAGTGCTGGAATGTAGCTCTGACACTGATGCTGCACCAGATCTGAGCCCAGCTTTTGGCCAATCGCAGGACTTGCAAGATCTAAACAGTTCGGCTGAAGAACCAGAGCAAAGGGAGCAGCGTCTGGGATCCACACATTCCACAGAGGAGATGTCAGGTGGAACCGCTGACAACAAAGAACAGATTTGCAATTGGACTCTATGTGCAGGTCCAGAGAAGGGAGAGTTCTCTGATCAGAGTTTGTTTGAATCAGTAAACAAGGAGGAGTTGTTTAGATTTGCAGTGAAAGAAGAGGCGCCATCTAGCTTTTCTGTAGATTTAAATGGAAGTGAAAATGATGCAGATGGAAAAGCATCAGTTGACTCAAGGTTAGTAACTGTTTGTTCTCAAGTAGGTGAGATTGAGCAGAGCTTAGATGTGAATAAAGACCCCCCTAGCTTAGAGCATGATGAGTCAAACAGAAACACAAAGCCAGAACAAACTGCTAACATGGACCAGCATATAACATGTGAAATGTTAAAAAACAGTGCTGCATCTGTTGAGTTTGCTTTGACTTCAGCTAGCCAACACTCAATTTCATCAAATGTCAGCACAGACAGTCAAGACACTCATATTTCAAGTGCAAACCAATCTAATGAAGTTTATCTGAAGGGGTTTAGCACACAGCAAAATGTTTGGAAAGCAGAAACTAGGGGAGAGGACTTCAGTGCTGCCTCAGCTAAAGAAAGCCAACAGGGTGACATTAAGGATGCAGAGCTGCAAAGCTGCAATAAAACCTCTGACACAGACAGCAGCCAAGTAGTACAAGCAGCCATAAAAAGCTGTAATGATGAAGAAATCCCAAAAGAAGACGAGGCATGTTTGGTAGAGGGGAGGGAACAGAGGAGGGTGCAAGTAGCTGATAGTGAGGAAAATGCAGGAAAACAAGTGATGTTAAATTTCAATGATAAAGAAAGTGGAACAGAATCAGAATCCAGTCTCCTTAACAATGACGTATCACAGAGCAGCACAGAAACCCCTGCTTGTCCCTCAGAAGGGGGCGTTAGCTGCGCCAAGAAAACGGAAATAGACTCTAGTATGATAGATAAAACAAGTACTGATGCCATCATCATCCCATCTGTTGTTACTTCGACCACTATCCTGTCTCCTAATGAGTCAGAGAAACGCCATGATAAGGTGGCATTTTCAGAACCCCAGGATAGTGCTGAGGAAAAGCCCCCTGCCACTGCATCTTGGCGTGGTGCAAAATCTCTTGAAAAGACTCCTGCCTACTGCTCTCCTGTTGACCAAAACGTTTCAGAGAGTCCTGATCCAGAGCAAGGATCCCAGGAACCAGAATCAAACTGGATTCAAGCCCTAAAAGACGCTGCATCCCTCTCTCAGAGCGAACAAGTGAATATACAAGATGCCTTGAGGTAAACACAATAGCATGTTCATACAGTTTTTAAAATTGTTCTAAGGGGATCATATTGGTAGTTTGATTTGGATTTATTGTGGTCACATTCTGTGAAAAGTTTTCATCGTTTTGGTTCCCCTTCCTGTAGCTGACAGGTAGTTTTTCTCAGTAAGTATGTAGAGAAGTGGAAGGCTAAAGACACATCACTAGGAGGCATCATTAGACAGATTAGGATACTAGACTTCAGCTGCAGGTTCATCTGTATAGAACAGGTCTGAAAGACGACGCATTATATTCACATTGTCTGCAAAAAAACAACAACACAGAAACCTCGAACTAACTTGTTCTACCTTTGATCTGACTAAAATTTAAAGTAAAAAAATATTTACAATTGTTAAGCCTAATGAATGAAAATTCAAAGGAAGGAAGTTTTTACAAATGAAAGATGTTTTTGCTAAGTGAAGAAGCAGAAAAACCGTCACAAATATGATTATCACTGACAAACAATATTTTAACCAACTCAAGCAAGACCAGATTTATTAGATTTATTCAGATTTTAGTTTTGACTGTGGCCAAAACAGACTGAAAGACAACAAAAAGATGCAACCTAAATCCAACCTTCACTGATGGAATGGAAATTGTTAATTGTGAATAATAATTCTTACTATATTCTTCATACATTTTTGTTTTGATTAAAACCACCTATCAACACTTTTTTGTAAGATAAGCTAAGATAAAACAATTTTATTAGTCTCGCATAGGAGAATTTTGTCTTGCAGAGGCAAAACTGCATTACAACAATAAAAGCTCATGCAAGAGGAGCCATTTAATAAATGTCTTAGTAAATGGTTAAAGTTGTTTAAAACCTCAACACCAGGAAACTATTACTAATAATGTCATCACGGAGCATCACAACAAAACAGATCTGAAGTATTCCTTTCCTGTGTTTTAATTCAGGCAGACATTTTTTGTTTTGATAATTTCTGTTTTTAAATCAACATCACAGTAACACCCTGTACAGGCCTTGTTTGGAGCGCTATTGAGGAGAGCATTGTGACAATGAATATGAATGAGGATGTAAACACAGAGCTGCACTTTGTGTTTGATTTGAGTCATCTGACTGCTGGTTGAACTCTAATGAAAGTAAAGCAGCCCATTATGTTCAAAAGGATGACATCAGCTGTGACATCTCCAGGGAGACAACGAGCCTCTTCTCACACAAAACACACCGTCATCATATACAACCTTCACAAACCCTCGCAAACTTTTCATTTGTTTGGACTTTTGCTGCCAAGCAACAGCTCAGTTAACCCTTTTTTTTCTTTCTTCTGTTCTTCTTTTCCCAGACCACTCCCATCTCTGGAGTCTCCTCAGGTTGAGTTTGTAACGCCCACTGAGGAGATTCCTTCTGCACTGATATCAGACGAGGTGATCCTACCACCAGAGGAAGCAGAGGAAAACGCAACTCAAAACTCATGTTCGAGTGCTGTGAAGAGGCCAAATGATCTTCCTAAACCTTTAGAGAAGGTGGATCTTCCTGAACCAATAAAATATTCGGCAGATCTGACATCGAAGGCTGAGCTCCCAGAAGAATCTTCCAAAACAACAAAACCTTTGGAACAAGAATCATCTCAAAAGTTGTTCGACAGGAAGTTTGTTTTAGAAGCAACAGAGCACACTGAAATCCTAAAACCTGCTCAAGAGGCAGAAGAGATTCCAGTACCAGCCAGAGATGAGATAGAAGTCAGAGAAACACCAAATCTAGAAGATTTACAACCAAACAAGCCAAGCGCGGAGACTGCAAAGCAGCAGCAGCAGCTTTTAGAAGAGACAGAAGAAAAACCCATCGAGGTTCCACCTGTTGAGCCATTCAGAGTCGCTGTTGAGAAAACTGAGGTTCCAGAAACAGTTGATCATTTCTACACAGAACTACAGAACAGTGGGTAAGCTGATATTAAATCTGTCAGTAGCTTAATTATTTTTGTAAGTCTAATATTTAAAAATATAATTAATCAGATAAACAAGATGTGATTTGCTGTTCAGTAACCTGATCCATAATATTTTTTTATAGGCACCAATCAACAGACTGCTCCTCTAGGACTTAGTCAGGATCTGGAGCATAGAAACATACCTTTTAATATATTTAGGTGAATAAAACCTCATAAATTTTATAAGCTATCTATTTTTTCCCAGAATGAATAACATTGTATCTCTTTACAATCTTTTAGACACAATCCATAACTTCTATTTTGTCTTGCAAATTAGTACATCTCACAGGGTTTTTCAATTTCAGCCCCTTTCCTTTCTTGCCTTTTATGTGTTTAAAGGGAATTTGTTTGGCTCTCAGAGCCTCAGAGGGTGTCTGGTTGGGTTCTTCTGTCTGCAGCGGTTTCACCGTGTCTGATCAAACCAATTAGCAGGAGCCTTGCCAGTCTGTTCTGCTTCTGAGGTCACTGTTGTTTTTAGTTCAGCTTCTATGTGACTCATCTGGTTTCAGTTTTTAAATCTTTTTATCAGCTTTTAGTTCACCAAGTTAATTGTTTGCTGCTTTTTTGTTGAAAAGATTCAGCACTTTAGCGTTTCATCCACAGACTTCAATGTATTTTATTGGGATTGTAGTGCAGAACAGTGAAGTAGAAGTTAACAGTGTTTATATATAAGTTTAAAAGCAAAATACCCATGTAATCAATTCCTCTACCCTGACATCCATAATTTAAACCCACCACATTCAGTTACATTAGAAGTCAACTTAATAGCAAATTAAGTTCACATTGATGCAAAACAAGCTGGGAATTCATCATTAGCAGGTCAGAAGCTGGTCAGAGTAATTAGGAAGATGTGTGGAAGATGTGTGGAGCTACAAATGAGCCAATACTGGAAGGAAACCTGTTTGAGATTGGAAAAAGATTGAGACTGGTGAGAAAAGTCCATTATTCAGCTGGACAGCAGATTTAGACAAAAAGCCACGGCTACAATAAAGTGGGTTAGATTAAAACAGTCATGTGTTCACATTACTAAGACAAACTCTGCACCTAAATTTCAATGAAGAATTTGTGAGAAAACTCAAAAATGAACACTCATTGACCCATTTCATAAAACATATCTGATTTTGAGCTATTTTAGAGAGAAGAATGGTCAAAAACTTTCATTTCTCCACAAAACTGATAAACCCCAAATCTGCTCCTACAAATTGGCTTGGGATTGGAGGGGTTAGGAGAGGTTACTGAATACCGATGTATAATATATAATTTTTCAGATGTTTACTTCACAACAATGCACTGCTTTTAGTTGGTCTTTCACACTAAAATATATTTTAAAATTCTGTTATAAGAGCAAATACTAGACACTTAACAGAGTGTGAATTACAAGTAAAACAAATCAGTGTAAACATGAAGGAACCTTTCTATTGATTTTGTGTTATTCACTCTTTTTTTCTACCAACTACCTTCTCATTCATGCTTCCTATGTGCCGCCTGTTGCATGCCGAAGAGCGATTACATGCCGGAGCAGCACTTGCTGCCTGTCAGTCGCGGCATTTGTCCCATCATAGACCCACAACTTCTCTCAGAGAAAGAATAACGGTGATATACACTCCCATATGTCAGCGATAGATAAGGTTACACATGCAAACATGCGGCAGACAAAAATATGACTGCCCAGCCAATGATGTGTGTGTGAGGTTGGGCATATGTTGTATTTTCCTCCGCCCCTGAAGGCTAACGTAGCTGTCAGTTCTGCTCAGTCTGTGCGGCTTTGTGAGCTGAAGCCTGCAGTGGGAGGAATTTGGGCAGGACACAGTCCCACTGAAGTCATTTTCACAGAGCGCATAGGCAGGAACAAAAGCCAGGCTTCAGGGAAACACTTGAGCGTGTGTGAGAGTGAGCGACGGAGTCACAGACAGAGAGGAGGAGGAGAAGTAGTTGCAGGTTCTGCTGTTTGTGGAGCAAAGAAGAAACTGAGTAATAGTAAAGTTATATTTTCTGTGATGGATCCTTTCCACAGCTGAAATCTGGGATTTCTGGGTGAGTTTGACAGACAGCCTCTGCTGTTTTGTTTTTGGTTGTTTTTGATTTAGAACAAGTGTGTTGGTGCTTAAATCCTTCCAGGTGGACGCAGCAGATGGTCTGGAGGTAACTTGTGCTAATTACTCTGTGCCACTGTTGACCCCAGCAGATGGGCAGAGGGGCGGGACAGACAGAGAAATGACAGTATGGAAGGATTTTGTGGAGTGAAGTTGAGCATAGAGTTTGCTGCCTCCCATTTAAGAAAGTCGACAAGTATGAGCATGCTATACTTCCGCCTCTGACGACTGGATGAGAGTTTACATGTAATTTACAGAAACTGGAAAGCTGTTTAACTTGATCCTGAATGTTTTCTCTGGAATTGTGTCTGGAATGATCAACTGCTGTATTTCTAGCGTATTTTTGGAGGATACTGAAGACATTTAAAGAGCTCCTTTCAGCTTGAACCTGAAGTACTTTTGAAAATTGTTATTTATGAAAAGTTGCATTACCACATACAACAGTTGACTGGAGTTTTACTTCTAAAGCTAGCTGTGGCTCTTCAGGTTTAGAATTACACCCCTTGAACATTTCAACACAGTACAATCACCAATTTTGTGCAAACAAAAATCTGAAAAGTGTGGTGTGCTTCACCATTCATTGCAATTACAGCTGCAAATCTTTGGGATGGGTCTTCTCGAGCTTTACACATCAAGGAGCTGAAGTTTATTCCTCCTCTTCACCGTCAGATTTGACTGAGAGCAGTTGGCACAGCATTTCAACTGGATTTAGGTCGAGATTTTGTCCGGACAAGACTAACAGATGTTTAGTATCATTAACCTGGGGCAAGTTGATACTGACCCCATTCAAGTCTATCCCAGCCTCTAATGGGTTTTCTTGAAAAAAAAAAAAAAAAAAAAACTCTCCCCACAGCCTGATGTTGCCACCACCATATTTAACAGCAGAGATAGTAGGAGTGTGCTAAAAAATTGATTCACATAACATTTATGATTCTCATTTACTACTACTATTCAGAATCAATTTAAAATGTCCGATGTGGTGAGAAAATGTGCAAATTTTTTACAGTTGTTGATTAAATGACCACAAATATTGTCAAATGGTTAAAAATGTCTGAAATTGCAACTCCTCTTTGGAGGAGGCTGTCTGCAGAATGGTATGGTGCTTGCTCCATGATCTATTTATTAAAAGCAACACAGAAAATTGCGGGAAGGGAGTTATTACATTCCTGCATGCAATAATATTTAAAATGTAATGAATGTGAAAAAGACACTATAATGTCTCCCTTAGTCATTCTGCCTTGCAAACCAGTATGGAGTAGATCATGAGAATGCTTTACACAGCTATAGACTAAATCAGAATTCAATACGAATAATCATTTTGAATCAAATACTAATTTTGAGTCAAATAGTGAGACAGTGAAAGGTTCCCACTCCTAGTGGATAGTGTGTTTATGGTGGTTTTCCTCCACACAATGCTGGTTGTTTTTTTGCTCTCCTGGACATTTCACTTCTGAGACTTAGGTATTTTATCTTGTTTTCCCAAAATATATAATTTTATTTAGTTGAAGCCCTACAATGACAGTGAATTGGACTTTTTATTTAGTCATTCATATGTGACTAAATTTAAATTTGCTGCAATTTTTTGAACATGTCCTTCAAAGTGAGATGCACAACTGTTTACCGTTAATACTGAAATGTTTTTCTTGCCCTGTAACATCTGAATCTGGATCTTTACAAACCTCAAAAGGATTTCTCAACAACACAAGGCAGGTATGACTTACATATGTCAGAGATCTGAACCATCACAGCGGACCACTTTTCTGCCAACTAGTTTTTGGTTATGCTTGTAAATAAACAAAAGTTTCATATGCATTCATCTGAGCATGAGGCGAAAACTTTGCATTAATATGTAGAGTAAAAATCAGAGGATTCATTGCAGAGCTTTGAGGTACACCAGCATTAATATCCACCTGCTGAGATAAGTTTTAATCTATGTGAAAGAAAAATGGCCCCGACTGTATCATCACTGTTTGCTTTGATATTTTCTAGAAAAAAATACAAAATACAAAATTTGGATTCTGCTGAAAGAATTTTGATAGGTTTAAAATCACTAATAAGTGCTTTCAGCAGATTTAGAAACTGGGAGTAATAACTGGCATTTTTAGGAAGTTAGAAATTGCCCCTCTTTAACTGAGCAGTTAATTACATGACTCAGACTAATCAAATACCTCCTTATGAGTTTAAAAACTCTAGGTCTGTGTCTACCTAAGACCTAAGAGAAGAAATAGAAATTAGTATTTTTTTTTTAATCTAATACATCAAATATAATACACGAGCATAACTCTTTGGAGAGCAGAAGGACTGAACACCTCCAGTCTGGAGGTTTTGAACAGAATCAGTAAAGTGTTGAATCCAAGAGAAGTTGGGTGTGTTGAAACCCACTCAAATAGACTGGTTGCCCTGGTGATTGTAGATTTAGTTGCTTTGCATGACTGAATAAATTATTATTATTTAAAATATTATGGCAGTAGAAAGTAGGATAAAGTACAAATTTGCCAAACAATAGATGTTTTCTTTAGGCGTTTCTATGTAAACATTACGAGCTAAGCTGTTGGCTGCAGAAAGAGTGATATGGTCCAATCTTTACAGCAATTTAAAAACTCTTTTTTTCTTCTGGTAAACTGCAGCTGGTTGCATTTAAAAGTCTGGCATAAAACACCTGGATGCTCAAATCCAGATGTTTTCAGTAGATTACTTTGGTGCTAGCAACCAAAAAGGCTCAAAATCCTTCCAAAGCACAGTCAAATATGTTTATTAACATTCATTAATGAACAATAAGATTGTATAATTATTCATTAAAAAAGCTTTTACAATATTTTCTTAAATTTAACGTTAAGTTTAAGACTGTGTTGTCCAGCTCCCAGATGAATTAATGGCAGTAAGAATGTATTGGGCAGCTTGCAGGGATAATGCCACAAGATTGGATTTGTCCCACTAGAAACGGTTCATATGCTCTATATTTATCCTGCTGCTACTGTGTGCTCATCATATCTGTGGGCACTGCTAAATTAGAAATCATCAGCTGTTACATTGAGTGTGTCAGCTGATACTGAACTTACATAAAATTAAATCTAATCAGAGCTTATTCCATAACTTTTCAGCATCACACTTGTGAATTCACAAGTACTAATTCAGTTTATTCAGAGGATTCTATTAAGTTCCAAATTTAGAGAATCCAGTTCATTCAGACACAATCTAGTTCTTTAGTTAGATTCAAATTTAATTGCATAAAAACAAATTCTGCTGATCATAAAATGCCAGTTGGTAAAAGGGAGTTCATGACTTCAGGTGATTGAATTTTCAGCGATTTCTCAGCCTGAGCCAGCATGTGGCAACAGTGGAAAGAAAGTTTTGTGCACAGAAAAACATAAGAGAGCCATTCAATCAGGAGTACTTTCTATGGCAAAGGAAAAACAATAATAGTAGTCAAAGTTATTCGAACCAAGTGTTTCATCAATAGCTCCTTTCAGGATAGCAACAGTGAAATACAGACTCGCTGAGTCAGAGGTAAAGAAAAATATCAATGGCAGTAATAGCTTAAAGTAAAGCCCATTTTGTAAGAAACACAGAAGCACTAGCTCAGGACTATTTTCTATTGCAGAAACAAATAAATACAAATTAAACAAATCTGGGAGAATACTTTAAATGCCTTAGCAGCTCCTTTTAAGAAGAAAATAGCCTAAAATCAAAGGGCTTGCTTTACTTTTTACAGCAAAGAAGAACATAATATAAAGCTTAAAGAGGCAACAGTTCAATCAGTAGCTCCTTTTAGGAAAGCAACACAGCTAAATGAAGAAAACACTAGGCTACTTCTATTGTAAAGCAAAACAAGGGGGAGTTAATGCCAGCGCAGCAATGTGTTTAGAAAAACAAATATCAGAAAAACTACTAGAGTACTCCAACTTTAAAAAAAAGAGCACATCTAAAAAACTACCTGTGGAATAGGAGTACTTGCCATTGGGAAGAAAAATAAAGGAAGTGCACATAGCTAACGGCAGCAAATGCTCTATCAGTGGGTTTATAAGACACAGCTGAGCACAGAAGCACTGAGTCAGGGCTACCGTAAATTGAACAGTAAAACAAAGATGGTATGCAAAATTAACTGCAGCAATTGCTTTGTCTTCCACGAGATAAGACGGAGACGAGAATTTAGGCTTTTTTGTCAGCTTCCCATTGCAAGTTGTATGTCTACATTTTTATTTCTTGCATTTTTAATGTGTTTTAATTTGTAAAACTTGAGAATAAAGGAAGATTTTCTCTTGAAAGTATATCATGTCTTGGTAGGAACATCTAAAAAGAACATGTCTGCTTACATTTGGCTGAATTTGTGCTTTTGATAATCAAGGTATTTTGACTTTCTAGTTGTCAGAAGAGGCTGCAGGGCTATTTCTGAAGCCAAAGAGGAGGCCTTCCCCGAGTTCAGAACAGCTGCATGGGTGTCCAAGGCAATGCCTGTCAGATTAGAGTGCCTACCACTTGTGATAAAGCCAAAACAGATCAGGGTCTAAATCCACCCCACCAGGGGGCCATTGATGACAGAGCCTGCAACATCAGGTTAAACGGGCTAAGTCTCTGAATCAGTACACTGTTATGTCTGGGTAAATAATGAGACAAGCTGAAGATTGAGTTTCAAATAGAAAGACATACTGTCGCCATCTGTTTTTAGTCTGCTTCATACGTCATTTGAACAGGAACATGACAAAGGATGTAGTTTGTTTTTTGGTCTGCCTGTTGATGTTTTGACTTCCCTCCCTCTGCAGGCTCTCACTCGCTGAGCAGGCAGAGAGCGGCCAACCTGTCCCCACTTCTCCCACTCCTACCACCAACGATCACAGCACTATTCACCTGCCTGCCATCCCTCCTCACCTCCACAAAACCTCAGCGCTCGCCCCTCTCACATCTTTGGAGACACTTCCACCAACCCCACCTGCATCCCCCTGCCCTCCTCCTGCTGCCTCTGTAGACTCCTGTACACTTCCTGCTGAACCCTGTGAGGACCTTTACCCTGTGCCTGCACCCTGCCGGGTTCTGTTAAGGTATGGTACACACCATTGCCTCTAAACATCTCCACATTTAAGCAATTTTATCATTTAGCTTTAAAATTCAGCCTTGACAAATGCAATGCAACTTAATTTGGACCTTGGAATTTGTCTTGTGTCGACACCGAAGCCAAAAACCCTTAAATTTCAGCATCAAAGCTCTGGTCAAATGATACCATTAAATTAACATCTGGGATACTTACTCAACTTGTAGATCCTGATCTAGCAATTCTTTAACAAGGGGCCTTTTGAAATTCTCATTCAACAAGGCTTCTTTGCATAACTCATAGAAACAAAGCACATTTCAGATGTGAAGCTCATTTTATTCTTACATGATAAGAATGCAGCTGAACGGATATTTTATCTTCGTCCTTAAAGTAGGACGAGAAAGAAATATCTAAAAGCATATCTGTCCAGTAGTTTACAAAGTAAGCACATATTTCACAGTAGATATTTCAAAATGCAACTTTGTTCTGTTGTGAATCAACAGAACAATCAGCCCTATTTTTAAATGTCTGAGTTTATTTTAGTGCAAAAGTTAGAATTGTTTGTGAAATTAATCCTACACTTCAAATATCTTTATTCATTTTGATGCATTGCAGCCACAATCTTAAGTGTATTTTATCTGGTGTACTGACTGATAATGCACATTGCTATTTTTAGGTTTTTTAAATAAGACAAATAAGTAAGGCAATGTTTTTGTTCTGTTCAAGCATTTGACTGTTATAAAGCAGCATCAGGTTTTCATATAAATCTATGTGTCCTGTCAGCAACTGGGCTTGTTATACCACTTATAAAATGACAGCATGACACTGCTATGTACGCTGACCACAAAGTGAAATCTAACTGGATTTTTGAAATTTAACATAGCAACTACTTAGTGGTGTGTTTTTTAAAATGATGCTGAAAATGTTTTTATATGTGCAATCATAGGTCGTCAAAGCTTCTTTGCGTTTTTTTTAAATTTCTGGAACACAATCATGTATTTCTTATGAAACTCTTGCTAAATTATAGCCACAATATATAAAGTGTGAATAGTTCTCATTGTTTAACCCACACCCTTCTTCTGCAGCCCCTCTTGGCTTTGTATTTTATTGCATAAAGTTTATTTGGAAGGAATGACTCAGCCACTTCTTTGGTGTAATAACTTTTGCAACCACCAGAGGGTGGTTTTTCCCCCCAAACTGTGTAGAGGAATGCAGAAGAGCTCACATGTATGCATGACTGACCACGGGGACAAATCAGTGCTGATGCATTTTATGATACACAGATCTTTATGATTTAGGAAAGAAGCTTCTAATATGCCAACGTTTTCTTTTACCTTCATTTTACTAAAAGAGAAGACTCTCTTTCTCAAGGGTACATATTTATTTGAAACATCTGTATGAATATTCAGCTTTATGAAAACAAGCCATGCTTAGTGAGGAGCAGAAGGATAAAAAACCTCAGTGAGACATAATGTTATATTATTTATAGTCTATAGCTTTTTCAGTTATTCACATGCTGATGGAGAGAAAAGGCAGAGAGAAACAAGGCTGCCGTGCAATGGCCACAAATACGTAGAGGGACAGAGTGGGAGTTTGAACCGGTAACAAGGTGAACTTCCATCTCCTGAGTCATTGTCACCCCATCAAAACATCTGTGCAGATTAATATGAGCTGGCTAAATTTTCCCCCAAGAGCTTTGGTGGTCAAGACATTTCAAAAAGGCCTGAGACCAGAATGTTTGCACAGTCTCAGGTGGAGAGAAATTTCTCTGTTAAGATGACAACATCAGAACAGTGTTGCATAGTCTACCTGATTCATAAAGCCAGAAGTTGCTGCTACAATCGTAGGGTGCAGTGCTCATTACCAAAGTGTCTTGCAAATTGACTTTGAAACTAAGCTTGAAATTTATTTAGAATTCTGAAATGAAAATTATCTAAAAAAGCCCATAAACAAGAAATCGCCCGGTTCTTTGAAAACAGTGTAAGGAATGATAGATGTGAGGTAGATGCTGAAGGAAGAATGAAGGTTACCATGGCAACCAACCATTTACTTCCAGTTGCCCTAAAGGATAAAATGTTCCTTATGGAGTTTTATGTATTGCACTGCAGTCTAAAACGGGATATAAAAATGGATATTGAGTTGAATCTTTCATAGCCCAGTTATAAATCTTTCAGGAAACTCTGTCACAGCTGTTTTTTTTTTTCCTGTGCATGAGTTGGCTGAATTCTTTATTTCTTTCTGCTCTGCAGCTGAAACTGAGGGGCAAAGCTTGACTGTAAAAGAACAGCCTTTTCATTCAATACTGAACCTACTGGAACAGATATTGGACGGACTTCTGTGTCCTAGATACATCTTTGAGCTTCTGTGGGGGTGGGCGGTCTAAAGGGAAAAGATAATCAATGATTTTTTTCTTTTAGCCGGGTCTATGCTTTGACTTTTGAACTCGGCTACGACTGAATGGGTTTCTTTGAATTGGAAATCATCAACCATCAAGCCAGTTTAAGAATAAGACCTTCTCAGTATGCTTTGCAAGTTCATTCATCAAGTAATGAATGAATTTGATGTTCCAGGTTGTGCTGAGGAAATTGAACAATTATTTTTGCCCTGACAGACACAGGTATTACACCTGAAACCTCTGTACAGAAAGTTGGAGCATCTGCCAGCTCAAGTTATCCCAGAGAGCCAGTATTTCCGTACTTTCCCATGGGGGCACAATAGATTTATTCTTCTCAAGTTGCTTAGCCTCTTTTTCCTCATTGTAGCCAAAATCAGTTGGGAATTTGACGAAACTGATCCTGCCCCCTATCCAAAGCCCACAGGACACATTCTTTGCATCTGTCATAGAGATGACTTAAGAAGCCACTCCTTAATCGCTTTGGTTAGAGAGAGAATATCAGGGCTTCAACAAAGAGACAGACAAAATCAGATATGAAAATATTTGTTAACATCCCTGATTATGATGAGTACAATGCATTTGAATTAACTTTATTTGCAGCAGGTTTATCTCACTCTAAAAAATGTGAAAAATCCAACCCATGACTTGATTTTTACTCTTTTACTCATTGTTGGAAAAAAAAAATCTTTGAAAGTCCCTTTAGGGAGGGCAGGAACTAAAGTTTATTTTAACCAGCAGCCACAAGGCTGAATGAAGACCCAGTTTAATCAAAAAAAACAAAACAAAATAAACTCCAGTGTTGAACAAAACTACCAAAATCCAACAGATTTTAAATAAAATCTGTTGGATTTTCTTTAAAATCCAACAGATTATGCTGCTGAAGAGAAGACGCTCTTCAGCAGCATAATGATCTGAAACAAATTGCTAGGTTTACACGAAACCTTTTTCTATATGCATGATTGTACTTTGTAAAAATAGGAGAAAACTATTGGCAGAATGAGGTACAACAGATTTAACTAGTTATTTTATTGGCAATATTTTACTATTGTAGATTTAAATTACTCGCTGTATAAATGTATTCGAACAGAAAGTTGGATTTTTCTTAATTTTTAAAAGTGACATTAGCTGACCACAACAAAAGGTTAATTTATTGAGGCTTTTTGCACATTTTTACCAGGTTTCAATTTTTTTAATAAGTGGTGAATCAAACTAAGAGTAGGAGACTTACATCTGTAACTTCAGATTTTGCATCCGTCTCTCCCAACACATTAGTACGTTATGCAGTTGTATTTTAAAGTTTTTTTCTTGTGAAGAACAAGTAGAAAGAAAAGACTCTGAGACTCTGGTTTCATGCACTCTATTGTTTACCTCAAGCATCTCCCTGGTTGGCTAGACTGTGTTGGATCCTTCCATTGTGTGAAAAAGAGGGAACGACAAGTAGGTTTTTTTTCTACACAGGTCGTAGGCTGATAGAGTGAATATCTGGCACCATGATAGCCATTTAGTGGGGTATGTTAACTCAGATGTCTGGGATGGTGGAAAAGAGAAACTAAGAGCGAAGGAGAAAGAGACACTTTATCACGTCAGTTCCAGGGTCCATCCATTGTTTGGCTCCCCTGCATAGTCGCATTAGCAGATGAGGGGGGGTAAAGAGCTGCTTGTCTTTTTAAAGGCGCAGGAGTCTGGTGTTTGGGGGGAATGAAGGAAAAAAGGGGGAGGAGGCTGTGAGAGCAGCAACACAGCTCAGCGATTTCTGGAGCTGAGCAGAGAAGACGCTCTTCAGTCACATCCAGAACGACAAGAAAGCTGGAATATATTTTATGCTTTTTATCTATTTTTAGGCTTGATCGAGTTTTTCATCATCATTTCTTCATCATTTTGTTTGCATTTGCACCAGATGAGAGGGAGGAATGCTTCCCATAAGTTGAGGAGCAGAGGACCGAGGATGTTGTACATGAAGCGAAGAGCCTCTTAAATCATCCGCCACTGTTTCGCTCCCTAATGCAAGGAGCCCGCTCTCATCCTCTGCACTGCAGCACGGTGCGCTCGCCTCCTCTGACACAGGCTGCCCGCTCTGCAAGCCTACAAGGAGAGGGAGCTTTAGAGGTAGCAGGTGGATGTGGTTGGTGGCTGGGCAGCAGGTGCAGGCAGGGGTGGGGACCAGGGTGGGCAGAGATAGTCAAGGATGGGAGCCAACGAGTCCATGGAGCAAGGACAGACGCGCTCTCTATCTCAAGAGCACATGTAAGTTTGGAATTATTGACATTTGTATTGGTCTGATTGGAAGGGTCAAAAACTCAAAATTGTGTCACTTGATGTTTTTTTTATTCATTCATGGTTTTTTTTATGCTGCATAGATGTTCACTATAGCTGCCAGGTGATGCAATTTTCTAGATTAAGACGTTGGAGAAAGCATTACTTTTGTTTTTTTTGTATTGTGTTTCCTCCAGTAATAAACAGTCTTAGCTATTAAAAAAACAACAAGCATTTAAATGCTAGTCTGACTTGATTTTGTGATGTAAATAAGACAATCTAAACACGTGTGGACGCACATGCACGTTCTTCAGTTGCCAATACTGCATAGTAGCTACAGAAAAACCATAACAGTGCTTACAGAGGAGTCCCTGAGAAGCAGTGAGTCAGGTGGCACAGGGAGACTGGTGGGGTGATGTGTTTTTGTTCTGGTAAAAGGAGGACGCTACTGCCTCGCTGGGAGCTGACGTCGGTGACGGTGTTGAAATAGAACACGCTGTGTGGGGGGGTTGGAGGATAACTCAGGAGTGGATCAGTGCTCCACATCTCAGACACTCTGGTGCTCAACGGTGAAGTGAAATGAAGAAAACAAGAAGATGAATTCTTTATTATTCCTTTAGAAAGAAGAAAAAAATATTTGATGGTCTCGCAGTTTCTGTAAGGCTTCTTCCTGTAGATATCAATTTATGCTAATTTGAATTTAATCATTTAAAAAATATATTTTTTTAAAATAATTTGGGGGTGCTATAAAAAATTCAAACTCGTGGCTTTGGAATTAAATTATCTTTGTGGATCATATTTTTAATCAAATATCAATATTTGACACAAACTTTGGTTGGAACCTGAATTAAAGCACACTCACTACCTTCAGTTGCTCTTTGTGATCGAATGTATACCGGCTGAGCTGGATTTTATGAGATCAACACAAAGTCACATTGTTAAAATCTGCATTCATATTCCCCCCTCTTTACTCTGATACCCCCAAAATAATCTACTCTAGCAATGAGAAAGCAGTTGTTGGAGGGGGGGAGTCATAAAATGTCCAGTTCATTACAAACCACGTGAGAAACAAGAATGTGGTGAATATATTGAGAAAAGGTGCTCTGATGTGATGAGACCAACACCGAATGTTTTGACTAAATAAAAAAAACAAAACAACAACAACAACAAAAAGTGCAAATTCAAGTGTTTAGGAAAAAAACAGTTTATAGTAAGAGGGATGGTACTAAATTCAGCCCGAAACAAAACCAATCAGAGGCTGAAAAATATGTGAGACTCCAGATGTGATTCGGCTATAAACTTAGAATTGCAATAAAATAGTTACAATTAAAGCACATCTGTGTTTTAGAACAACCCAGACATCCTGACTGAGCTTAAGGTATTTAGCATTTTTATTTCAAGCATTTCAGTCTGCAGGCATTTTGCAAAGCTGGTAGCTGCAAACCCCAAAGCACTTGGAGCTGCAGTTCAGTACAAGCAAGATAGACTCAGAGGGGATGAATACAAATGCAAGCCACATGTTTCAGATTTTTATTTTTAAATATTTAAATATTTTTTATTAAATGTTTCTTCAATTTTGCACTGTTTTGTGCCAGCTGACAACATAAACCGCTTTAAAAAACATGAAAATTTGTGGATAGCGAAGCATGTTCTAAACCTACATAGAGACTGTTCAGACTTCTTGCTAGTGTGCGGTACAGTTTATGAATATTCATTCATTTCTTGTCAGAAAACACAGGGGCTCCCTCTGCTGGTTTGTTTTCAGCATGTCAACTATACAATTTTCTCCCTGATCTTTCGTCACACTTCTATTTTTTAAAAATGTTCTAACAATAAATCCCAACCATTGAAAACTCCAGCGTTAAATTAGCAAGCTAAGACAGAAATATTGAACTACAAAGGAAAAGGTGAAGCTGAAGGGAAGCTCATACCTGTCAGGTCTCTCATTTTTTTCAGAGAAACTACCATATTTTACCTTGATCCCGTATTAGTATTGTCCCTTAAATACCCCGTAATATGCTGACCCTCCAATCCCCCCTATTTATCAATCAGTCTGCTTCCATCTTCTTTTATCTTTTAATCACATTTAAAGACTAATTCAGTGTTTTGTTTGGTTTTATGGCTACCTGTTTTACCCACAGGCTTTCCTCGGGCACTAGAAGCTGTTTAGGCAGACGGCATCAGACGGTGTTGCCGGCAGCAGACATGTCTGGCTGTTTGACAGTCTGTGTGTTTCTGCCTGGCTCCGCAAAGCATCCTGTCTCCAGGCAGGCTCCTCAGCCTATCAGAGAGGGCTATGAAAAGCTGCTCTCTTTGTTTATATTCACCCCCTCAACCAGACTATTGAGCCATATGCCTTCTGTGTAAAATCTGTCTGCACAGAAGGCAGAAATTTATGCTTTACAATTTAATTACCTTCCCTAAAATTTACCTGACTTAACAGTGTGGAATTTTGTGCATTCAATGTTTCTCTTCCTTTTTGAGGAATATGGTTAGAATAGCATCCATTTCTCTGGTTACCATAGAAACACATTGTTTGCCGTCATCTTAATGTTATCTGCTAAACTTAGCTCTGATTTCTTCACTAATAACTCACCATAACCTTTGAAATATTTACAGCTACAACTACAATGCAAGCAGTGACAAAAAGCTTATGCATAGCTTAACATATTTAGTTATAATATTTAGTAACTGCTAAGTTAAATTACGTAAAAAAAACAAAACTGCTAAAATAATAGTAATAAGGGGAAAATATAATAATTATAATAATGACAATTATAGCAATAACTATAATAGTAATTTGTGTAATGTATTAGCTATATGTGAAAAGGTACTGAAACAGATCAGACTGTATTACGACCATTTTGTTTTGGGCAATTGGACATGAATGATTATTTCTTTCTGTTGCAGTCTTTTTGATATATGTCTGATGCATGTCATAACTGGGAAAACAGTCCAAAACACTGAAAGATGTACATTCACAGAGTGAGCTGGCTTACATTTTCTAAATTAGTTTTTGATGAATGGTCCTTCTCTTCAGCCTTCATGTACTGCTCAGCTGGGTCTGAAACAAAAGCTAACTTATGATTATTGCTCTGCTGTTCTTCGACATTTTTTTCCCCCCCCTGCTCTGTGACGATGACATGCTTCCATGACGAGGTGTCAGAGAAGCACCTAGTTATGGTGCTTTGTGTTGTTATGCTGATGGTGTTTTGTTGTCTTAATTGGCTCTTTTGTTCTTTTTGATCAATGAACTGTTATTAATTTGATGAAATCATCATCATGTCGGTACAGTTTCAGAATTTAACCCATGATTCTTGGTGTCTAATACTTAAATGTCTGAATGAAAATTTCATAAACGCTAGACTGTGTTTTCCATTGATCAAAAAGAGAGGGGTGCAGAGAGAGAGAGCATGAGGGAGAGAGAGAGGCAGAGAGAGAGAAGATCTTTTTCATTCTGCATCCACTACTTGTGTGGTGAGGGGACAGGCTGATGGTGGCTGATGACAAAGAGAGAAGCAGAGTAAGCTGACCTAAAACAGGTAAATCTGAACATCAGGCAGCAAAAAGGGAACGAAGATCTTGGAGCATCATCTTTGGAGGAAGAAGTGTTGCTGCACCTGGTTGCCGGTAGCATCGCAGTGCAGACTGTTGGTAGCCATGGCAGTGAGTACGTGGCAGGCTCTGTCTCCTCTGCAGTGGGCCCGATGGGGCTGGGATACGCTTCTGGGAGGGGCAGGAGACGGGAACAGCCCGGGTTCTGATCCGACTCTGGGGCTCCTGCAGCGTCTCTCGTGGGGTTCTCGTCATAATAATTTATTAAAGGCTGCCGGGGAGGCAGCCAGACAGAGGTGAGACGGGCTCGGGCTGCATGCCATGAAATGATGCTCTGAACTGATGCGTAGTGGTGTTGTTAATCTATGAGCTCCACTTCCATTGATTTTCTGTGTTTCTCGCTATATTCTCTAACACAAAGTCTTTGTACCCTGAGATGGATGGAGGTGTATGTGTTTGTGTAGTGAAATGTGTCTCTGGTGTGTTGGTATCTCATACCCTTCTGCAGATTTAGCTTTTTTCATTTCTGCCAATGAAGTCCAGCATGATATGAAAACAGAAACCCTTACTATAATTGATGTAATTCATAAACCACATTTATTGGAATATTTCTCAGATGCTCTTTTTTTCTGTTCAAAAATAAAAACCCTCTAATATTTATCTTTTGAAAATTCTGATTAAGCATCTGAATAACATTGTCCATTGTAGCATTTGACTGATTAAAGTTACGACAACCTTTTTGTTTTCCAGCATTGGAAATTGTTTTATGCTTGTCTTCACGACCTCAGTCCAGCATTTGGTGCTGCGTAACGTAGCGTTAACATCACTCCATTAGCTTGAACATTGGCTGGTCTGAACGAGTTTTCCTTTTAGGTTTCACATAAAAGTTGCATTTTATTAAAGCTTTTTACACCGACAAGTCCTCCAAGGTCCAGTACTTTGTTCATTTTTATTTTCACTTTATTTACTTAGTGGTTACCATTCAGTCAGACAATAGTCAATTGTACATGTCTTTTAAGTCATGCCATTTTTTTTTTTAGGATGTCCACCATTCTAATGAAGGACTTGGCTGATATAGATCTTAAATTCATCGATATGATAATTTATTAGAATATACTTGTACACTGTGTTCTTGTACAGTTCAGAATCAATTTTAAAATATTAGTGCTCACATAAAGGCAGCTAATGACTGGATGCCAGAACATCTGCTCAGTCTTTTGAGTAACATTTAGGTTCTCTCTGTTTTTGTTTTTAAATAAATTATTTATTCACCCATTTATTCATTCAATCAATGGTTACCTGGAAAATAAATGGGCCTTTTGTGAAACTCTTGCTTAATCTTTTTGATATGGTCTTTAAATATTTTGCAGCCTTATTGATGTCAGGTGTAACTTTTGTTTTAGGAGCTCAGACTCTGATGGTGCTTTTGAAACTCCTGAATCTACAACTCCAGTGAAAGCTGTTTCTCCTGCTGAACCCCAAAGAGAGCTGCTGGAATCTGATGACAAAGGTACAGTAGGAGATGCTGAGATAGAAGCGCGCCTGCTTCAACTGTTGTTATTGAAAAGATCCTTGCGTCCTCTAGTGGTGGGAAGCTGAACTGCACTTCCAAACAGTATGGGTTAAAAATCGCTTGAAACCTTCTGGTCTGTTTACAGACAATTAAACTAAATTGTCGTTACATACATGTCAAAGTATGACGTTTATATAACTTCAATTTCTATCGCAAAATTGATTGTGAAAGTCAATTTTAGATGACTTTCACATTTCTTAAAAAATAAAAAAAAAATCTTATAAGTGTGCTATGGCTGCTTCACTGGTCAGTGCTGTTCCTGTCCAGCCTGTTGGTTTAGTTGGACTGAAATGTTTTTGGAGGTTTGGAACTGAGCCACATTCTTTCAATTTTTTTAAATATATTGGATTAATTGAACAGAGAGCTCTGTGACATGCTCAGACTTTGGGATAAAACCCAAAGTTTTATCTCTGCTAAAAACAACTGCACAACATCATCCCTGACCTGTTTGATGTGTTCCTTGGTCTTCATGATGCTGTTTGTTCTCTAACAAACTTCTGAAACCTTCATAGAACAGCTGCGTTTATACTGAGATTAAACTGAAGTGAACATTATTTAATAATTAGTCTGAAGTCTGTAGTGGAAATGTGGCAAAATGCAAATACTCTTTTAAGGTAGGTTGACCAACCATGCTTTCTTACTCGAACAACCATCTTTTCCACATAACCAGGAATATTTCATAAAATGATTCCTGTTTCTCTGTGTGGATGTTACGTGAAGTCATTTTCCTGTATAGGGTGATATTTCTGGTGCAGATTAATCTTATTTTAATGTTTTGCAGGTGTTAACAGCTCTGAAGGTGATCTTAGTTTAGACATCACTGCAACCGATGCACCTTGTCGGTCCCCATCCATTGCTTTTGATGAGAACAAACCCATTGCTGCAAGCGGGACGTATAACTTCGACGTTTTTGCTGTTGAGCCGACGGGTCACACTCTGACTCGCTCTCTCAGCCTCCAGGGGGGGGAGCTCGATAGCTCCAGTTTGCTGGAAGGATCAGCCTCTGGAGCTTTCCGTCAGCACTCCGAGTCCTTCAGCGTTGGCACCGAGAACACCCCGGGAAAGCTCCGGAGACCTAAGAAAGTTAGTCCAGGATCGGTGAAGAAGAAGCCCTTCCTCAGACAAAACTCCAACCCTGACAGCGCAAAGCCAGCCTCCTCTAGCAGCACCCCTGAAACCACAAAGCGGGCAAAGCCTCGGACAGCTAGCCCTCTCCTGACTCAGGAGGATTCAGAGGTTGGCTCTGCAACTCCCAGTCCCGGAGGCACTCTCAGAAAAACCAGGAAGAGCCGTGTTGAAACTCCGCCTCCTCTCCTAGAGGAAACCAATCAAACCTGCCAAGAGGAAAGCAAAGGGGTCCCTGCCTTACCCTTGTGCCAGGAAGAAACCCCTCTTGCAGAGAGCATAGCAGACAAAGACAACTCTCCAATCCCACCCTGTGCCTCATACAAATGGGATCCAGAAAACTTTGAGAGCATTAACCCCTTCAGCACTGGAGGTAGCAAAATCACCAATTCTCCAGTTGTGGGTCGCAAGGGTCCTGTGTATGGCCCTGCAGCTAGTCCTCCTCTGAGCCCCCCTGTACCTGCCACAGAACCACATCAACATACTGCCACCGCCCCTCTGGAAGAACTTTCCACCAATCCCGAGGAGCAACCCATTCTACCTAAGCGTCAGCCAGTAAGGCTGGAGTTTGACTACTCTGAGGAAAGCTGCGAGGTGCCACAGCAGGCCTTGCCTCCACCTAAGAAATTGGGCAAGAAGCCTCCTGGCAAGATGCTATCCAGAAAACCAAAGCTGGGGCTGAAAAAAGTGGCTCCACAACAGATGGAGCAGCTGGACAACAACCCGCCTGCAGCCTACAATGGATCGGATGAAATCCCCATTCCTAAAGTATCGTACAACATTGAACCCGACAAGTGGGATGACCCAAACTTCAATCCATTTTCTTCAAAGAAAAGTATGTCTAACTCCCCCACCTTATCCAGGCCATCATACAGCTTTGACCCAAACAACACAGATGAGTCTACAAACCCTTTTAAATCCTCCAACAAAATGGCCGCCTCACCTCCCAGGGTGCCTGCTTCTTTCGAAACGTCATCCAATGACTATGATAACGAAAATGACAATGACAACATTGGGGAACTGGAGGACCAGAACCAAAACAAACCGGCTAAGAAGAAGAAAACTCCCTTAAAATCGTAAGTTCACATGGTTCTCTGGAAGAGTCCACACTCCTAGTTTGTGTTTGTTATGCCAGTGTCCTCTGTCTGTCTCTCTGTCACCTGTGTTTGTGTATTCTCATATATCACAGGAAGTCCAGGGGTGTGTCCTCTCTTTGTTGTCTGTTGTAAGTAGAGGGTCAATACAGCCATCCTCCCTTTCTGACCCTAAACCCCATCTTAAAAAGCAGCATGTTGTTCCCCATCGTATTAACAGCTACATCATCATTCTTTGGACCTACTATCTAATTAATGAATTTGAATTTAAAGTCATATATGAGGACACATATTTTTAGTTACCTTTTTAATTCTTTCTAAAACTCTGTGTCAGAAATAAGCTTTATTTATAAAGGCAGGAACAGATATTTTTAGCACTCCTGGTGAAGATATGTGAAAAAAGTTCAATACTTTCATAATTTACTCTGGTAGAATAAGCTCACTCTGAAACATGTAAAAAAGGCGTTACCTTTTCATTCTAAAAGGTAACAACAAGCTTATCTTAAGTTCTCCCAAGTGTCCTGGAGGTGATATTTAATTCATTTCCAGGATAGTGAATGCAGTGAAGGGAGACCAGAGATGAAGATATCCCCAGAAATTAGTCTAACAGTGACACATAAGCATAATAAGAGTAAGACAGAGAAAGACTCTTGACTGCTTTTGCCTGTAAAATGCTGATCAGGCATCCTTTTATCTAAAAGACAGCACTTAATGTGAAACATGTTTTTTTTATGTTCAAGATGTGATGCTAAAAATCCCTCCTCAAACTTTGCTGCATAACCAAGAAGACATTTTTTTTCTTTTCATACAAAGCCCTCTGCCTTTCAATCACTATGTTGCAAACAAAGCCTTTTGAGTTACAATTCTCTCAAATGATAAATATTTTAGTCCTTCAACAAAACAGATGGGGAAAAATCCAGCATCATTTTACTGTGAAAGAACTGGAGCTTTTCTAGAAATGTTAACAGTGCTTGAGCTCCCCCTTGTGTTCATTTTTAGTTATTGCTATGGAAGACTTAATTTATATAAACATACCTTTAACAGCTAATACACATTAACTTTTGTGCAATCATCTACTCAGGTATATAAAATGTTTTGTTTCTCTGCAGAGGTTTTTGTAATATTTAAAATTAGAATTCATATTAATTATTCATCTTGTCTGAGCTGTAATTCTGACACAGTGAATTCAGTTGTTTCTCAGGAAGTAATGTTGTCGTCCTTTCATGTGAAGAAAGACACTTTCCATCCAGAGTACTTGGAATTTCACCAGTGAACAATATTAAGTTTAAGACCGTAGATGCCAAATCTAACATTGTGTTGTTTTTCAAATGGATTTTAATGATTTATGTTTTGTTGTCTTTTTTTCCCTCAGTAATACTTTCAGAGTGAAGAGGTCACCAAAGAAATCCCCGTTGTCTGACGCATCCCAGGTGTGTTTGATTTGCTCTCTTTTGGGGTTCTTTCTCACTTTTAAAGTTCCAGCTGATTTTAGAGTTTTCCTCTTTGCCATTTTCTTGCAGGATCCCACTTCTGCAGATGAATCTTCGTCCCTTCATCAACAGGATGATCACGCCACAGATGAGGAGAAGCTGGCCTCCTCCACTGGTCATAAGTGGGCGGTCCGCCAGGAGGTGGACCAAGATTTAAACACTGACCACCAAGACTTCCCGCAGCCCTGCGACGTTACGACTTTCGTGAATGAGAACAGTCTCCCTCAGGAGAATCCAGGTTTGGCATTACTGTCTAATTTTTATTTTTTTTTTGTCTTCCTCAGGCACCTGTGTTCATGCAACATCAAAGTGTACCACACTTGTACAGCTATTCAGTGAAATTCAAAGCTTTGTTTGGATGGATGCTCATGTAAAGGAGCCAGTTATTTTTATACTTTATCCATTCATAGAGCAGTAGTGTATTGACTTTTCTTTTAGTAGTAAAAAAAATAGATAAATAAATAAATAAATAAAAGGGCTGGCCCAGTTCTCTACTGCCCTCTGACCACCAAAAGACCCACCTCCTCCCAGAGGCTGTCTGGTTCAACCCATCTGGGTCGTAGATGAAACAGAGAGCAGACAGTGCTGGTTCAGTCTCTGGTCACCATCAGACAGACCTAAACACGAGTCACTGTGGTTTTCCACCTCATATTCTGGTTCTAACTCTTGGTTTTGTTTCATTGTCTACTTCAGTCCAGGACTATGAAATTGAGTACATGGAGAAGATCGGTTCTTCCTCCCCAGTAAGTATTTGTTTGACATTGACAGAGTTTTTCTATTAATCTTCATTATCTCATAATAGTGAACAGCATAGTTAGTATAACACAAACAGCGGCTTCATGTGTATTCCCAGCTGACCTTAATTCTTGTCTCTTGTGAGATTCCCAACATTTCCAAACTTCTTTTCCATTCCGCAAAAAAGCAAACAGAAGCGTAAAAAGTAGAGCTGCACTGTGCACAGAATCACATTTGCCAACGCATTGTCAGTCTGTGCTATATCCCAGTGGTAATGGACTGCTTGGACACTATATTTAGGAACTTGCTAAATTTTAAGTGTCATGCATTCACACTCTTTATGTCAGTCAGGAAAATGTTGTAGGAATAGAAAGTAGAAATGTACATTAATTATAATCAGTGGTGTCACCACATTTTTGAAATATTTTCCTGATAGTGTGCATCCCTACTCAAAAACAAACAAAAACCAGCATCTTTGCCAGACTCCAGTCTGTGCTGAGGTAAAAAAAAATTTCACACCTCACTGATATTGAAAACAGCTAACTTTGATTCTTCATTAAGCCACAACATTCTCACCACAGATGGTTGTTGCTACCATAGTGTGGTAACTCTTAGGTCTGATATGTTCATTAGAAAAAATATTTTTTTTTTTTTAAATTAATTTGATAAACGGTCCGGGCTGAAAACTGTTAGATTTCACTCACCAGCTAATGTCTCTGTGCATCTCTAATGATGATGAATTATTTAAGTTTTCAGCATTTATTAATTGTCTTTTGCAGCCACTGTCTATCAAAAAGCCATCTCTGTACTTGAACTTGGACTCAGTGTCTGACAACTTAACCAAAGCTACTTGTGGACATGGATCTGAGCCCAGCTCACCCTGCACTGGGTAAAATATACCTTACATTATATATTCACATACTACAGCATTGCTAGATATGTTACTTTACAGCATTGCATAATATATTCCATGTATTCTGCAATCCATATCTGTGATTTAAATTTTCATAATATCATGATCTTTGTATGCATTTGAAAACTGTAATATTTTTATTGATTGACTATTGAATGTCCTCATCATTTTTTGGCACAGTTGGTGAAAATATGTTTAAAAAAGCATTGAAATAAATGTATCTTATTGCAGTAGGTATCATGTCACACAAAAACACAGACATCTTCGCCATAAATTATTATTGGGGCCTGCCCATAGCAATGCATAAGGAGAGCAGTGACTGACTTGCGAAGCAAGTCAGTCACTGCCTCCATGCATTGCATGGCAGGCACCTATTAATCTTCACCCAATAGAACGCTTCTTTATTGGGGCCTGCCCATAGCAATGCATAAGGAGAGCAGTTACTGACTTGCGAAGCAAGTCAGTAACTGCCTCCATGCATTGCATGGCAGGCACCTATTATTCTACACCCAATAGAATGTCTCTGTCTTTATTGGGGCCTGCCCATAGCAATGCATAAGGAGAGCAGTGACTGACTTGCGAAGCAAGTCAGTCACTGCCTCCATGCATTGCATGGCAGGCACCTATTAATCTTCACCCAATAGAACGCTTCTTTATTATTGGGGCCTGCCCATAGCAATGCATAAGGAGAGCAGTTACTGACTTGCGAAGCAAGTCAGTAACTGCCTCCATGCATTGCATGGCAGGCACCTATTAATCTACACCTAATAGAATGCCTCTTTATTATTGGGGCCTGCCCATAGCAATGCATAAGGAGAGCAGTTACTGACTTGCAAAGCAAGTCAGTAACTGCCTCCATGCATTGCATGGCAGGCACCTATTATTCTACACCCAATAGAATGTCTCTGTCTTTATTGGGGCCTGCCCATAGCAATGCATAAGGAGAGCAGTGACTGACTTGCGAAGCAAGTCAGTCACTGCCTCCATGCATTGCATGGCAGGCACCTATTAATCTTCACCCAATAGAATGTCTCTTTATTATTATTATTGGGGCCTGCCCATAGCAATGCATAAGGAGAGCAGTGACTGACTTGCGAAGCAAGTCAGTCACTGCCTCCATGCATTGCATGGCAGGCACCTATTAATCTTCACCCAATAGAATGTCTCTTTATTATTATTATTGGGGCCTGCCCATAGCAATGCATAAGGAGAGCAGTGACTGACTTGCGAAGCAAGTCAGTCACTGCCTCCATGCATTGCATGGCAGGCACCTATTAATCTTCACCCAATAGAATGTCTCTTTATTATTATTATTATAACTTATTCTTCCGTAGACCGGAATGCGGCTCGCACCGCTGCGAGCCCACCCACAAAAGTGGTATCAAAACGTGCGGCTTGTTCCCGGCATTGGAGCTATTACTTTTATGGGGAATCGGCGTTACGACGGCGACGTAAAAAGCGAAAAACGAGCGAAATTTCCAACTGCCGAAACGCAGAGCATAACTGCCACCAACTGCCGCTCCGCTAGAGTGAAAAATGAAGTGAATTTCTGACCCCAAATAAATTTTGAAATCGCCGTCACGCCCACAAATATCGTGCAATCGGTCTCAAACTCGGTCATGACATAGATACGAATGTCTGCTCCGGTAAAATGTTTTCAAAATTTTTCTAGGGCTTACGGTTTTTTGTCAAGGTGCTTTAGAGCAAAATCAAGTTCCAGCCTAACTGACGCTCTCCACCATATATTTTCATACTTTTCTGGAAAATTTCAGACCTCAGCGCACACCATTTTTCTCTCATCGCTGTAATTACTATGAATGAGCTACAGATATGATTTGCAGGACTATGGGAGACAAAAAATAGCTCTCTCATACGCTTCAAACGGTTTTCCGATACGTATCACGGTTTCCGAACGGCAAGGAGTTGTTCGGGCTGCTTTTTCCATTATAACTGACTGTGCTGTCTCACAAAGATAGAAATCTGTCTCTGCCTCACACACATGACTGTTGACCTCTTTAGAACTACAATTCCTGAAGGTTAGAACTACAACATGGCGGAACACTCAGTGCCTACAAAATAGGCCAGAGCTGATTGTCAGAACTACAACATGGCGGAACTGTCAGTTACTACTGAGGAGGAATGAGCTGGCCTTTAGAATTACATTGTGTTTGGGTTTTTATAACTGATTGTAAGCAACCATTGTTACAGACAGGATTAGTTTGGCAATTTTAAATTAAGCTTAATAAAAATTTCGAAATAAAACCTTGAATATTTCTCTCAGGCCTGTCAGAAAAACTAACTTCTTCAAGCACTTAGAATTAAGTCTCTCCTTTTGTGTCACACTGACATGACAGTTGACCTCCTCTTTAGAACTACAATTCCTGAAGGTTAGAACTACAACATGGCAGAACACTCAGTGCCTACAGAAGAGGTCATAGGTGAATATAAAAACTACAACATGGTGGAACTGTCAGTTACTGCTGAGGAGGAATGAGCTGGCCTTTAGAATTACATTGTGTTTGGGCTTTTTATAACTTATTTTAAGCAGCCATTATTACACACAGTTTTTGTGTGGAAACTTTAAATTAAGCTTAATGAAAATTTCAAAATAAAACCTTGAATATTTCTCTCAGGCCTGTCAGAAAAACTAACTTCTTCAAGCATTTAGAATTAAGTCTCTCCTTTTGTGTCACACTGACATGACAGTTGACCTCCTCTTTAGAACTACAATTCCTGAAGGTTAGAACTACAACATGGCAGAACACTCAGTGCCTACAGAAGAGGTCATAGGTGAATATAAAAACTACAACATGGTGGAACTGTCAGTTACTACTGAGGAGGACTGAGCTGCTCTTTAGAACTACAATTCCTGAAGGTTAGAACTACAACATGGCAGAACACTCAGTGCCTACAGAAGAGGTCATAGGTGAATATAATAACTACAACATGGTGGAACTGTCAGTTACTACTGAGGGGGACTGAGCTGCTCTTTAGAACTACAATGACTGCAGGTTAGAACTACAACATGGCGGAACACTCAGTGCCTACAAAAGAGGTCAGAGCTGATTGTCAGAACTACAACATGGCGGAACTGTCAGTTACTGCTGAGGAGGAATGAGCTGGCCATGACAAGTACTTGGTTTTTGGGAATTTTAGAACTGATTTCAAAACTCCATAGTTACACATGGGATTAGTGTTACCATTAAAATTAAGCTTAATGTAAATTTCAAAATAAAAGCCTTGACAATTTTTCCATCAAGTAATTGCTCTTTTGACCACTATATAACTGATTTAACCCAATCAGTGTTAAACATGGGATGAGATTGGCCATTTAAAATTAATCTCAATGAAAATTTCAAAATAAAAGCCTTAAGATTCCTTTCTGGCTCATGCCTATTTTAGGCAAAATGGCTGCCTCAAACTGATAGAATTAAGTCTCCCCCTGTCTGACTCACAGCTGGCAGAGGATCCATTACCATGGCAACGGAACACAAAGGGGCCAGCTGATTAGGACTACAAAAACGCATCACTGTAGTTCTAACTATGGCAGAACTCAGAGAAAAAAGCTGGACTTTAGAGCTGCTTGTGTTTTGGGCCTTTTATAACTATTTTTAACCAACCATTGTTACACATGGAATTAGTGTGGAAATTTTAAATTAAGCTTTAAAAAAAATTCAAAATAAAAGCCTTGAGAATTTTTAGATTAAATAAGTGCTCTTTTGACCATTATATGTCTGATTTAACCAAATCACTGTTATACATGGGATTACATTGACTATTTAAAATGAAACATTCTGAACATTTCAAAATAAAAGCCTTAAGATTCGGCCGTGGCTAATGCAGCGCCGCAGGCGCTGCAATGATATTAGCTTGCATTATCTTTTCCTCTCAAGTTAGGACACTGTCTTGCACAGCAAGACAGTGCATTAGCATTAGCTAATTAGCATTTCTCTGTTTCCCACCAGTGCACTGCCGTAGGCAGTGCAATAAGATTATCCTCCATGATCCTTTACACTCAGGTTAGGGCTCTGCCTTGCACAGCAAGGCAGAGCATTAGCATTAGCCTTTTACCTTGCATGAGGTATTAGCTATTTCCCTTACTTATTAACCATATTTACTATACATGCTTGTGACTCTCCACATTGTATTGATGACATTGCAGCTTTCTTTAGCATGGATGCTAATGTTTAGCATCAGAACGCTGGGTCAAAATCGACGGGCACACTTTGGCAGGCCCCGGTTAAATTTCTTCAGGAATTTTCTAGTTATAACTTATTCTTCCGTAGACCGGAATGCGGCTCGCACCGCTGCGAGCCCACCCACAAAAGTGGTATCAAAACGTGCGGCTTGTTCCCGGCATTGGAGCTATTACTTTTATGGGGAATCGGCGTTACGACGGCGACGTAAAAAGCGAAAAACGAGCGAAATTTCCAACTGCCGAAACGCAGAGCATAACTGCCACCAACTGCCGCTCCGCTAGAGTGAAAAATGAAGTGAATTTCTGACCCAAATAAATTTTGAAATCGCCGTCACGCCCACAAATATCGTGCAATCGGTCTCAAACTCGGTCATGACATAGATACGAATGTCTGCTCCGGTAAAATGTTTTCAAAATTTTTCTAGGGCTTACGGTTTTTTGTCAAGGTGCTTTAGAGCAAAATCAAGTTCCAGCCTAACTGACGCTCTCCACCATATATTTTCATACTTTTCTGGAAAATTTCAGACCTCAGCGCACACCATTTTTCTCTCATCGCTGTAATTACTATGAATGAGCTACAGATATAATTTGCAGGACTATCGGAGACAAAAAATAGCTCTCTCATATGCTTCAAACGGTTTTCCGATACGTATCACGGTTCCCGAATGGCAAGGAGTTGTTCGGGCTGCTTTTTCCATTATAACTGACTGAGCTGTCTCACAAAGATAGAAATCTGTCTCTGCCTCACACATGACAGTTGACCTCTTTAGAACTACAA